CCCCCGCCACATCGGCACTATCCCTACACACCGCCGCAAGCGCCAACAGCCCCGCCTCGACTCCCTTCGCGTCCCTGCCCTTCCCTCTGATTAATTCGCACAGCGTCCGCACGACCCACCCGCCCCCTTGTCTAACGCTTGAAGAAGAATCGGGCCGCTCCCACCCGCGCCGGGGTTTGGAGGCCTCTTTTGCGCGGTCGAGCGGCGGGACCCAGTCTGTTACGGCCGCGCGGTGCGGGGGGATGCGCAGCGATGTGGAGAGGGTTAGGCATATTGAAGTGCATACGGCGGGGGAGGGGTCGAGGAGGAGGGGAAGGAAGATGTCCAGGGCGTCGCGCTGTGGGATGTATCAGCATCCGTTCACACATTCAGAGCGGGACACACCGAGGGACGCCTTGAAGCTGTACATATCACGCATATACATTCATAGAATCATTATATTGCACACTACCGATACCTACACACACTCTACTCGTACCAGCTTCAAAGCGCCCCCCACCAGCACCGCACAAACGCACCTGATAAAGCCAATCCAGCACCCCCCGCGCCTCGTCCCTATACACCGACTCGTGCTCCTTGACGCCCCACAGGCTCGGGCCCACAATATCCGCGCACGCGCCGGCCAGGACGCGCAGCGTGCGGGTGTACGCCGCGCGGAGTTGAGGGGAGGCGAGGGTGGAGGGGTGCGAGAGGGCGTAGAGGAGCGCGTGGTGCGTGTTGGCGCTGAGGAGAGATGCGAGGGCGCGTTCGGGGCCTGCGTGTGGGTTAGACTTGAGTGGCAGGGAGGGGAGGGAGGAGAGTACCGAATGAGAGGGAGGAGAGCACTTGGGCCGCTTCGATCTTAATTTGCTCGTCCACGTCCGCGTTCAGCGCCTCTACCAGTCTATGAATATATGTTAGTTGGGTCGATCTCGGGTGTGAGTGAGGGTGTGTGGGGACGTACGCGGCGACGAAGGCGGGGCTCTGCGCTAGTGCCACTTTGGCCGTCGGGTTGCCGATCACGCTGTTCTTCGCGTCTTTCAGCGTGTCCAGTGTTACGGGCGAGGAGGTGGGCAGGGGGGAGATGGCCATGGTGGGTGGTGGTGTAGGCTATGGGAGAGGTGGGCAGGCAGTCCGGGCGATCCGAGCTCACTCACTGGTAAGTACATGGGAAAGTGCACGTGCATCTCACTGCAGTCCGGTCACACCATGGTCGACGGTGACAGTCCCTGCCTCCAACGATGACTACGTCTCTTTCTGCCTGCTCGCAGGCAACGCTTGCTCCTGCTCTAATCTGCTCTGAACTGTGCATTCTTCATGAGCACCAACGATATCCCCATAGATAACCTCAACAATATCCCGGAAGAGCCCGCCGATGTCGACGGACTCTCGATTGCGAATTCTACACTCCAGGTCCGGGGTATGTATGCTCTCCCTCGTAGCATGCTGCTTACTGACGTGCTGTCGCTGCCTCTCTTATTCAGATCCACACCCGGCTCCTACCAGAAGGGGCTCCATACCGGCCTGGGCAGAGTCAACCAACCGATTCGGACGTGGCGTACAGTACGCGGGTGGACCCTTCGTGCGCGTCGCTCTTGTGGCGATGTTACTTGTGATTATACCCTACTTGATCGTCACGGGCCAGCTCTTCTTGCTCTTCGGGCTGTTGGTACCCTTCATCGAATTCATTTTGAGATCAGCTCTAATCGTCGCACATAGAGCCAAAGGGACGAAGGATGCTATGTAAAGTACACGACTAGTGGAGGCAGCTGTAGTAGTGACAAGCCCGAGAAGGATACCCATTCAGTACGCTCCCCCGCCTCTTGCTATCACCACGTACAGCGTACTCATCCCTCCAATAGTGTTTTGTCGTCGTCGTGAGCACGTTGCTGCTTGCTACGTAATCCATCCAACCGAGCGCGGCTTTCTTGTATCCAAAACCCATCTCGTTTTGAAACTGTTCTGTATTTGCTCTCCTGTACCCTGCTATGCTATTCCCTGCTCTTTGAACTCGACGGTCACGGACAGCACACGTCAACATGCATCGCGCAATTGTTGACGCAAGGCTATGCATGCATGCACAGCCTCGACAAAGAGATGCCCAACTTTTGGGTCAATATTGGATATGGACAGCCGGAACATCGACGTTCCGGGGTGAACGCAATTCTCGAGCGTTGAGCGCTTGAGTGCATGCCCTGACCAGAGATGTGAAGGAGCAAGAACGGGTGCGAGAAGTGCGTCTATGCTCGAACGTTCCGTCCCTTTGCGCCATTGCTCGTCACACAGACAGGCCACTTGCCTGACGGACTATAGAGATAACTTGCAGTGATCGTCATCGCTGTCTTCACGCAGTGGCCCTTCCAAAGACATGCAGATCATCGCAAAGTGTGATTTTGTCACTTGTCGCCCTGTACATACCTCTTCTCTCTTTCCCTCTTCTGCCTACATACACCATCATATATGCTCCTCCAATCGCGACGCTGGTCGAAGCAGTGAGGATCCTTGCGTGGCTTGCGGTTTTCATCGTCGGACTCGAAGGGCTGAAGACGCGTGTCGGAGCGCTTATCGAAGCATATACATTCCTACTTTGTACCCAGACGGAGAGACTAAATGCACCGCATACGCGGCAGTTCCCTTTGGCAAGTATGAACACAGTTCTCGGGTGAGGATGCGCGAAGACTATTGTCGTCACTCAGAGCAAGTGTAGTGGACCTTACTGGAAGATATGTGCGTTGGAGAATGCGCGACTATCGAATGGTAAGTTCGCGTCATATCATACGGAAGTCCATAAAGAAGCCGGATGATCGGGCTGACTACGTATACAGACCGTGGGTGACAGTGCACCGCCCCCTGCGCGCGGCACGCTCGCGCGCTCTCGCACGAGTCTCCCGACGTGGCAACATCTACTTGGTGGGTAGCCTGGGTCTTCCGTTGCCTCCAACGATGACTGCGCTCCTTCGAATCCGTCCTGGTTCTCGCGCAGGAAATTCCTGCTACTGCTCTATCCACATTATCTGTACCCTTGATGAGCACTGACAATATTCCCATCCCCATGGATGATCTCACACGCTCAGAAGCGTCGGCTAGTTTCGGCCTTTCGATAGCTACTCCCATTGACCATCCCAATGGTCAGTAACCCTCATCTTCTCCCAGGCCATCTCCGACTGATAAGCCGCGACTCATTTAGATCTGAATGACAGCAGTACAACATCTGTGCCAGCTTGGTCGGTGCCCATCCACAACTTCGGACGTGGCGTGCAGCACGCGGTCAAGCCCTTCTGGCTGTTCATCATTGTGGCGGTAGTGCTGGTTCTCATCTTTACGGGCAAGCTTACAATGCCTGCGGGGATGTATGTACCCTTCATCTGCTGCGCTATGACTTGGGCTCAATTGCCGCACGCAGATTCAAGGAAACCGAGGACGCTCCGTGATCTAGACCAAGGCGGGCGCAGGACTCAGAAGAAAGAACGACCTTTACATGTAGGCACTCCCCACTCGTATCATCGCTACGCCATACTGATATCGTGTGGGATGATCCTCAGCAGGACACAGGCCATCGCCTGACCTCTTCTCCACACTCGCCGCATATTTCCGAGAACGCGCTTCCCATCTTGCTTATGCCTCCATCATCACTCTCCCTCTCCTGTATCGATACCATAATGTACTCGCCATCGATGGACACCGCGCCGGATTGGCGGATGAGTCGAATGTCGTCGACATACTGTCCAACGCGCGGCCTAGGACAGCGCTAATAGGCTGCACTGCCACGATCAAGAGATCTCCTGGTCTCCCGCGCACAGACCAGTTCGCTATGCAAGCCAGCGCCTGTTGGTGTCGTAAAGGTGGGCGCTGGCAGAGCCTTCTGTCAATCTTCCGACCGGGCCCTCGACACACGCAGATGGGCAGAACATCGCCTCATACAAGCCTCATATTCGTTCGAGGCCCTCGCTCGCATCCTTTTGGTATGGGCACATCCGATTATAAAGATAGACGCAATGGCCACTTCACTACCGTAGATTCCCTGCGCTTCTAGATGGCCGGCAAGAATAACAACGAGGCCGTTCTACCCGTTTCCTCGACGGTGAATGATGAGATACCTTATTCTGTGGTACGAGACGAACTGCTTGAATTTGCTTCCTATCCCCAATGGCGTGCACTCCTGCTTGGGCGTTTTACGCAAAGAATATGAATGCACTGCTTCCTTTTAGGGTCAAAGACTTCATGTGCGCTCTCAATCCTCATACTATCACGGTCCATGCGTCCTGATGGCTATCCCCAGTACGAGTATCGAACGATTAAATGCTCACCATGAACTCCTCTCAGATAAATATACTGCACCCTCTATCGGGCCCGGATCGGCACAACAGCCATCATGCCCGACAGCGCCCGTCAACAACGGACTTCAACATGAACACAGGAAATGTCTCGTGGCGCTACGGGAGCTATCGGAGCACACTCACGGTCAGACACTTTCAGATGTTGAAGGCGTAGGAGGACGGCATGACGATGTACGAGTCGATGGTGGAGTTCTCGGCTTGGGATTCAAGAGGGCGTCGAGCAAGGCGTTAAGGGACAGGGCGGACACGTTCGCGAAGGAGTTGAAGGCTCGCGCAGAGGCGCTGGGGTAGAAGTCTTCTCCGTGAATAGGTTGTAGAGTACAAGGTCTATGAATTGTATAGATCTCTCCTAATATGCAGTTCAATCGCGGTAGAACAGCTCGAGATTACGCTGAGGCGTGTGGCGTGCGAAGCGGGTGATCGACCCGTCTGACGGGCCGGTGCAGTTGACGCGGCTTGCGGCTTGCCTCCGACGGCGACGTTGTCGGGGCCTCACATATACCACATATTCCACTGCCATATACGATCAAGTCCTGGAAGAGCGAAGGGTACGGATCACAGCTGATGCCGGAGCAACTGCAGTCGTCCTTTGACTTTCTGTTCTTGTCTCCATCAGGCTCGCCCCATGTCCTTACACGCGCTGTAGGATCATCGAAGCTCACCTCTCTACATAAGCTCTAGCTCGTGAACGCGGGACTGCTCGATAACTGATAAGACGGCCCGTTCTCATTATCGTAGCATCTTTCACCCATCCCCAGTCGGCGCACAACGATAATGGAATGGGTCATCTCCTACATCGACTACAATGCCACCAAGTACCAGGTGCAGAAGGCCCTCGAAACTGTCTTGCATGGCCCCGACATATACGATCCCGATGATCCGAAGCATAAAGGTCGCAAACCGAACTTTCTCGTCGAGCTCGTCGAATCCGAAATTGGGCGCCTGCACAAAGGGACGGGCTTCCTCACCCTCCCTAACTTGATCGGCAAACGTTTCGCGCAGTGGCTCCGCGAACCAGCGAACAAGAAAGCCGGGATTCGCGTGCTGAACAAGAAATTGCACTTCAAGCCATCGCCGCGCAAGATATGGCAGCAGAAGAAGCAGATACTGGAGAACGCGCTGTACATCGGCCCCGAGCAGGAAGAGGAGCACGAGAAGATCTTGGCCAAGACCGCGGTACAGCTCAGAGTGGCGAGAGTCCAGTTCGGAGTTTGGTACCGTCCACCGACGCCCAAAGGTGGCAGAATCCCCGACCGGATGTTCTCGGTGGAGTACGAGCGTGATTACACGCAGAACAGCGCCGCGTATATCGAGGTCGACTACGACTCCAAGTGCATCAGGGTTGAGGTGCGCCCGTCGTATCATTGTCTAAATGATAGGACTAAAGGCTTTCGTAGCTCGGTGAGCGTCACGCCGACGAACTGTGCAAGTACGTCGTCATCAAGTACACCAGCATCAAGAAGATGGTACGCCATTGTATATTTACTCTCATGGGCAGAAGCTTACCACTCTATCAGGGTATAGGCTTTGACTTTGGTCACCCCTGTGCGTACTGATACAACACCCGTCAAACATGAGCCTGATCAGATTCCAGTCATCGTCTTCGACATGTACGTGCCACCCGTGTTCGAAGAGAAGAACTTCAGCGGCGCGCCTCGAGACGGCTACCAGAGGCGGAAGAATAAGGACCGGGATCGCGTATCTGCTCTGGACGACCGACACGCCTTCGTTGCACCGTACTCTCCCCACCTCCGTGTCTTGCTATTTCGCCGCGACGATTTACTGTCGTTCGAACGCCTATGCGAGTTCGCTCAGTGCGAGCCACGCCCGATCCGTGTGCCTACTATTGAGGCTTCTAAGCTCGAGTTCTTCACACGCAAGAACCTGAATAGGTTGCACATTTGGATGACCGGGATGGACTGGAAGAACGCCTTTCAAAGTGAGTATCCGCACCCAATCCATATCGAACGCAACTGGTCTAACTCGCTACAGTTGAGGCCCTCTTACGCAGCAACCTACTCACGATGGAGGAGCTTCTGGGCGACATGCGCCTCCCCATCTCAGATGTCATGCAGCGTTATGGCTCCTACTCCAGCGAGATCCTGCGCTTATACAACGTCGAGCTCCAGATGCGCCAGCCTGGAGAGCCCGCGCTCGCCTGCCTCGACCGCGTAATTGACAAGAACGCCTCGCCTTCGCCACTACGTATGAACCCAGGCTGGTTCCTCTGTCACCACATTACCTTCACTCCCACCCGCGTCCTACTTGAAGGGCCCTACGCGACAGCGTCCAACCGTATCATCCGGCGCTACCAGAAGGAAACGGCCCCGAACCAGCTTGACAACTTTGTGCGCGTCGATTTCCGCGATGAGGACCGACTGAGCTACCGCTGGGACCGGCAGGTTGATGCGACGTACTTCCTGCAAAACCGCGTCGGCACGATCCTGAAAGAGGGCTTCGAGCTCGGCGGCAAACGGTTCGAGTTCCTCGCGTACTCGAATTCGGCGCTCAAGACACATGCGGTATGGTTCATGTCACCATTTACGGACCCGGACGAGGGATATGTCGACTCTGAGCGCATTAGGAGGAAGATTGGCGATTTCGGCGATCTGTGGACGCAACCGAGCAAACTGGCAGCGAGGATCGCGCAGGCTTTCAGCGCTACGGATCCGTCGGTTACGCTTGTCAAGGGTCAGTGGGAGGAGATGGACGATATTGAAACGGCGTGGACGACGGCGCGTGGGGAGGATGCTACGGCGACGCACACGGATGGTGTAGGGACTATCTCGCCCGAGTTGGGCGATATGATCTGGAGCGCGCTGTGTGAGGCATCTAGCGGGTGGCGCCAGAATCGGGTCAAACCATCTGTTGTGAGTCTATGATGGCATGAGCGTTGGTTCCAAGTACTGAGACCCGCCAGTACCAGATCCGCTTCCTGGGGTACAAGGGCGTGGTGGTGGTGGACGAGCGTCTAGAGGGCATTCTCATGCGTTTGCGCCCGTCTCAGCGCAAGTTCGAGTCGCATATGGTAGAGTCGGCGGGAATCGAGATCGCGAGGGCGTTCGACTATCCGAATAGAGTCCATCTGAACAGGTGCGTCTTGTTCCGTTCGCTTTCTCTTCCGCACGAGCACTGATGTACATGTTATAGGCCGGTGATCATGGTTCTTGAAGACCGTGGCGTTGACAAGGAACAGTTCATCGAGCTCCAGGAAGACGCTAAGCGGGACGTACTCACCGCGGAAGACAGCATCGGCAACTTTGCGAAGCATCTCCGCGCCAACAACGCCGGCGGGAAGTTTCACTTGGCATTCATTCTGGAATGCCTCGAGCTGTTTGGGCTGGACCTTACTGCGAGGGAGGGCAAGACGCCAGTCGGGAGCGAGCTCTTTGCGCGCCTTTTGCGGTACGCAGTCAACGACTCGTTGAGGACAATGAAGCATAAGGCGCGCATACCGGTTCCTGGAAGCTATCAGCTCGTCGGCGTTGCGGACGAGGGTCAAGCATATATCAAGGAGGGCGAAGATCCTAATGATGTCTTCACGCTTGATATGAACCAGATCTATGGTACGCTACTTCTGCGTCATGTCACCGCGTTCATCACTGAGTCTTGCAGTCTGCATACAGGAAGATGCGGACTCAGAGCCAATCTACCTAAAGGGGAAGTGTGTGGTCTCGCGCAGCCCAGTTGTTCATCCAGGAGACGGTGAGCATCTTGACTGGTTCAGGCCTTCCGTTCCGTTGTTGATGCTACGATCAGTCATCAACGTCTTTGCTATCGGAAAGCCGCCTGCGGGTAAGAAGTGCTTCTTCCGCAACTTGAAGAACGTCGTTGTTCTGCCTGTCGGAACTAAGCACGGTGCGTAGAAGGCAGCTCCCCATCTCGACGTTCCGATCGTATTCATAGTGTCTCCTAGATCACCGATCCATAGCGTCGTGTCTTGGCGGTGGAGACCTCGACGGGTAAAAACCATTCGCTTGCACCGTGATCCTCGTGCTTACAACTCTTTCCCAGAGATGTCTATGACATATACTACAAACACCAGGGACTGGCACCAACGACGGTTATACCACCTGCGGAGTACCCTACCGTGAAAGCCTATACACTCCCTGACGGTCGTACTGCCACCGTCGAGGACATTTGCGACTTCATTGTCGAATACATCAACTCTGATGTCCTGGTCAGTGGTCCCGACGACTTTCCTTTCGATGTAGTCACATAGCGCTCACACTCTGATCGTAGGGTCTTTTGGCAAAGCGGCATTTGACTATTGCAGGTCAGGCTTCTCACGAACGCGTAGCGCCATATTCTGGCTCATACATTGTATTCAGACCAAAGCAAAGAGGGCACAAGTGACCCGCGTTGCATGAAGCTTGCCGAGGTCCGTGCCTGTCCTTCGAGAGCGACTATGGTAACACTCATCCATGATCACAGCTCTGCAGCAGAGCCGTCGACTACCAGAAACACGGCAACGCGATCGACCCCGAGGGCGACGGCGTGCCCTACAACCTCATGCACTTCAAGCCAGACTGGCATCAAGCCGAGATCGCGGACCCGCGCGTGAACGACTATTACATCTCCAATCGCGCGCTCGGGCATCTCTACCGCGGTATCACACTGTTACCACTCGATCAACCTGTTGCGATCCCTGTCACGAACGATTGTCCTCCAATGGGCGATGCTATTTCGCTGGCGCTGGCGCCGACTGTACAGCGCCTCTTGCTTGAAAGCGCGTCTGATAACCCCGGGGCAGAGAACGAGCAATGGTCCACAAACGACGTGGCGTCGCTCTTCGGGCGCTACTACCGCGAACTGCGCTACATCCGCGCAACGCACACCCTCGCGGACATGCCCGGCGTATGCCTCGCCGAAGAAGAGGTTATCCTCGGCGCGATCCTCTCAGACTGCACGCAACCGCGCTGGCGCGCAGACCGCGTGTACCGTCTGCGGTTACACGCTGAAGCACTCGTTTCAGATACGCGCCGAAGATTGCTGTGCGAGGCGGACGCGCTAGCGCCGGATGATGCTGCGCTGCGTGCTGCATTGGCGCGCTCGTGGGTTGCGTGGGAGTGGGCGCAGAGGAACGCGAAGATGGAGGGCACGCAGAGTTTTGGGCTGTTGGTGTTGGGTGTGGTGTGTGATTGTCTGAAGAGGCTGGACGCGTTGCCTGTGCGTGCAGAAACACCGGAGGACGATAGTGATGCGGAGGACGACTACTGGTAGGCGCCGTCGAATGATAAGAAGAACACGTCCGGGGTGTAGAAGTAAACAGTGTACTGTGTCACCAGGCTTGTATCAAATTTCAATCTGTATTGCGCTCGCAAACGTTTCTATTGAGTTGGTCATGCAAGGCTTGAGGCCGCAACATGTATTCTCAACAGGTCCAATATAACATCGACAACAAAACAAACTATAGTACCTACTGCACCAAAGCACGCTCAGCACTCCATCCCACTCATACAGACGAGAAAGAAGTCCACTTACAAGATCAGAATCGGCCCGCCCAACGAGCTCGTCTACATCCGCGAACCCCACCATCTCCATCTCCGTCTCCGGCTCGTCCCTCCGAGCATTCTTCGCGTCTTCGGGATGTAGACCTAAGTACTGCACGAGGAAAACGCGCATGATGAGATTCCAGCGTCTGAGCGTTGGGAGGTGGAGTGCCGAGGCGTCGTCCTATCCGCACATGGTTCGTCAGATACTGGATGATGGGTGAAAGGAAGGGGATGGAGGACTTACACCAAGCGTATGCCACACCCTCGGAAACGGCTCCGCAATAACATGCAGCACGCTCACACCCCTCTGCAAAAACGGCACATGGTCGTCGCCCATATACCCCAACGCCCTCTCGCCCGCCCTCCTCGGCTGAAAAAAGCTCTCCCTTCCCAGCCCGCTCGCTTGCCCTTCACCATTTTCGCCACCTATGATCCCAGCGGACAACAACGCGTCTTCGGCCGCGATTAACGAGTCGAAGAGCCACGCCGTGTCGGGGAAGTACGACCGTATCTGCGGATGCGGCGCCCCCAGCAGATCGAGCAGCACGAGGTGCTCGATAAGCGCCAACGGCGTCGTCGACGCCCCGGGCCTCATAAACCGCCGTTTGCTGAGCATATGCGGCGCGAGGGGCTGGCTCTCCCAATACGCGGCGAGGTGCCGCGCGCCGTAGATGGAGTCGGCGTCGGTCCAGTCGTGGAACGCTTCTTCGCCGTCGAAGAAGATTAGTTGTAATGTTGTTTCGGCGGCGTCGAGGTCGGCGGTGGGCGGGAGGGCGTCGGATGCGACGAGTGCGTCGCGCGCGGTGAGGAGGGGGTCTAGGGATTGGGCGAGGTCGAGCATTAGGGCGCAGGGCGCGGCGGAGTCTGTTGCGCCGAGGAACTACTAAGCGTGCGCGTTCAGTCCAGTCAGTATTCACTCTCCCTAGTGTTCAACAATACACAACTTCGCACCTGGTTCTCGGGGTAGGTCGAGAAGAACTTGGAGTCGAAGTGGGCTGCTACGACTAGTCTGCGCGGGGCGTCGGGGTCTTTGGTCGCGATCACGTTCGTGAAGGGGCGGGTGCCGACGGGCGTGGAGGCGTTGAAGGTGTCGAGCTCGATTGTCCAGCCGAGGTCGGAGAGCGTTTGGACGATGTAGTTGCGGACGAAGGTGTTGTTGTTAGTTCCAGCTATCGACGGCATCATTAGTAATGATGCACAACGCGATGTAGAGATGAGTGCGAACGTACGCGCTCGAGGGATGAGTATCTTCGTGAGATGAGAGACCGGATTCGTAGAGTCGAGATGGCGCGAGGGATCAGGCATCTCAGAGAGCACCTCCAAGTCATCGGCGGACAGCGGTGTAAAGTCGCGTTCGCCGAGCGTTGCCTTCCCGAACGCATAAGATGCGCAGGATAATGCCCAGAGCCATGACGAGAGCAGGACCATGGCCGTCCGAACAAAGCCACGACTTGCGAAACGCGGGGAGAAAGTCCGACGATCCCGCTGCGCTCACGGCGTGACGTGTCCACAGTTTACGGATGAGAAGAAAGTGCCACAGCTAGCGACCAGTTGCAATATTGGTTATGTCCGTTTTCGGAAGCAAACACGCGTCTGTATGTGATGGAAGTTCGGGAGCAAGACGCGCGGGAGATCGGCAAGGGCGCGTCAGGCGCGTTCGATCGGGAGCGTCGCGTCCGACGCGTCTCTGCTCTTCCCCTTGACTTCGCCGTTCCTTTCGTCGCGTTGACCGCCAGCCACGATGCACACCCTCGCCCGACGCCGTCTGGCCTCTCTCCCCCAATCTCTCCCGAAAACTTTCCCGAAAACCCTCCCCCAAACGCGTCGATACGCGCAGCTCCAACCCAAGCCGACGCCTCAGCCCGAGCCCCACGCTCCGCCACCAGTGAACCCGGAAAAGAGCAGCGACGAGTCGGCGCTGACGCGGTATCTGCGCCGCTCGCCGCGTGCGGCTTGGGCGTTCTTCAAGATGGTCGGTTTCTTTGGCGCGGATAGTAAGAAGCAGGTCGCGGGGCGGCAGACGAGGGTGCTTTATCTGGATTTGTGTGCGCCGAGGGCGGAGGAGGACGCGGAGTTTTGGAAGGACCGTGAGTGTACTTTCTATGTTGATATTTTGTAGGGTTTAGGTTCGCGCTTTCTCTGTCGGTTGGATATGCACGCTCTGCGCGCTGTCACTGTGGCCCCTGAGCTCTACCGCCACAGCTCTTACTGCTACCTTACATGATACTGACTACGCATCTACAGAATGTCACCTGCCGCCAACCTTCCAATCCTGGTTCACAGTAACCAACCTACACGTCTGGATCCTCACCACCCGCCTCCGCGCCCTCCCATCCCCGCACGCGGACCTGTACGTCCAAGACCTGTGCGACCACTTCTTCCTCGACATCGAAGACCGCATGCGGCACGTCGTCGCGCCCGAGCTCCCGCCCGGCACGACGCCCGCCGACGAGAAATGGCACCGCCGCCTGCCCGACGCGCAGTACGAGTCCGAGCGCACGAGCCCGAGCAGCCCCACCTTCTACCAGATACGCAAGGGCCCGCGCGGGAAGTACCCGCCCGAGGCGTTCGTCACGCGCCAGATGAAGCTCTTCAGGGAGCAGTACCACGGCCTCCTCTTCGCGCTCGACCTCGCATTGGCGCACAACTCCGACGCCGAGCTCGGCGCCGCGCTCTGGCGCAACATCCTCGGCGGCCGCGGCGCGCGCGGCATCCCGTATCCCGGCGCGAACGTCGAGCTGCCCCCGGACGACCTGAGCGGCGTGAACGAGTTCGACGGGGCGAGTCTGGACAAGTACGTCCGGTTCCCCGAGACGATCGTGCAGCTTGTCAAGTATGTGCGGGCGGAGGTTACGCGGTTGGCGGAGCTGCCGGACGATGAGGTTATGGTGCAGCCTGGGGAGGATATGCAGATTTTGTATGAGAATTTGATGAGGGAGGGTAGGGAGGAGAGGGAGAGGGAGGCGGCGAGGAAGGGAAAGGCGTAGGGGTTGTCGTCGCGCGCTATGTTGTATCTTACACTCTGCTCGCCACCGACACGGCGAGCCATATAATGACCTTTCACTGTCAGTTTTGATACAAGCACTTGGGGCGACGTTTCGCGCACGTTCAAGATGTGTTCATGAGCTCAGTCCTCACACATGACCCCTACAGCTCTCGCAGCGATTTACTGCGCTCTTATGACGATGCAGCAACATGCAGGATCCTTGTTCGCGGTAGGCGACGTGTAGATGTGGACTCGCGTCATTGGGAGATTCGGCATTCGTAGTATCGAACCGTTGTCTAACGGATAGCTCATAGTTCAAGGAGTGGGCTATGTACCATACAGAGAGGGTACACATGTTCAACCATATGACGACCGGACTATCTTCTTGTGCTCGTCAACCGAGCGCGGACGTCGACGCGCCAATTGCTGTCTTCTGGTACGCGATGGCCCGGCACACGTTATGATCTTCTCATCAGCAGAAATTCGTGATACCACGCTGCAGGCAGCCGAGCAGCGTATCAACGTGCTGCGTATGAAAGTTTATCATATGATAATCGCGAGGAACGGTGTGTTTCACGCAGTCCTCGAGGTCTATGACGCGCCATTCGAAAACCCTCCCGGTTGTGCGACCAGGTAAACTTGGCAGAGCGTGTGGGGATCTCGAGACGCGTATGATGTTTCCGTGAGCGATGTCTCTGACGTCCACGAAGGACTCGCTGATCTCCTTGTACAGGTCGTGGATCTCGTTGCTACACAGGTATAGATTCAGCATGAGCACGAAGTAGAGGGTTCGGTAGGCTTACCACCAATCTTTGCCGAATCGTACATTCAGCGGAAGGCGTTCGTTCGAAAGACGTTCAAGAAGTAGGATCCCGACGATATTCGGAACGATCACTTCGAAATCACCAGACAGGTTCGGAACGCGCCTCGCGCGGTGACACTCCTGCATAAAGACCATGCCCTCTGGTATCTGTGCTTCGAAATAACCGTAGCATCTCGGGATGACAGCGCCCTGAAGGGACCGCAGGTCTTCATAGATCCATGCCTCGCGAGAAAGGCGTGGACGCAGATGCGGGAAACTGATCTTGGCGACAAGCTCTGGGACGTCTAGCGCTCCGGGTCCCTCGCAGCTGACAGCGTGCACATAGCCGGTACGACCGCACTCAAGGAGCGAGCCCAGCTTGAGCTCGAGGTGCTCGTGGCCGGGATGTTCGGCGTATAATGTGCTTTCCTCGGGCGCTGGAGGTTCTCCCTCAGTGCACAGAGGGTCCACCACGGAAAGCCTGAAAACGCCGGAGTTTCCGCGCGACGGCACGCCTCTGTGGAACTCTATGGGTTCGTTTGTGTCGGCGAATCCGTAAAGAGCTATAGTCTCGATAGCATTGAGGGCCTTGAAACTCAAGTTTCAGCATCGCGGTAACAAAAAGGGATGTAAAGAACGCACGATGGGCTCCTGGTTCCTCGACATATTCGGGACCGGGGAGGGTGAACGTGTGTTGTGTACTATTCACAAGCTGGCTTGAGTACGGCTTTACATTCTGGCGCCTCGCGCGATCGTCGTGGCCGTTTGATGAACATCATGTAGATTAAGCAGGACTGAGCACGTCAGAGATACGATGGGAGGAGACGGCTGATCTCTACTGAGAAGTTGTTGGCCGGTGCACGTAGACGAAGAAAAAAGACCTGTGGTCATGGTGGCAGTTCAAACGTTCAGGACGCGTCTGGCGGCGCGCGGGCATCCATGCCGCCGCGTTGCGGCATGCTTCCTCCGCCTCTTTCCTCAGCCCCTCATCATCTCGTCTCTTCCCACTCTCAGCGATTTAAAGAACTGCGCACGAGAGAATCACGATACATGCCTTTTCATCGTGGGCTGGGCCTGTGAAGGCGACGTTTATGCTGTTCGCCAGTAACGTTCTTCCTCCGGTTCTCAAGTGGTGATCAGCAAGAAGCACAACATCGCCGTCGACCGAATGCGCAGCGAGGATGACGAGGAACTCCGCTTCGATACGGGATCCATCTCTACTTTGCACCGAATGGCCTCAAAGACCATTGGCCGCCCGATATGGATGTACGCGAATGATTGGCGGCTGCTACGCGGCATGAAGGATGCACTTGAGGGTGCGTCGGGCTTCGTCTTTTATGCAGCAAGCTGATTGACGACAGTGCTCACCTTTAGGTCTCATCCGGGCCAAAGACTTAGGCATTGCCTATCACGATGTCGGTCCATACAGCATCATCCTCGCCGAGCGTGGGGCTCAAGGGCCCCTCGGGTACATCGTAGATCTCGATTGCGCGGACTTTGCAGCGAATGTCGCCCCGGATGATGGAAAGCAAAAGAGTGCGTCTACGTCCGCAAGTGTATGACCATCACAAAATCGGCTTTACTTCGTGTTGACTGTTCGTCACAGGGCACACTTCCCTTCCTTGCAACCGAGGTACTCGCCGCCAATGCCGTCGGACAACACTTCGCTCAAACCTTCGATCACGATGCAGAGTCCTTCGCCTATATTCTCTCCTACGCCGTGCTCAGGAGGTGCATCACTCTCGCCGAGAAAGGCGTCATGCAGCCGGAGTTCCGTGATGCCAAGAACGCAGGTGCTCACCGGCTTTTGATGACCGAATACAAGGCGATATTCGGCGGAGCGAGCTACGAGGTGTTACAACGGAGTCGCGGCCGCGCTGGTGGACATTTCAACTGGCCCGCAAGTATTGCGAACACGCCGGCAGGTCTGAGTTGGATGAGAGTATATGGGCCGAAGGAGTCGCTCTTTGACCTCTTCGCGACATTGGGAGAGGTGCAAATGGAGGTGATCGGGGCGCATATCAAAGCTGTCAAGAAGTCTTCCAAGAAACGGCTCTATGCCACTGCGCCCCAGGAGACGCCAGCGATACCGCCCTTCACTCATCCGGCTTTGATCACCTTCGAGCAAGTCAAGGAGCATTTCGACACGGCCCTCCAGACCGTCAGCCAGAACGAACCCGAGATGTTGTTACAGGAGGGTGAACGGCCGGAGGCGGATGAGGAGAACGACGAGGATGGCGAAACCGACGAGGACGACGAGGACGACAAGGATGACGATGAAGAGAGCGGCTAGTCAGGCGGTCTGTATGCAGGAAGGGGAGGGCAGCGACGTCACCGTACTACTCTGACGAAGTCCCTTTATCTAGCATATATATGTCCATTTCTTACAGGCAACCCACTGCGTACATTCTGAATTCTCGCCGCAAGCATGCGCCGTGACTTTCTGGGCTCAGCGCCAGCGCCAAGTAGTGAACATGATCTTTCAGGATGATCATTCGGTCTTGTGGGCTCCGCCTCGTTTTCTTGGGTATTCCTTTCGTGCCGGTACCTGCTGACAGCGCATTTTGAGTCAGGACGACCTTAGATACTGACGTCTTCAAACGCGATCAATCCTGTGCTTGTGTACCGACGATCACCTGCAGGCCGGTGACACGATGTCCTTCGCCCCGCAGAGGCCCCATCGCATCATTCATCGCCTCGCTGTCAGCACCATAGGACAGCCACTCTGGATGTATGCGAGCGACCAGCAACTGGTGAAGAGTATATTGGACGTCCTGGAAGGCACGGTCTTTCTTGCACTCTGCATTCGCATTCCATAGGCCTGACACACCACTTCGCAGGGCTGATGCGGCTCGAAGATCTTGGGATAGTCCGTCACGGCATCGATCCGGGCAACATCTTCCTCGCAGGGCGCGTCTGCGACGGTCCGTATACTTATGTCATCGACCTTGACCACACTGAAGTACGTTATCTCACCGGCGAGAATGGTTCAATCGCTCAAAACTCCGCTCTCAAACCTAGTCTGGGTCGAGAGTCCCCGCACCTGCACACCAACCCGGAAACGTGGCCGAGTCTCTCGCATATGCTCTCAGCTACGCAATGCTGAGGAAGTGTTTGGTACTCGCGCTGAAAGGTGATAAAGATGGGAGGTATCCGGAGTCTAAGAACGCAGCCGCGTTTGAGCACTTGATGGAATCGTATACAAGTATCTTCGGACCAACGGACGACGCATGCTTTCGTAATAGTCATTTCAGCAAGTTCATCTGGATCTACGCTACTCGAACAAACCCGAAGGTGGAGGCATGGATGTGGGACCATGGCCCAGGCGCACCGCTCATTGGTGTCTTCGTTGAACTGTACGAGGCACAGTCGACCTCGCGCGTTCAAAGTATGATGGCTTCAAGCAAGCAGCGCCGCTCTCGGCCGAGCACGGAACGCGTTTTGGAAGTTGCGCCCTGGATCGACTTCGAAACTCTGAAGGCTCTACTTCAGAACGCGCTCGAGGAAGAAACCTCGAACCCCTCAGAGCGTATACATACATGACGCGTGGGGACAGCATGGGCCGTATCGGGAGCCGCAGAAGACAAAGTGGGCGTGGGTGAACGGTCCCGGAGACGCTGAAGCTAATGCGTTCGACGAAGAGGAAGAGTACAAGATACCGTGAAGGAGGACGCGCTCAGGATCAACAATGCGTCGATGAGACCAGTCAACTTCGAATTCTCAACCACACATGTAGCATACCTAGCAATATTCTGCCATCCGGAAGCTTGACTACATTGGAAGATAGAGAGTCTGCGAGCAACTCGAATGTAGGGGGCGCGCGCTGCACCATCCACAGCGGCGCTTAAGTAGGACGCCTGGACTCTCGGCTTCGTCCTCGTCTACACTCGCAACACACGCAAGTGGCCGTGCGCTTGCTTGATCTCTTGTACATGAGCGGTGCCGGTCGTGCTATCCAATCTGTCGAGCAACCATCGTATGCCGCTTGCAAGCTCGGGAGCATCAGCCGCCAGGTCCAGGCCGGCGCTGCTAATCGGTAGGATCAACTAGGTGTTGGTGCTCTCGGGGTGTACCTATGTGCGAACTCCAGCACAAGTACGAAGGGGGATTCAAATTAACCACTATCATGAAGTTGCAGAAGTTCGCGGCCGGTGCACGGACCAAGTGAAAGTTGGTGGTCTGTAGTCGACCAGCAGTGCGCCCAAGACGTGCGCGCGCCATCATTTCGCGCCGGCACTACATACCGCGTCGCGCTGCAACGTGTTTCCTTCCACCACCATCCCCGGTAGAGACTGGCTCTAGTCTGAATCATCATGAAGTTCTTCGCCTACATCTGCGCTGCCGTTTCGTCGCGTTCCGCGCCGTCTTCGAAGTACCCTACGTAAGACGATACTCGGGGCGAATCTTGCCCCAGCCCGCCTCGCAGGACAGCACGAGCACTCTGTATCCGGGGCGTCTACATTCCTCCAAGAACGTGAGTAATCCTTCTGATACGACCCCTATGGGAGTGTCATTTCGTATTGTCGCTTCGCACCGCCGGCTCAATTGGTGGTCGTGACAAACGTCTCAGCTTGACATCGTGAACTCCGTATACTGACTATCCTTTTACAGAACGTCATTCACCACTTACCTCGCCTCCACCCCTGGAACCACTGAAACTGTCCCTGCGCCCATCCCTCTCCACATCAGGCATATGTGATAGGCCTTATCGAAGGCCGCCGGACACGTTGTTGCGGAATTTCGCGCGTCACATCATATATGCGACAGGAGACGACATTTACGGCCCAGGAACGAACATCACGGCTACTACGAGCTCTTTCGCTGGAAATAAACCCAGCAGCCGCCGGGAGCGTTTCCAGTAGCCGTGCCACGGCCTCCAGGCCACCTCTCCAGGCCAGACTCCCCTCCGTCCTCCATCCGAAGAAGCGCGGCGACGACCCTCACCGCCTCAAGCCTTCTTCGCACGTCATCTGGATGTCGATGATTAATTGTATTACATCTCGAGGGGGAGATGTGGTATACGACATGTACACGCCCACGCGCGACGCAGGTCTGCGACTCTTACAAACATGTGAGCCCCTTTCCCATGATACAGTACCGTACACTGACTATCTTTTATCAAGGTCACACGTCTACAAGCATACAGATTCCCGCTCACAGCAACATCGAACCCTGTGTCTCTAGCCTCATGAATGAGCCCGCACTCCTTAGACCTGCGTTCGCGACCTCGGGATTTCCTGTATACCCATTTGCCTCCAATGCATGTCGTTCGAAGTCATGGGTCGCGCCTGTACCTTAACACATTCTTGCCTGGCCCACTAGAAGATGTCGGGTCTTCTGTGGGCGTCTTACAGAGTAACAGCTGACTTCAGAAGCGGGTGCAGCTCGATTGCATCACTACTTCTGCATTTGCCGCCGTGATGGATTCCGCCTACTCTCATGCTGATGGACCTGAGCAGGTGCCCGCTGAAGCCATGCCTGACTGCATTGTCGTTATACATGGCTCGAGCCTTCAAAAACCGCCCGCCTGAACGCGTTCTGGCAGGCCCGTGCATGGTCAAAGCTTCCCATACAGGCAATAGCTCCGGATCCATCTAGAAGAGGTGTCTAACAGCCCATATCTCGTTCCAATCGCGATCTTCGTGCGCCATATCGGGAGTCGCCGTTCTGACAAGCGCTTGACGTGCGTCTTTCGAAACTTCTTTTCGCCTCTGTACGCCGCATTGACTGAACGAAGCTACAGACGAGCTCCAAAGACTTCATATCCGAATCAGAGACAGGCTGTCAAGAGGGCCGAATGTTGCACACGGAGTGCTATTCGGCCCATGCGGCTGATACATATACCCTTCTGTCACTCATCACTGCACGGGCACCAGTTCACCATCCCCCAATCCCATCATGACCTCTACGGATGCCGGCGAACTCAACACAGTCATCGATGCCATCAATGCGAAGCATGGGTATGTCTAGTACAGATGTGCGCTCTCTACATACGCGGATTCGCTAAGCACGCACGCAGGCAACTCGCTAAACGTCAAGGGGATGCTCAAGAGGTCAACGACGAACCATCTGAGTACGTACTGGCTCAAGATATTCGGATATACTATAGATTAACTGTTCGTCCAGAAACCCAGCAAAAAGGTGCATATACACGCGCCGGAAGTGACAGAGACCCGTCCTGAATTGTGTTTCTGCAGCATCGCACCAGCTTTAGCCGTTCAGGCGAAACCCAACAGGCGAGTCGATGAATCCTCAGCCTCCGCCTTGCTCTCATTGACCGTTGTCTGACAGACTTTATGCCGTGATCATAGGCGTTGACGAATACGAAGCAGGATATACCTCCCTCGAAGGCGCTGTCGAAGATGCGAGCGCTGTCGAGGCTTTTCTACTCGATCAGAAACCTGCGGTGGCCGCTGGACGCATCAAGAGACTGACGAATGAACAAGCTACGGCTGCCAAGATTGTGGAGACCATCACGAGTTTCTGGCGGCATACCTGCGACGACGAATCTTCTTGCGTATGCGCTGTGAAAGACGTGGAGAAGGATGATCCTATTCTTATCTACTACGCGGGCCATGGTAGCAATCTCCCGAAACCAAATGGATGGCCGACCGCGAGCTCGCATATCCAGTGCATAGCGCCATATGGCGTTCGGGTCGAGGGCGGCCTTGTGAAAGGCGTGGTCTCCGATCGAGCGCTAGGCACCCTTCTCATCAAGCTGGCAGAAGCCAAAGGTAACAACATCGTCAGTATCGGTTCCCCTCTCATGCCATACAGTACGAAGCTAATGCTGGATTCAGACCGTCATCCTTGACTGTTGCCATTCGGGCTCTGGAACGCGCGACAACGACAGTATTCCACGCGGTTTGGAGTTCAAGAGCTATGACCCTGTTCGAGACGAAGCCATCTACGTAGGTCACTGGCTGAGTCGCATATTTGGTATAATTAGTCTAACATTCATCTCTAAGCACACGATCGATTCATCATACGAAGAAGAGGTCTATAGAAACGATGCCAACCATCCCAACGCGAGCAACCAGACTGCAGGACCGCGGTTCGCAGACAGCGATCTGCAGTCCCACATACTTCTTGCCGCGTGCAGCCCGGAACAATCCGCCTTCGAGAATCGCTCTGTCCGCAGAGGTCGCTTCACCTCCGCTCTTTTGACATTACTGCGGAAGCCGGGCACGGGCACCTTGACCTACGCGGAGCTGATTCAGAGGTTGGATAACCTGCCTCAGTGCGTCTCTTCGGATTCGGTCCCCTCGCTTTTGTATACACATACTGACTTACATGCAGGCAGACTCCCCAATGCGAGGGTTATTACAAAAACTCTCGCGTGATCTTCGAGGCAGGCCTGGTGCAACGCATTCGCGATTGCTATGCCGTCTCCAAGTCGGGCGAGCCATCGTACTCTGTTCGCGCCGGCCTCAATGATGGTGTGATGGTTGGAGACGTCTTTGAAGTTTATCGCAACGACAAGGCCCTGGCCATGGCGGCAAAACCTCTCGCTCATATGGTCGTGGATTCCGTGAACGCCTCTGCAAGCTTTGTCATCCCAGTCGGTCCACAACACCTCGACAAGATACCCTCTGGCCGTCAACCCACCGTGGTACTTCGTCCCAAGAAGCGCACTCCCACAGGCCATCCCGGCAAGGGCGCTCCGCTCAGTAAGGGTTACCACCTCGTGAAATCGATGTACATCTTGCGCGCCGGTCGCATTCATGGCGTCAGCGAAGGGGACGTCTTCGCTGTCTACGAAAGTAAAGCGGCGTATATCTCAGCGTCCGCTTCTTCTGGGAGGCTTGTCGTTGCATTTGCGAAGGCCGTGACAAGCTCTATGGCACCTGTAGAAGACTCGACGGGGGCTCTTCTTCGTCTTCTTGAGACAACTCAGCATGCTGTCGCCATTCTAGAGCGCGCCGGCACGTCGCACGTTTTCCGTTGCCACGTTGACTCCGATGCACACCCGGACCTCTACAAGATGGTGGCGTCAGCGCTGGCAAAGGATGCTCTCGATCCCGCAGGACGTTTGGGCTGCAACATAGTGTTTTCGGCTCTGGAAGAGTCCTGTATCGCCCTCGTTCCTGCGGTCGACACTACCGACACCGTTGACTTGATTATACTGGATGAACGTATCCGGGCGCTGGGGATAGAGAAGCTTTCAGGACGTGTGGTCCACAAGGTGGACCCTATTCGTGCCGCCCTACGCTCCGCTGCCCACTTCTTCTACCATCTCGACTCGTCACCCGACCAGCAGGGGTTCAAGAATGGTGTGACGTGGAAAATGCACATCATGCACGACGAAATGATATTCTACGACGACGATAAGAAGCGTGTCCCCATGCCAGTCTACCGACCCGTCATGGAAGTGGACGACTTCTCGACCTCGGGTGTATTCAGTCCGACGGTGTCACTACCGGGCGATGGAAACATCACCGCGTATGGCATGGACGTCTCGATTGTGCCCGAGTCCAAGTATAACTTCTTTGTCTGGTTGTTCTACTTCGACTGCAGCACTCTAAGGATTAGTAAGTCCTGCATCTGGTTCAAAAATGACATGCAGAGCTGACATTGGGCTCACAAACAACAGAGCAACACTACGGGCCCCCCATTATCAAGGACGATGCCACGCCGCCATTGATTGCTGGCTCCAAAGAGCCACTCCCGTTGAACTACGGCGACGCTGGCTCGCTTCCCTTTATATTCAGGCTCCCGAACAATATACATCGTGAGGTCGGCTTTCTCCGTTTATTTGTCTCGACCCACTACACCGACCTTTCGTCTATCGAACAAGGACCAGTGGTGGAGCCCGGGAGGGACTCTGAGCAAGTGGTGTCGCATAAGGCATCGACACAAGGCTGGGACGCAGTCACTTTCGCTGTCGTGATCACGGACGAGAAGCCTCAAGACGCAGACTCCGAGTCTGAGCTCGATGAACAGGATGTTAACGAAGAACCGCAGGGATAGGTAAAGGACTGTGGACTTGTATCTTGTATCAAGACGGATGGGCATATGTGATTTGATGTATGCGACTTGGAGATCAAGCAGAGTTCATTGTTCGAAAGCGTCCTTCACGCGCTTGACCGGCGACAACAATCAAATCAGTCTGCTTCCGCCATGAAGCCGATGAAGAATTCAAACCTTCCCTGATATCGATGTAAGTAAGTAAGTAATCCCTGGGGTCAACCGATTGGGACTGGGGAGATCTGGGCCCAGCACGTGTTGCCACGGGCTGAAGAGACTCACATAGTACAACCCATCGCACTGTACTAAAGAAGTGGACCGACGATGTGATTAGATCTGAGAAGCCGTTCAGATGATCTCCAGATGCAGATCATCAATGCATGACATCACATCCGACGTCTCAGTGACGAGACGCGCCAGCGCGCAGAAATGGATGCATATGTCAAATCGAAGGCGCTAATTAATTATATAATGGGACTACACAGTTTGTACACATTTATTTAAACATTGCCGATACTCAGATTCCGAAATGCACAAAGGGCACCCAACGAATAAAGTCAGTCTCGCCAGCCTCGTCTCTCAGCGCCCTCGTCGCCTCATGCAGTGCGTCAGCCGCTCCAGTCACTCCTAGGTTCCCAAACTCGTGCAGGGCGAGCAACTTCTTATAGAACACGTCGACAACAAGAGGCGCGTCGGCATCTTGAATCGACCACATCGTGGCGACGACAGCCTTGAATCCGACGGATAGCATGCCTGCAGCAAGATGCGCGGATTCTTCGGGGGTTTTCTCATCTCCAACTGCAGTCTGACAAGCTGAGAGGAAGGCGAGCTCGTTGCTCTCTCCCGTGGTTCCCATGATATCAGACAAGGTGAGTGAGCCATCGAAGAGCTCGAACGCGCTCTTGGTGAGATCATCACGGTTTTGGAAGCCGTGGCATGCCAAATGCACCCATGGGTATCGAGACATGGAGGAACGAACTTCTTTGACAGTTGCAGCATCGTTATTGAGCCATTTGTTTGCGATTTGCAATGCACCGAGACTAGCCTTGAGCCTCCAGCCCTCATAGAGCGTCCCGGGAAGCGGAGAGTGATTGGGTGTCGCGGGTTGGGTGACAATGAGCACCTCGCGTTTCGAATGAGGCTCACTAGCCTTTTGGTAGCAGCGTACAAGCGCCGTGAGGGAAGGAATGTAGGAGGACACGACAGTCTGGTATAGACGAGGACCGTCAGGTTCAGCGTAGACACCTGCAGCATGCAATGGCAGTTGCATGAGAGCTCCGGTAGGACACCAAGTGATATGCGATGGAGGATGACGCCCAGCCTATACCATACGAAAGTGAGCAAAAAAATCTCATATGCATGCTGAACACTTACCTCAGAGGCAGCGCCAATATGAAGAGCGTTAAGTACGGGAGACACAATCCAGTTCCAAAGATGTCCCAGAATGCACATCAAGGGATCTATCCGGCCACCACGTTCGTTCGCCCACGAAACTGATGATCCGCGGGAGCGGACCTTGCCCCCAGTCGTGTGAATGATCCATAGATGGCGCAGCTCAACTGCACGCTCATACGAAAGGTCGGATAGCGGCACCACTGTAACTTCACCGGAAGGAGACAAGAGAAGAGCATCGCAGCGCGTCTTATCAACATTTATGAAAACGATAGGTCCGCCCATGACTTGGGTTGAAGGGATCAGAGTATCAAGCCGTTTCGGGCGAAGAAATCCCTTGAAACCGGGTAAGCTGCGAATCTGATTCAGAAGCGAGTCGAACTCGATGGCCAACTCGCGGTGACGATCTGCCGCGGCATTGGTGGCAAGCCCCGGAACTTCACGCAAGCTCTTTGGATTAGCGGCGAAGGTTATGTGCGCAGATAGCTGAAGTCTCGTTTGAATTTCATGCAGCGATTCTGCAAGTTTGGGGTGAGACCCTTGTAAGTCATCGAGTGGAGTGCGCAGTGATAGCACTTGCGACCAGATGAGTGATCTGCCTGCCTCAAGCCATTCTATGGCTTGAACTGGAGAACCGGCGCTGATGGCAGCGGCCACAGCAGCGTGCACGAGCTCTCCTACTTGCGCAGATTCCTCGTAACGCCGATCAATGCTGCTCCCTAACCATACAATCTCCGGCAAAACGTCGAAGATGCGTGAATGTGCAGCTAGTAGGGGCTCAAAGGAACCACTGGCCAAATTGCTAGAGGCCATTGCGATACAACACTTTGCAGAGAACAACCGGATGGAGGGAGCACCGAGCGGCCGCAATGTTGATTCGGTAAACTGAGATACAGCGGCATGGAAGTCGTTGATGTTACGCTGTCGCTGGAATCGGGCGCGTAACGACAACGCCAAACTGATCTGACATTTGGGCTTTTCCGGATGGCCGTCTGGTAAAGAGACGACCGCAAGCTGTAGCGACGTAATGGATTCTTCGAGATCTTTGAGTTCTCCCAAATGTTCAAAGCGCGTGAACAAAGCACTGCCAAGGTTATGAAGCCGAGCCAGTCGGTGCGGGTGCCCGTCGGGCGTGAGGTCGGCCGCACGACGGTATAGAGAAGTGGCCTCCTCAATACTGTGCAGTTCTCCGAATCGATAGAAGTGTCCATGGAAGGAGTCAGCTAGGCAGCCGAGTGCGACAGGTTTGTAGGTGTCTCCATCGGATGTCAACTCGACTGCACGGCGCTGCACTAAAATCGCTTCCTCGATGTCGCTCGACATGCCGCATAGCTCAAAGTAGTGAAGTAACGAGGTACCGAGATCGTTGAGCCGGCATGGCTTGCTCGTATGTTCGTCGTGTGTGAGCTCGACTGCTAAGCGCTGAACTAATGTGGCATCTTCGATATCTCGTAGCTCCCTGAGTTGATAGAAGCGCGTTCGCATGATGTTACCAAGGGCATGGAGGTGATCTGGCTTCTCCTGATGTCCATCCGGCGTAAGTTCAACCGCGCAACGTTGCGCGGAAATGGCCTCCTCCAGACTACGGAGTTCCCCGAACCGGAAGAAGTGGCTCCTCAGCACATCAGCGAGGTTGCTGAGATACAATGGTTTCCCAGAGTATTCGTCCGGAACGAGGTCTACTGCGCGACGCTGCGCCAGAATCGACCCTTCAATGTCACAGACTTGCCCGAGCCAGCCGAACCGGCGGGAAAGTACCCTTCCAAGATTATTCAGCATGGCCGGTTTTTCTGGATGGCCGTCAGGTATGAGCTCCACTGCGCGACGTTGAACCAAGCAAGACTCCTCGAGGTCTTTGAGTTCCTGAAGCCGTTCAAAGCGCAAGCTCAACATGTTCCCGAGGTTCGTAAGATATCCTGGTTTACTTGGATGGCCTTCAGGTGTAAGAGCGACTGCCTGACGTTGAGATGAGATGGCACCATCGATATCACTAAGAGCATCGACAGTACTTCGGCAGTGCACGTATAGGGAGCTTCCGAGGTTATTGAGGAAGGTTGCCTTTTGGGGGTGTCCATCGGGAATGGGGGCCACTGCACGCCGTCGCAGCGTGATCGCCTCGTCAATGTCGCAGCGCTGACCGAGACGTTCGAATCGACTCTGTAATATACCGCCCAGAATATCAAGTCGGCCTGGTTTGTCTGGATGATCATCGAGTGTGAGGGTCAACGCGTAGCGTTGTGCTGAGAGGGCGTTCTCGAGATCACTTAGTTCTCCGCGCCGACGAAAACGGGTTCCTAAGCTGTTCGCGAGGTTGGTGAGCAGGGTCGCTTTGCTCGGGAATCCGTCGGGAACGAGAGCGATTGCGCGACGGAGCACCAAGATCGACTCGTCGATGTGCGTGAGCCCTCCAAGTCGCTCGAAGCGATCACACAGCGAGCTTCCCAAGTTGTTGAGAAAGGAAGACTTGTGGGGGTGATCGTGGGGAATGAGGTCAGATGCGCGACGCAATGCCGAGATGGCATCATCGATGTCGTCGGGCTCCTGGAGCCGCTCAAACCGATCTCGCAACGAGACGCCGAGATCGTTGTGCAGAGTCGGCAGTTCTGGGTGGTTGGGCGACGCGATACCTATCGCGCAGCGGTATGCCCAAATCGCGTCGTCGATATCCAGAAGATCTCTTCGACGCCCGTAGCGCCCGTAGAGCGCGTCCCCAAGGCGCTTGAGCCAAGATGCCCGATGAGGGTGACGTCCAGGATAAAGTTCCTCCACCCGACCAACAGCAGCCCTCACATCCTCTACATCGTCCTGTCCGACAAGCTGACGCTCCCTTATTCCTACGAGCCGCGCGCAATCCTCAGAGGTAAGCTGTGCGCAATCGTATGCTGGACGTGGTGAAAATGCAGGCGAGCGCTCAAAATATGTTGCGAGAGATGATTTATTGGCGTCCTGCATCGGATAAATCCATCAGCGGTGGATAGCTAGGAGGTAGACAGACGGATAGTGCTCACCATGCGCGCTGCAATCACACAAGTTATCGCGATCGTAGGAGGGAATGAAGCAGAAACTTGAAACACGCGTAAATAGCGTTCCCTAAGGAAGGCGCCGAAATATATACCTATGCGTTCGCGTACCCAGGCCTGTCACAAATGGGCGCAAGCCCGCGCGCCCCTTAGGGACTGTTGACGCGCGTCGATCATGGAGTTGTATAAGCACCTGGTTGCCTACCAACTCTAGAAGGCTCTGCAGCCCTTTGACTGGAATGAGGTCCGCACGATGCAGCTGAGGCAGCAGTCACGCCTGTACAGCGCCCAGATGCCCGAGGGCTTTAGTGTTGGATTTGGTATGCAGAGGGTGCGATTGTTCACGTCATGTGATATTGAAACGGCTTAGTTGACAACTACCGAGCATTCTCTTGGGGGAGCGTACTCATTGTAAGAACCTGAAGCCTGTCCGAGTCCGAGCCTGCTGCCACTGCTTCAAGTGCTTGGTAGTGGTTGTCGCTGGTTCAGGTTGAGCCGGTCTGAGCCGACGGGCCCGGAACACGGTCAGCTGACCTGTCTATGCGCCTCGACGCGCTTTTCGGAGTGCCCGTGCCGTTGGACCCGCCGACTCGTGTTGGGAACCTTCTGAGTCAAGAACAACTATACTGAGCACTGGAACCTAGTTAATTTAGTATATACTCTCTAAATGTCAATTTTTTGCGAATATGGAAAGGGACATCAATTCGGAGGCGACATACAAGTGTGGGGTATTGCTGATGCCTAGTGTTCACCTCGTATGATTATCGCTTGATCTTACCTCGGCAAGCATCCAACCAGGAGTGTGCATACGAGTCTCATTTAGGGTATCCATGTACAACCAGTGTCATGTAGTACTTTACCATCCCGCGCATGTTACATGCTATCAGACCTGTACTCGTTTAGAGCCGTCGTTTCAAGAGAGCTTTACGATTTATCTTGACACGAGAGATGTACAAGGGAGTCCGCCTGTATACAGTCTTTATATATCAATCACTATCACTCCAGCCCTGATCGACGCCTGTCTCATCACGGGTAAGCACGACGGCGAACGTGAGTGCATCCCATCCCTCCACTGCGGGTTTAGATGTCAAGACTGGACTACAGCCCCGACCAGAGTCAACAATCGGTGCTTGTTGAATTTCTGCGAGATCAGTGTAATGCGTCGACAGGAAGAGTCGCAGGAAACCGACTTCGCGGCAGATCCCAGTTGGAAGCTTGAAGATAAAGGGTGCATGACCGGCGTCGCCATAGTTCAGCGGTAACGGCTCTCGAGCGTCAACGCGTAAGGGCGCCGTGCCATTGCCATCCCGCACTATGGGCGGGGAATAATATTGATCTAAGGTGATCGTGCACTTGGTGTGAGTACCAGAAAGGCCGATACATCAGCGGATCAGACTCACTGATTCCGAGCGTTCCGCAATTGAAATAGAAAAGCCACACGAACAGGTCGCATTTTGCCTTGCGAACCAGCGAGATATCCATACCGTATAAGTAGACAGCTCCATCTTCGGTTTGCGAGACCGCGGGCTTGAGCACACCCGAAGTTTGAAAGTCGTCAACTTCGATGATGGGTCGGTAGACGGGAATGGGAACGTGAGAGCTACCGCTCGCATGATAGTCAATGCTATCGATCATCTGCCACATACGTACAGACACGTCGGTCTTGTGTTTTTGCTTTTCGGGAGAGGAGTCGAGATAGTAGAAGAAGTGCGCAGCAGATCGCAGGGCAGCTCGAAGAGATGCTACCTCTCTAACAATAGTCCCGTTGAGTTTCTCCGAACCCAGCATCCTAACGCGCGTGTCCAATATGACAAGATCGACAGTATCGTTGTCGGCTGGGACGATTGAGAGGCATGCCTCTTCAAGAGGAGTAAGCATCAAGCAACTTCCAAAGCGACCAGCCGGATCAAGTGACTCCTTCGCCAAAGCCAAGGCCACCAATTCGCACAGCTGCGGATGTTCTTGGGCATCTACATGCACACCGAATGGTTTCCGTGCACTTGCATGGTCCAAAATAGCGACAGACTTCGCAGCGGTATCAGACACGGTGAGGTTCGAGCATCCGTGGGGTGACAGGGCGCTCGTGGTCGCATTCACGAAATTGACCATCAGTCTGCCGGACGGAGGCGATGCCGAGATGTAAGCATCTTTATGTTCGTATACGGCGAAAACGTCCCCTTCAATAATACCGTGGATGCGACCGGCGTATAGTGTGTGTGTCGATTTGATGATTGCCGAAGATACGCAATATGGTCTCCTAGCATCTACACAAGAGCCCGTAGTGGTCTTCGTACGGGCTAGCACGGCAACAGCGTTGGGATACTTGTCTAGTATATCGGATCGAGGATTTCCGATAGGCAAGACGGAGCTCGTGAATTGATTCGTAGCGTCGACTACGAGGTTGAGAAGGGGCGTAGTTTGGGAAGACCAGGTTCTTTCGTCCGGGTAGACCGCAAGGACATCTCGTTCTCTCACGCCGTCTTTGCGACCAGCACGCAGGTGATAAGACGGCACGGATTCAACGACGTTGTAACAATCGCGAATGCGTTGTACAAGGCCCGTGTCAAAGATTAGGCGCGTGCCGCTGTCACGGCCCTCACATTGAGGTGTCTGCCTGTCTAAAAGTCAGTATAGTCACGGTGAATGGAGACCCATCATTGTACGCACAATGGTAGCTTGTCCAGCCTCTTGATCAATTCAGAGTACGTCATCGCGCCCGCAGTTGGCTGCTTCAGGAGCGCTAGAAGTGCCGAAGTGAAACGACCGCCGTGGACCACGCAATCCTCGTAGGCGCTTTGGTCTGGACTGCAAGCAGCGAGAAGTACGTGAGACTGCAGACTGCCATTGGCAAACGCCGAAGGGTCGACCTTGCCTCCCACGCCGCGCTCAATACTCCGAAGACTCCGGTCTTGACAGTTGTCGGCACCCCATATCTCCTTTTGGTACGAGGGATCGATTGTATGCTGTGAGCGCTGCTTAGACGGCTGAAATGCAATATCGACTATCTTCACATACATAGATCACTTCGTCTTCGCCTGGTCTATAGCTCTTGAACTCAATGCCACGAGGAATGCTGTCACTGTCCCGAGTCCCCGAGCCTGAATGGCAGCAATCAAGAACGACGGTCTGGAGCGTAAATCAGTCATGTGAGGGCAAAGTAGCAGGCATGACTGACGATGTTATCGCCCTTATTGTTGGCCAACTCCCTCAGAAGAGCGCCGAACACTCGATCCGGAATGACGCCCTTGACAACGCCATTTTCTACCCGCGCATCGTATGGCGCAAGAGCCTGAATGTGCGAGCTCGCGGTTGGCCATCCATCCGGTTTGGGAAGACTGCACCCATGACCCGCATAGAATATCAGGATGGGGTCGTCTCTTCGTACGTTCTCGACGGCACACGTGCAGCGAGCCTTGCTATCGCAGACATGCCGCCAAAAGCTCCTGATACTCGCGATGATGTTGGCCTCAGTAGCTTGTTCATTCGTCAGAATCTTGATGCGTTCAGCACGGACTGGAGGGTTCTGGCTCAGCAAGAAAGCCTCCACGTTATGTGCATCCTTCACGGCGCCCCGGAGACTTCTATACCCGTCACCTTGATAGTCGTCGACTCCAATCAGGAGGGCAAAGAGCCTATGATGGCGTTGAGGAATGAAGCATTCTCTTTGCAATTTCGACTCACCTATTCGGACGACCTCTAGTCACCAGTCCCGGTGTCGTACTGCTCAATAGCTCAGAGCGTAGACGTAGGAAGCCACACTTCGCGTCCCACCTTTCTTCCAGTGAAGACCTAAAGACAGATTCAGTCTATCAGGTCCTAAGGACAAGGAGATTGAGCCGCACCCTGCTCTTATTTCGTCATCATCTAGTCCAGTCTCTTGGAGTCTAGCCAACTGCCTGCAGGTACGGATGAGCTGATGTCTGAACGTAACGATTGTATAACCTTACTTAGACCTCTCCATGACAGCCTTCAGCACACACCGTTCATCGGCGAGTTCAACGACGACATCGTTTGGAGATGAGGCCATAGTATTAGTAGCGAATGAGTGTTGAGCGATGGGCGTCGAGAGGCGGTCCAAAAGGCCGATCGATCCTCTGATCGGGAAAAGCGGGAAGCAGAAGGCTGTTCGCGTGGCTTCAATCACACGCTCGCGGACGGCCGTATACGCTGTAAGTAGTCCGTCGTCACTCATAGTTCTCGAGGCGCTCACTTTGCTTCGCATGGAAAGGTACAGATTGTAGATGGGGCCAACACGAGCCTTCACGAGGTGCCGCTTGATCTGAAAGGTACATGGTCAGAATAGGAGCGACATCGGACACGAAAACTTGGATTTACCGCACATGTATAACGTATGAAGTATGAAAGCTGAGGAGGTCAACGGGAGCGCGAATCGAGGTCCGTAACCCTCAGGATAGTCATCAAGATATATGTGAATCAACACTGTAATTCTACGCCATATGTACATATCTGTGGAGCGGATGCGAGCGCAGCGATAACGAGGATGATACGAGTGTAGAGCGAAGAATTATGGAGGACGAGGCAGTAAGGTATCCTCTTAGTACATATCTTGAGCAGTGGTCCGAAAGCAAGAAGATGGCTAATGCGATTGCATGGGTACAGCTCAGCCTGCTGACGGGAAAAAAAAACTTTAGTGAAACGTAAGTCCTACTCGCGACTGAGTTTCTATGCATGAAGCTAGACGATGATTTGGCCAAGTTATGCGTCACCTCGCGTACGGTGCCGTGCAGTTGCCGATAAATGGCGCAGCGCGATCGCGGTCGGTGTCGCATGAAGGCGGGCTGAAGCACCCAAAGGTAGTCGTAGTTGTGTTACTGCCGAAGTTGAGTCCACAGCGTGCGCCGTAGATCATCCGTCTTGTAAGGGCTGTGATGGGGGACTGCATGCACCGTCAAGCTTGCGAGATAGTGTCGTTCTGAAGAACGTCGACCACGACGGACACGTCATGAACATCATGACCACTCTGCACAAAAAGGTGATCGTCAGCTTTTTGTCTAGACGCATAGGCATAGAAGAGGGGTGCATGTGGGTATACGCAGTCTATGGAGTACACGACTCGTCCGTGGTTGACTGCCAGGACGCGCGCATGCACCTGTCATTGACTAAGAAGTGACGCACCAGTACCGCACGACAGCTTCTCACACGACCGAGCATAGTCTGTGTCTATCTCCGCATTGCTACATATCCTACGTCGAAACTCCTACGAGCGTTCACGAGGGTACGACGCAGACCCTGGACAGATCATTTCGGGCGGCTGTCGGCGCCGCAGCATGTGGCGCATAGGAGGATGTCCCGACGTGAAGGACGAGAGGCAAGAATTTGGAGGGAGAGGGATATCACTGGCGGGTGCAATGAGCAGGTGGCTGTTACCGTTCAACCAACGCTCAACTGCAAGGCGCGGCGCCGACGCTGGGAGAGACTTTTTCCAGGCTGCTGGCAGCGCCCCTCTTCAAGTTTCTGTCTTCGATATCACTAATGAAGTGTAGTGACTCCAATATACGTAAGACTTGCATCTGGATCCCCACTCTACGCCTCCCGCGGAGTAGGTATGGACGTCGTCATACGAGCTTTATGTGGACGGTTTCGGCCTGTTTTGGCTTTGCCAGGTCCTCGGTCGCAGATGCCGCGCCGAAGGTGCTCCTCCGACAGGACTCGACAATGAACAGATGCACATGCATACACGTAGAGACTATCTTACATACTACTCGTTCGTTATACGCCGCTCGAATCATCAGATACGGTACACTGTAGCCATCAAGTCGAGCCTGCATACTCAAGCCTGGTCTTCTCCGTAAACTTCTTGGCCCACTCCTGTCCCCAAACCAACGACCGCATCGCCGGGTCTGACGACTGCTTGCACACAAACCGACTGACTATGGCAAAGCGCGCGTCGTCGCCGGGTAAGGATTCGGGCACACCGAGCGTGACGGTGACGTCGTCAGGCAAAGGATTGCCGATTTCTTTAGCATATTTACCGAAGGCAACGACAACGTTGTCCGTCCACTCGATATTGCCGTTGTGGAAGGCTGTCACAAGGTCGTCGGCGTGGTCCTGCGGGTCTGAGCCGCTCGCCGGGTCTGAAGCCACGATGTAGACATCCGCAGCTATCTCCTGGTTCAGGAAGCCGTAGTCGATGCTCAGCCGGTTAGAGAGCTTGACCGTGCCCTTACGCACAACCTTCGCATCGTCGTGAACGGTGACATTGAGCTCTTGATCGCGAACGAAGAAGCCAGCGTCGCTGAATGGCTGCATCAATTGTTCCATATAATCATCCAGAGTGACCTTGTAGAGTTTAGAGGGATCAAGAGCGGGAGTGGCTGAGTCGAGGCGGACATCGATGCCGGCGGCGCTGAGCTGAACGTTCGGGGCCTTCGTAAGGACGTGATCGAGGTTGTAAACTCCATCGTCGCCGGCATACAAGTAAAATGGCGTCGCCTTGGGATAGTTGGCAGAAAGTTTGTCCCGGGAGAGTGTCTCGTTGACACGGACTGCCTTGATCTTGAACTTCACATTGGAAACGACAGATCTAAAGCACGATGTCAGGAATATATTTCTGGAGGTGAAAGATGAAGGCGCACTCATTGGACGTATAGGTGTCGGGAAGACCATCATAGATGTCAGCGCAGAAACTGCCCTGAGTGAGGATGTCGTCGAGCGTCATCAGGCCTTGCAACGTATTGGAAGAAGTGTGAGCAGTCGGAGCAGAAGCGCTCTTGAGCTTCTCCAGCTGCGAATCTTCCAATTGCATGGAAACGTGCAGTATCAGTTGCCGCTGTTGATTCTTGATATGGAACATGGGGAGGTAGACGAGGTGCGCGGAGTCCGTGTGCAGGCCTTGTAAGACAAAGCCATGGATAGACTGACGCTCTTCGATGCGGACGAGACAATTCTAAGGCAGGCGCATAAGAGGATATGGCTGACATAGTAGCGTGAGGCGTACTGTGATCTCCTGTTCAGCCACAACCCTGAACTCTTCCATCATACCGATCAAGAAGTCGCCGGCGGTCGGAAACGGACTCCTGAAGAACATCATGAGCGATATGTCGGTTACGGCGCGGTATACATACGCACATGGATACGTTGGAAAGGGCGACGAGGTCTTCCTTCCCAGGTTTGACCTTCATACGTTGCTTAAAGGCATCCAAAGCGCCTCCGTAAGCACTGGCCTTGAACTCAGTACGGTTGATGATAAGCGGTCGATCGTTGACAAAGTCTCGTTCTCGGCGCACGGAGAGGCGATCGTATAGCCGACTGTTCAAGAAGTTTGCAGAGTCAATGTCGTCGTTAACCTCGCCATCGTCTTTGACCCGGAAGTTGCAGGCAAACGCATTGATCATAGTGTCGGAGCCGAGTTCCCCGAGCTGTAGGATAGCAGTGAGAATGTGTATGTCGGATGCCACTCATAGGAGACGGACCAGCCTCATCGCGTCGTCGTCAGCTTCAAGCTCCTCGTTCGGCCTCCGAAGAATGTCATCCAAGATCCGTTGCTTCTGCGCGCGAATCTGAGCATCCGTAGCACCGCCGTCTTGGCGTTCGACCGGGAGCCGATTCACGGGTGTGACAAGTAGCCGTTTGGAGAGAAGATCGACAGTGACCCAATGTCCGTACATCTGATAGAACACATCAGTATGGTATGAGGGATCATCGCTTTCGGCCTCGTACTTTAATTCCCGTAAGCATAGCAGTACCGAGCAGATTGGCGTATCCGCCCTGATCGCGGTTTTCCAGCCCAACAATCTCGTGAGAAAGAAGAACGGCGACGGCCGCGGCTCCCGGTTTGCTACGGGTGGCTATCAGTTAACGACGAAGAGTAGATATGACTTTCAAGGTACTCATACCTCCCTTCAACACCGTATATGCCCATGTTGTAGTCCGCTCCAGTCGTGTTGATGTACGCACTTGTCCATGTGGTTAAGAACCTAAAGCGACTATCGCGCATGCAGAGGGCCCCTGCTGGATATGGAGAATAGCCAGACTTGTGCGGGTCGATGGTGATAGTACTAAGGGGTTTTAGAGCAGGTCAATCAACAAACCACCGGCGGACCGAAAGCACTGCTCACTCGACTTCGCGCAAACTCCCAAGTTGAGTGTTGGTCCAGGGGTTGAGACCGATGGAGAACGCATAGTACTTTCGAGGCGCCTCCCCCGCGCGAGGTGGTTCCTTGTATTTACATGCAAAGTACCCACCCCACGCAGCGTCGCCATGTATCATGAACGACATGCCCTTCGCTGCGAGAGTCGTGCGAAGGTCGACGAGATCACGGACGGGATCAACAGCGCCATGTTCTGTGGTGCCTATTGGGATGGAAATCCTCGCGTGAGCTTGAGGATTCGAATATTGAGGATCTCTTGACGCACCACATACAGCCACCACGCAGAAGACGGCTTGCTGAGTCTCGAGACACGTATTGAGCTGCTTCTTGAGCTCCTCGATATCCATCCTGATGTCCTCGTTCACGCCGATCTCAATCAAGTTCTTGCTGCCGATGCCGGTGATAGCACACCCCTTCGGCCAGCTATAATGATTCGCGAGAGAGACCATGTACTGTGCGGGCCGGGTGATGCCGAAGGCTGCGTTCAGCTTATCCATTCCGATAGTCTGAATGCTGAACGGTCTGAGAATGTTGGAGAGGGCGTCGGAGGAGATGCTGTAACGTTTGAAGAGCTGCTCCGGAATTTCCACCACGGTAGAGGGCTCGAGATTGAGAAGCTCCCAAGGCGAGCACGCACAGAAGAGCTTCTCGGAACCGGTGCAGAGCTTGACCCGGAAGGTGGAAGCGACGAAGTCCAGCACGGGATTGTCATGCATAGCCAGGCGAAGGGAGAGAGGGTAATATTTGAGGTTCCGAGCTATAGGGCATGTCAGAGCTGACGATGCATAGCGACAATACACATCAGCGCTCACCGATCCTATTGAACATCAATTCCCATATAGAGATAGAAGCGCATGAAATGGACGTACCAAATCGACTCCAGATTTGCAATGGAGCCGTCAGCGGTGATATGGCCCCAGCCGAAGGGTTCGTTCTGGTCACTCGAAGTGGCTTTCGCAGGCTTGCCAAGTTTAGGGTCGAGCTTGAAGCCCAAGATGTGACAAAGCTGTTGTCCGGCCAGATATTCGATGTAACTGGTGAAGGGACTGGCTTCGGGTGTGACATTGTTTTGGTTAAATTGCTGAGCGAGTGCGTATCCAAGAACGGCGGGCACTATGAACGGTGATCAATGGTCAATCAAACGTGATGGTCGATGTAAAGACCTACAAGAGATATCGGTACTCATATGGCCAGCGTAGCGAGGCGAGTAAAACGGGACACTGCTGAGGGACATTTCGCCCGCGAGTACTTCAAGGCACTGTTGTAGATAAGTCACACTGCTTTGGAACTCGGGCGAGTTGATCATTTCAGCGGTGACGGTTTGCTATAGAATACGCTGTGAGAAACGATCAAGGTAGAGACGACCGGGGTATACGGACGGCATCTTGTGGCCAGATAACTTTTCGACCAGCTTGGACGTTTTTGATGATGGACGCCATAGAGTTTTGGAAGATGCTAGCATTTTCGCCGCGGTTGCCCAAAAACCATGAACCCATGCGATTGAACTTGGCCTCCGGCGCTGAAGGGGCTTGTCAATACGGAGAGAAGACGAAGACGTCGAGTTTTGCTTACAAAGTTGGTCGAAGGGTGGCTCTGGGCCAGTCGGGAAGAGTGAGGGAGTAGGCATAGTAGAAAGGGTCGATGTTGAACCTGCTCTTGCCCATCTAGTTGTCGTCCGCTTTATGTAAATCGGCACCTCAGCGCCTATCTATTCTAGACTGCAACGCGCGATCAGATTAGCACTCGCACCTCCCTGTACCTTGACAAGGGACCACAGCATGAATATGATGATGTCAAGGGTTTGCTTCAAGAAGTCATCCGCCATCCTGAAGGAAAATTATCCTCAGTCTAGTAGATCTCAGAGGATGTGAGTTGTCTTCCGGTCAGAGGTCAGGCGGTGACTATAGTCTTCCATACGTCGAATAATCGCTGTCATCGTGCCTACGGAGAGCCGAGATTAGCCCAGAGCCATTCGATGAACCGATTCTTGCCCTCATGCGTCCGAAGCGTCTACGAGTTGGAGCATGGAAGCTGTCCAAGTTCCGATCGCGTCCATCGGCAGCCGCACGAGAGAGAGCAAAGTGGTGCTTTCATCTTGGGTCTGGGCGTAATACGTATCGTAGAGCTCATCGTACACAGAAGTACAGCCTTGTGACAGGCCGCATGACGGAAGAGGATTGCGGACGTCTCGTGTGCACACTATAGGGCACTACAGCTTCGACGTAGACACCGCGCTCCCGTATTGTGTACAGATCATCTGGCTTATGATCGTTGATGACAAACACTATAGTGTCTGGTCTGCCAGCACTGGTTGTCATGTCCGACAGTAAGTAAACTGCGTCTTGCGTCAGTTCAGCATATCGCTTGCGAGGGCACGAAGAGCTCACCGTCCACTTCGCCATCGTCTTTCTGGCGCCGCTCTTGAGTCTTCCGTGGGGTATTCGCCCAATAAATTCTGTCGAGTGACATGTTAGGGCATAACTCGGCGCTGGAAAGGAGCACGCACTAGTCAAAGGCGATCAAGCTTTTTCGCGCAACAATACACTTAGTTTCCTCCTGAGCTAAAACAGAGTCTCTCTCAGTCTTTTTATCCAGTGCGTATCTTATTCGGGCTCACCATGCGTTGAATATTTAAGGGCGCGCATGCTCGACGCGTTCGAACATGGTGACCGTCCAACTCCAACCAACGTCAGCTCGGCGCTCGGCGATCAATTGATCACGGTCCGTGTCTTATGGCACGCGGCGCCGGCCATCAGTGCATCGATCAGCAAGGCTGCAATATTGCGTACTTACAGTTTACCACTAAGTAGTACTTACAGTAGAGCTAAGGGCGAGTGTCCTCGGCGAGTACATCAGTGCTCATGCCACTGTGAATAACATTGTCTTTATGGTCTTTCTTGAAAGTCATCTCCACCCTACAAACGAAGCCTGCAATCGCGGTACCCCGGCGTGGCTGAGCTTCTACGGCACGAACAGTTTTGCCGCGATGACTTCAAAGTTCAGCGCCAAGTATGTTTTAGCGAGTCACCAATGCAAAGGTCATGGATGTGGTTCTACATGGTTATGTCATTGAATGCAGCACTCCCGCCGTCTCACTGCACCATGGACACGTCGGGCGATACTGCCCTCAATATGAGTCGGGAAAGGATATCGATATTGTTTGTTGGGTGAAGGCAAGCCTGACATCTTCAGAACAAGCGATAAAGCGTCGTCGAGCAGCTCGTGCAAAGACTCGTATGTATACGGAGTGGCGGCTAGTACAGTAGCGCTTGCTACATTTGGACTTTCGTCTTCGTCCTCTTGCATACTCGTGAGAAACGCGCATGCCCGTGCGTTCGCTTGACTTCTCGTATACGAGCGGTGTCGATCGTACAATTGGTCGAGCAACCATCGTATGCCGCATGCAAGCTCGGGAGCATCGGTTGCCCAGGCAAACGGACCGGCTGCTTCTCGGTTTGCCAGAAGCAACTGGATGTCGGCGTTTTCGAAGGTATGTGCGAACTCCGACGCAAGGGGAGATTGCGATTTGGAAGACTGGCGCTTGAGCGAGAGATTGAATGCTGATGGGGTGATGAATGCGCCTGGCGTCCTTTTGCAAGCGATTGATGTTCGGAAGAGGGCGTATGCCAGTGTGTATGCCAACGTCTCGGCGCGAGCAGCCTCCACTTCCTCGGGCGTTTTGAATTGGCGTTGCGAAGAGGCCCCCGTGTTTACGATGTGGCACAGATCATCGCCGGACATGAAATGTAGACTAGTCTTTTTGGAGATCAGTGTCAGCACAACGTGCATAACCGATGCAACTCACGTAGTCACACATAGGAGAGTCAGGGTGATGCGGTATGTCGAAATCTACCATCCAGCCTGTCATCTCCGGACCGTCGTCGAGAAGAATGGATCCTGGACCGACAATAGCGCCAGTGGTCACGCCTCGCTGACATATATCTTCAAAGCCTTGTACGACGTGTCAGTCTTTGTGGTTTGGCGGACGGAGAGCGAAGACTCACTTTCTAGTGCATCGATGAAACCCTTCAGTAGGTGCTCGTCATTCGTGTAATGCCACAGTGCCCGCCCTCGTCTGGCACACAGCAGCCTGGTCCGTGTCCGTACGTGCGTGGAACTTGAAGACGACGCGGGCATCTCGGTGAGCCTAAGCTCTGATAGTACCACATTTGGGGGCGCAACGGCTCTACCAAGCGCCGTGCATAGACGGGAATCGTGAGGGGAATCGTGTTTGGAGCTTGTCATCACGAGGGTGATTCACAGCGGGAGAAGGGGGAGGTATTGCGCCGGCCACGTCTTCGCTCTATATACCGCCCACTACATCTGGATCTGAGCAAGATCAGGGACATGCGCCGTTCATGACACCTTCTCAATACACTCAAACTTGAGCGGGTGATGGCCGGGGGCCACTCGAGGCGCCTTTATTACGGTCCAGAGGGGAGGCAATATCCGTAGGAGTGGTACACGTTGGATTCATTAATGCATCAAGCTGAGTGCGCAATAGTCGGACGAGAAGTACGTCTGCTTCGTCATCCAGTCAGTTTGCAAGAGTGAGTGAAGAGCGCCGCTATGCGTATGAAAGCTTCATGGTCTACTCGACGGTGACCTGAACGACGATAGCTGAAACCAGCATTTCGTGGTGACTATCTGAATCTCACACCGAGGCGTATTGTCGTGAGGATATAGTCCATTTGGAGGCCATAGCTTGGTTTGTGAAAGCCGCGACGGTGGTGGTTGAGCCCAAGAAGCAACCCGCTGCCTCCCGCTGCTCATCGCAGGATGACGCGATGCGACTTGCATAAAACCGTCGTTGTCGCCGCACCGTGCGCCGCTGCCGCTCACCTCGTTCCTCGCGCTCAGATGACCAGGCGTCTACGGGGCCGGGTGTATAATGCACAGTCAACTTTATACATGACTCGACTCTAGAGTTAACTGTGGAGGAGCGATTAGCGCCCGTAAGATGTAATAAAGCGCGGGGGTGCGGCCGCATGAGCCCGCAGCCGATAGCCGTATCGTGAACGGCGAAACATCCCTCTTGTCTTGAACGAGGATCTGGTTCTGTGAACTGGCTATGGCTTCGACATGTATCCAGTCTGCCGAGAGCTCGGGCCCTGTGCGCGTACATTCCGACGTCAAGCCGGTCGTGTCGACCGAAGAGGTGCGTAGCTCTTACTTGTCATGATTTACCCAGAGGCTTATCGCGTATGAGCAGGAGAAGTCGGAAGACAGAGTCCAGTCGGACGTCGACTCGAATGCTGTGACACAGGAGCCAAGGCAGTATGTCATTCGACCACTCCTTCACCTGAATCCAGTACTCACCACCTCTCCAGCGATGGCAGTAGTGCTGCACCCGTCTTGCGCCGCTTTGACAAGTACCTCCGCAAATATACTCTCTGCTCCGTCCTAGCCTCTGTCAGCGCGTGGTGCTTCGGCTTCGACACAGGTGGGTAGCACTTCGCTTGCATGCTTGAACGAGACTTTACCGAACGCATTCGCCAGGATCCATCGGACCCATCACTATCATGCCCCAATTCATCGACCATTACGACCTCCACTCGCCAACTATTCAGGGTCTCGTCGTCTCATCTATCCTCATCACGGCTTCGCTGTCCTCACTCGCTGCTGGACCTCTGGCGGACCGGTTCTCGCGTACCCGCACAGCTGCATTGGGCGGCGCCGTCTTCTGTGCGGGGTCCATTCTGGCCGCAGCCGCGTCCAATCTAGCAATGCTCTTCGTTGGTCGCTGTATCGCAGGTGTCGGCGAAGGTCTCTTCCTGTCCTCCGCGATGGTGTATCTTCTCGAGATCGCACCCACCAGTCTCCGCGGCCGCCTCTCGTGCACTCAGCAACTCTTTGTGACCCTTGGTCTCGCGGCAGGCAAGTCACCCTTCGTCGGACCTCAGCTACCATCCATGCTAACCTGAGAACAGGATACTTCGTCTCATATGGGACGGTTGACATCCCGTCTTCCCTCTCATATCGCCTTCTGTTTATCCTACAGGCTTTGGTATCTGGAACATACGCTGTCATCATGTTGTTCTTACCCCACTCCCCTCGGTGGTTGCAACACGTCGGCCGCACGGAAGAATCCGCGAAGGCCTGGGAACGTCTGGGCTATAGCACAGCTGAAGCGGAAAAGGAGCAAGAGGTGGAGCAGCGCGAGAGAAACGAAGAAGAGGCCGCCACGAACGCGCGGCGCCAGGACGGCTCTACGTTTGCCATGCTTTTCTCCAAGGAGATCCGCAAGCGGACCGTCCTGGGCGTTTTCCTCATGGCTATGCAACAGGTACGCGATACGTCGTTCGTCGCACAGTACCCGGCTAACATCGTGTCAGGCATGCGGAATCGACGGTGTACTCTACTATGCTCCAGTGCTCTTCAAGCAAGCCGGCCTCTCCTCCAACACGGCGTCGTTCCTCGCCTCTGGCGTCTCGGGCTTACTCAATGTGGTCTTGACCATCTTCACTCAAATCTTCACCGACAACTGGGGTCGCAGGGCTTCTATGATCAATGGCGGAGTGGTCATTGCCGGCTCTATGCTGACTATCGGGACCCTCTACGCAAGTGGCGCCACGGATGAAGCTGCAGGGAGATGGGCTGTCATCGTGCTCATCTACATTTTCGTCGTGGCGTTCGCCATGTCCTGGGCCGTCGTCAATCGCATCTACTGCTCTGAGATTCAGCCGATGGCTACGCGTGCCGCGGCGACGTCGCTCGGGCAATGCGCTAACTGGGTATGTCACGCATCATGTGTCCGATATCCGTACATCGTACTCATACGCCCATCGCAGGTTGTGAATTGGATCATCGCCTTCTCGACTCCCCTCTTCCTCGCGAAGTCGTCCTCCGGCCCATACTTCCTCTTCGGCACATGCGCGGCTCTCACTGTCGTGGTCTGCATCCTCTTCCAGCCCGAGTCCCGCGGTGTCTCCCTCGAATCTCTCGACTCGATCTTCGCTGTGAGCCCATGGCGCAACATGCTGTCCAAAGCCAGCGCTCGTGCTCGGCGTCTCGAACCTGCCATCCCGCTTCGCCCACTCAGCTCGGACGTCGGAGCGTGAAGGCTTCCGAATCGATCATCCGGTTGGGCATACGTGGGACAGGCGAAGATCATCAAAAATAGGCGGGAAATTAGGTTGAGGGATACAACCCCCTTCGGCCGCTGCCGATGCTCATACCATCAGCCGGCGCACGGCCCAGGCCGCCTGACTGCCTGTGTACAGTAATTGGAGTGCTTCCATTGAACAAGTGATGGCCCTCTCACGTGCGAAATGACAACAAAAGGTTAATGAACCGACGTGTACGCGTTTTTGTAGGTCCGTGTATGTTTGTTTTATTGTCATTTCTGGATCCGCCGGGGATGTGGCGCCTCTTCTGCTTCCTTGTATGACGAAGGTCAATGTGTATTGGCGCAAACCTATTGCTGTAGAGAGTGAGGCCAAGCCCTTTGCCGATGTGAGCAGTCCGAGCGAGGACCGTACGCTGCCTGTCGGATATGGGCCGTTGGTCACAAGACTGGATGTCGCCGTGCGCTCACCATTCTGAACAGATTCTACGTACATGGTGGTGCGACCATCAGAGCGAGCATGCTTCCGGAAGATTGCGGTGCAGGCCGAACAACAAACCTGGTCAACGCCTCTCCCACACCGTACGAAGACCTATTGTCGTTGGGTCGCCGCGCCTACGGGCAAAGCATTCAAGCTTCCTATATAAGCCCTACAGCATCGGCATCGTATCGTCGTCTGCGCTTCGCACGCCACCCGCCACTCCTTAACAACTTGACTCTACTCTAGAGGGCTGGATCCCTATCCGCATCGCATAACCTTCTGCGCCTGCATCTAATCTCATCACCCTTCACGAATCATGTTCACCAAGACGCACACCTTCACGCACCCTCGCACTGGACTCTCCGCCGCGGCGAAGCACTATCGGCGCAATGGACCTCAGACCGGCTTGACTCTCGTCTTCTCGCATGGCATCAGTCTGAGTGAGTCCATATCAGTCCCTCTTTGCAGGACGGCTTCTGACGTGGCGTCTGCAGCGAAGGAGCTTTGGGAGCCAACCATTCAGCGCCTCTTCGAGCTCGACACGACCCACACGATCCGTGACGCCTGGAGTCTCGACTGGCAAAGCCACGGAGAGTCTGGCGGTTTGAACCGCGCAGCCCTTGTATCTCGCCCCGCTGTCACCGCCGCGGAATATGCCGATCTCCTCGCATACTTCACCACTTCCAGTTTCGTCGCCGGCTGCCAGGTCGTCGCTGTGGGCCACTCTGCGGGAGGTTCCTCCTGGGTTCTCGCTTCGACCTACATGCGCTCGTCGCCGCTGATGGGAATGATCCTGGTCGAACCGGCCTGCATTGTTCCGCCCGTGGTCCCGAACGATATGCGCATTGCCGTCGGCCAACACAACGTGCGGGCGTCTTCTCAGCGCCCATTCGCGTGGCGCAGCTACCGGGAGGCCGCAGCCTTCCATTCCGCGCACGCGCCTTGGAACCGATGGGATGAGCGCGTATTGCGACTCTATCTGCAGCACGGTCTCAGCGAGATGCCGACAGGCGCCGTAGAGACCAAGTGCATGAAGAATCAGGAGATCGGCGTCTACGAAGTTCGCCCTGGTTCGGAGCATATCGTCGCGGGCAATGAACTCGCTCGTTTGAGCGCGCGTCTACCTGTGCATATGGTGTTCGGCGAGCGCCCAGAGATGATGTGAGTGCATTGCCTTTACTAGGCTTAGGAATGTCCCGATCTGACGATGGGTTCCCAGCACTCGTAAGGGTCGCATGCAGCTCTGCGATGCTTCCGCTGGTCGGAAGATGGCATCTGTGCAGCTCATTCCGGCTGCAGGACACCTGGTCAGTCGCGTTACTTGGCTTTGGAGGTAGCAAGATGTACTGACTGCTAGCTAGGCTGTACAGGAGAACCCCAACGGTGTTGCCGCTTCCCTATTCAACATCTTGTTGTCCTTTGGAATACAAGTCTCGGCGACCTCCGCACGACTCTAATCATGAAACCACCCTTCACTCTACCCGCTGCTGGAGGACACGACCAAGCCCTTTTCGATACTATTCATGCATTGTAGGACCTTCATGCACCTCACTCAATCACGGACCATATACCCTTTGTAGCCATGTACTTCATTGTAGCCCTTAACGACTTTCATGCGCTTGGACAGCGTTGTAGCATAGTGTACGACGATGATATTCATTCTTCAGGCAAGGAAAACAACGGCCATGTTCGGATGAAGCGGTGCTGGTAGCGCATTATTCTCGCATCCGATGTTATGGCGTAGAAGCAGATTGGGCAGTAAGGGCGCGGCGTGACGACAGTACCGTAGAGTTCATGATGGTTTGTGTGGAGGACCGCGCCGGCGGGCCGCGCGCGGATAGGCGGCGGGTTCTGCGTCTTGCATCGCGACCACGACCAGACCTTCGCAGGCCAAATACTATATCCACATTCTCTCCGCCTAAGGCCTCCCTACGCACCCTGCTACCACTCTCTAATCAATGAAGATGCTCTTCCTATCAAGTTGACGGAGAGCATACGATGATCCTCGAGGGGCGCTCGAGGCTTGCGGCGGAAGATCTGCTGGTACGGATGCTGGCCAGTTGACCACCGCCTATGTCGCCGTTTGTCCGAGGATATACGTGTATGCAAGTGGCGGCGAATAAGGAAGCCACTAGTCTGAGCTTACTTTCCAGCGGTACTTCGCTGTACGATGATGCCCAGGATACTACACTGCCTCTCCTGGGAAGTGGGTGAATGGTTCTTCCGAGCATACGCGCATATGCTTCTTCGCGCAATGCCATATTAGGCTCTACACGGTTGCTTCTCTAACAACCGTGCCATGCGCCCGCTTTGTTCGCGCAAGACCCACTCGCGACGACCCAAGCCCAATCTCAGATCACATGAAGAGTCTTCGTGCCAGTGCCTCTTCTTAATCTTCCGTATGTGGGCCGACATCTCAGCGGGGAAACGGGACATCCGTCTGTTCGCTAGCAACCTTCGCTCCGGCCAAGGTATAAATCTGCCTTCGCAACCTCGACACACCCGAGAGCGGTCATTCCGGAGCTCCCATCAGTATGCAGATCATCGCGGCGTTTGCCGTCGTAGCGGCCTGCCTTTCGTCGTTGGTATCGGCCTACACCAACCCAGTCATCTTCGAGGACTTGGTGCGTTCTCTCAAAGATGCGATCGTCCCTAGTTCTGACCAGCGGTCAGGCGGACGTAGACCTGCGTCGCTACGATGGCACATACTACCTCAGCACTTCGACCTTTCACTTCAGCCCGGGTGCCCCCATCCTTCTTTCGTACGACCTAGTGAACTGGGAGTTCATCGGCCACTCCGTACCATCGCTCGCCAACTACTTCGGCGATCAGTACACTCTTCCTGCCGGCTCGAACGGGTACAACGGAGGCATCTGGGCATCCTGGCTCATCTTCGTTCCTTCACAAGATAAGTGGTTCTGGGGCGGATGCGTCAAGTGAGTACCAGCTGATAAGACTCATCTCCTCTACGGTTACTAACGTCTAGTCTGACAGCTTCTGGCAAACGCATGTCTTCTCGAGTACAAACTCCGATCCCACCAGCGCCTGGTCGCAGATTGCCACCGTCGACGGTTGCCAGTATGATTCAGGTGCTATGCTCGACGACGATGGTTCGGTATACGTATCGTTCAAGAACTTGACTGATAGCACGTTGCAGTGCGTGCTCACACACATTCTTTCGGACATGACATACAATACTGACTACGACATCTTAACCTGCCAGCATCGCACAGATGTCGGCAGACATGAAAACCGTCGTGAAACAAGACTTGGTGTTTGCGCTCCCCTCTTCAGACAGTAAGTCTCGGAGTGTCATTTACTGTGACGTGTCACCTGCTGATGGCGAGACTCGACAGCCTCCATGGAAGGGACTCGCCCGTACAAGGTCAACGACGTCTACTATATCTTCACCTCTGACCCGGTACGTGCTGCCATTCCTGTGCCTGGACCGAAGCTGAGATTCTGCATAGAACACTGGAGGAGAGAACGTCTTGAAGTCCAACGGCGACATTTGGGGTACGTACACCCTGAACAAGTTCTTGTCAGGCGAAACGTACCCGGCCCCGCTGCAGGGCACGATTGGCCAGGGTGCGCTGGTTGACACGCCGGCCGGCGACGTGAGCCATCCTTCATGCACTTCTGAACATCGTGCTGATATGACTACAGTGGTACTGGATGAGCTTCTCTTGGACATACCCCGGAGGACGGTGCGTGCTGCCGTTTGCTTGATCGTGACATCTCGTCTTACGAGGATCGTCTAGCATCCCTGTGCTGATCCCAGTGACTTGGTGGGTCTAGACAATGAACCGAGCTCAGTCTGCCTTTGACACGCTCTTGAGTAGGGACAGCAATGGATTACCCGTACCCACTGTACGTACTATCACGGCGTTATATCAGACGTGCTTGCTCACCTTCGCCTAGCTCGTCAACGGCAATGTCGGCGCTTCTTACCCCGACCCTGTAACACCTCATCCCATCGCGAACAACTTGACCGGCGTTGATCGCTTCGCCGGCACTTCTCTAGGACCGCAGTGGGAGTGGTAAGTCGCCGTCCTCCGACTATTCCGAGGATGAACGCTCACGGTGCATTCTCTTCGAAAAGGAATCACGACCCCGACACCACGCACTTCACTATAAACAACGGGCTTACGCTCAGTACGGCCACCGTAAGTTTACTGAACATGGTTTACGTGACTATCCTGATCGACTTCTCGAGCAAAGGTTACGGACGACTGGTTCGCTGCTCGCAACACGCTAACCCACCGTCAACTCGGCCCCATCTCGACAGCCACTATACAGTTGTCGTATTCTTCACTCGCTGATGGCGATCGCGCCGGTCTTGGCCTCTTTCGCGATCAAAGCGCATACATCGGCGTGTGGCGCAGCGGCAGCACCTTCACTGTCAACATGGTCGATTCTATCGTCATGAGCACTTCCACCTTCACGACTACGAGCACGGGTACGACTGAGGCCAGCGCCTCCGTGTCAGGCGGCACGATTTGGCTCAGAGTGATCTCGGACTCGACGTCTACTGGTGATTCCGCGACATTCTGGTACTCAACGGATGGCACGAAGTTCACGCAGCTCGGGCCGGCATTCAAGTGCGACACGAACTATCAATACTTCGAGGGTCAGAGATTCGCGATCTTCAACTTTGCGACCAAGGCGCTCGGTGGCAGTGCCCATATTGCGGACTTCGAGCTTGCCGCCGGCTCTTACACTGGTGTCGCTGTTGGTGCTGGCTCAGTGCCTGCTACGAGCGCTCCTGCCTCCACCCAGACTAGCAAGGCTTCGTCGCCGACAACGACGTCCGCTAGCAGTGGAAGCGGTTCTGGCTGGTAAGGTCATCAATTCCTTCTGTTCTTTTTGAGACTCATCGAGACATCAGCACGTCGTCACACTATGCCCAATGCGGCGGCATTGGTACGCGGTACTGAACTGATATCTGCCTGCGCGCTGATCTCATGCATCTAGGATTCACGGGCTGTACAACATGCGCGAGCGGATCGACTTGCACAGTGGGTAACGAATGTGAGTATCAACTTTGTGAAGATGAAAAGTATCTTCTAACGATACTCTCAGATTACTCGCAGTGCCTGTAGCTGGCTTTGCTGTCATCTCTTTCATCTTCGGTTCGAGAGTGGGGCGATTGGGCATAGTACATATACCGATGTGCACCGCCGATATGGAGAAATGGTACCGATAATCAGGTGCACAGTCTGCGTGGACACGATCATCCACAGAGAGAGCGTATCAGATGTTTTCTGTCCGGGCGCAATCATATGCGTTGTGGATGTGGGGTCAACGACGGAAGAATGACCCGTCTGAGCACGACAACTCGCGGCAATGCATACTGCAAAGCCAGGCTAGCCATCATGAGTAACGATGTATCATTAGAGAAGACTATGCATATGCGTAAACGAGCGTGCGATGATGATGCTGAATCCGATGAGTTGTAGTAATGCACATGTACTGAGAACCGATGGATGGGTGGATGGTGAGGAGAGCATGATGCGGTATGAAAGCAGTTCGAAAACATATACAAGAAAAACCGTCGTATCCAACGTCAATGTCATGCCCGAGCGGACGCAATGACCTCCTCTGCCGGTTGTCGAGGCATATCGCGCGAGAAGGCCGTCCACCACTGTGGAGGTGTGCCGAAGATGTCCATGAGCCTGTCGACCTGCTCCTGGCTAGGACGTTTCCGGTACGAGCTAGGTTCGCTCGAGCACACAGCCACGAGTGGCACGATGCCGTTGGGCGCTACGAAGGGTGGCGGGTGGCGCGGAGGTCGGTCGCGGTCTATCCGGCCAGCAGTGAGGAATATCCTCCGTGCTCCAGTACGAGCACTAACAAGACGAAGACCGTGATGCGTGAGTTGAACGCCGTCTGCATGTGGGACTCGCAGTCGTTCTCGTTTGGGTGCGGCGCGGGCAAGGTCGGCGAGAAAGTCCTCAGTGACGGCAAAGGCGTAATATCGTAACGTTGAAGACGAGAGCGCATCGTGAGGCAGGGCGAGGAAGCATTTCGATGGGCGATCGTGTAGCTTGGGTAGATCGCGGGGTTTTGTGCCCTAAGGAACGGTACGGGTCAGGATGCGGGGTACTGACTTCGCAGTGCGGGGTTGGGCGAACCTGAGCGGTGTACATAGCGCTGGCGAAGGACCACATCTGGGTGCCAGCCGGTTGCAGCTTCGCGGGGCTCGAGGTACTAGGTTTGGTAGCAGGGTGGCCTACGAAAGGTGAGAGATGAGCGTCTACTTCTACTGGAGGCGAACAAAGGCTTTATGGCTATGATTCGCCACTGACCTTGTCTCCGCCATGACGCTCGCACGTCAACGCATGTCACCGTAGTAGGCATGGCGAAGCCTGGCCAAAGGAGAGCACAAAGGCGTCACCCGTGCGAGGGAAGGAGAACAACGTCGCGAAGACGAAGCAGGAAGACAAGCAAGGAGGATCTCTGCAATTCATTTCCGTCATGGTGACAACGTGCTCCGGGACGGGGTCGAAACGCATCGATTGAATAATCGGCATTTGTGCATGAACGGGCCAGCAGGCGTGGCCCGGCATGATGATGGCCGTCGAATGAGAAGCCTGCTCAGGTCGCCGTTACTCGCCAAGCGTCGGATCCGCGGACATGCATATTTTGACTCAAGCTCGAATACTACAGGGTAGTGGGTGTAGAAAGCGCAAGAAGACATATTATGATTTCGGCGATGGGCTATATAGTAGGTAGTGGATGCACGAGAACATGTTTGGTACAGAGATCACACGCTACGAATCGGACACAGAAAGAAGCCCCAACAGACGCCCATCTAACTCGAGAGACATTCAGACAATGACACAACCCAGAATGGAAAACAGCATGGATGTCCAGTGGGAAAGGTTGGTAGGCACAGCACGCTGCGAGGCTGTGCTGGCGAGTAGCGAAGTCGCGACAGCGCCCATAACGCGTAACAAGCGTACACGGCAGGATAAGGCTTCCTCCTGAGTTAGGTTTGGAATCAACCTGGCCGCCGGCGGACACGCGTGCGTTCTTCTCGTGCGTGCGCATGGTGAAGTTCGGTGAGCGCCTGCGCTAGCTCAGCTTTTACGCGAGCGAGTTCAGCTTGTTTGGCGCGTCGTGAACGTTCTCGATCTTCCGCCGCGACGAAGTACGTGAACGACATTCGTCGGCGTCCCATTCGCGTGTCTGGGGTAGTGCGTCGCGGTGCGGGGTCAAGTGTGCGTATGTGGTGTGGGGTTTGCGCAGGAGCTAGAAGATTGTTAGAGACGTGATGAAGAGACATGTCAGGCTAGAGCTCACTGTACATGCACAGTTTTGCGGCGGTAGTGAAGCTTGGGTAGCGATCGCTGGCATGGGCATGGACCGAAACGGGCATCATGGTGGTGGTCAGGATGGATCAGGCAAAGCGACGACTTGAAAGCAAAGACCGGGGACGTGCGGAGAACACGATTCCTTATGTATAGTCAAGCGCGCCACATTATAGGGCTTACCCAATCCAGCTCCAACGGGTCGCGTTCGCGGCCGCCCGGACAAGTCAATGGACGGAGTTCATCAGATAGGCGATGTCCATAAAACGGCAATGCGTGTTCATCGACCGGCTCTTCTTGACTGTGGGTTTCGTTATCATCGAATCAACTCGCAAAGATCGTAGAGAAGCGGGTCGGATTGATGGTGGACTTGGAGACTTGCACCATGGTCCGCCGTACTTCCGAGGGGCAGAGGGGTAACGTAGGCGGAGTGGGCAACTCCGTCTCCGACGGTGATGTAGCGCACCGCAAATGACAGTCTAGGAAATCATGCAGACTTGTAGAAGATCGAGCACTGGGCAATGATAGTTTACTAGATTAGCCCCAAGCGGCGGTGGTACTATCAGAATGAGATGAGACGCATAGGCTTGGCCCAATAGGTATGATGCATACCTATAGTTCACAATGAGATGTCCTTCCGTAGCAAATGACTGTTCCGGTGCGCCTTGAGCCACAAACTCTCCATAGCCATGTGGGACATGGACTCACCCGATATAGATTGGCAACTGTGTCGTCCGGAGCTGGCGAGAACGCCAGATTAATGTACGTGAACTATAACGGCGGCCGTCACACCTGCACTGGCGGGCCAACGTGCACGGACGCGGACGTACCAGAGGCTCGCCCGACTTCCACCCGAGCTCCTTCCTCAAGAACTGAATCACCGCCTGGAATCGGTTTGACACGGTGACTTTGAAGAAGTTCTGCTTCATGATCGGCGCATTTCCTACGGCCTTGAAGCGTACAACAACTGACAAGCATTCAATACAGTCTATACGCCCTTACCCATCGGGACTTGATGCGCCCGCACCTTTCGTTGGGTCCTTCTTCTTGTACAGCTCAAGCGCGTGAATCCCGTCCGCAAGATCAGGCCCGTCGCTGCCCGTCCAGGCAGATATTGGCTCCGCCATCGCCAAGGATATAGCGCCGGGCGTGATGGTGGTGGTCAAAGACGAAGCGGTGTAGTACGCCGTTCGGTGGGCGCGGTGCGAAGCTCGCCTGCTTCGACGGATCAGGAAGCGAACTTGGTTTCGGACCACCACTCGCTGTATCCGGAACTAGCATTCGCAACCTGTATGTACTACCACTGCGACTCATAGAGTGACTGTCTCTTGTCTACACAAGTCGCTATTCCGTCTGTCGGTTCCGTGTTGACATCATGTTCTGAATTTATCCCTTGAGCACGCGTCTATCAGTTCTGTTTGGTCTCCAGACCTGTCGCCATATGTCATAACCCTGATAAAGACGACCTGCAGACATGTCTGCAGGCCGCACTCATTGGGATATCAGGCCTGCAGACCAGGGACCCACCGGGGCTGTCTCGGCCGATGTGCTCGATAAATACCTCGTCTCTGGTTCGGCGGTGAACTCGGTGCTCTCAGCACTGACTCAGGACCATCTAGAGCTTCCCCGATGACCACCTTCGCTAAGGGCACCTTTGACTTTGCGCGCTACGCGGCGGCACGTCCCACCTATCCTCGGCAGCTGTACGACTTCGTGTTCAAGTATCACGAACGCTCTCGCGGTGCTAAATGGGACCTGGCCGTAGACCTCGGCTGTGGCACTGGTCGGTTGGATCCGGGCTCCTCTCCCGCACTATATGACTGACTCTTTAATCAGGCCAGGCTACGGTCGAGTTGACTGCGTTCAAACAGGTCATTGGTGTCGACCCGAGTAGTGGCATGATTGAGAAGGCAAAGGCGTACGCCGCTCAAGTAGACGTGGGCAAGACGAAGCAAATCGACTTTGTGCACTCTTCCGCCGAAGAGTTGCCGTTCCTTGAAGATGGTTCCGTGGACCTTCTTGTCGCAGGTTCGTGGACACACAACCATACTTGGGTCACACGATGAACGCTAACGCGGACGGTCTGTATAGCTCAAGCCGCGCACTGGTTCAACTGGGACAAAGTATGGCCGGAGGTCGCTCGCGTCTTGCGCAAGAACGGCAGTGCAGCTTTCTGGGTAATCCCGACTCTTCAGCTTATTCCAAACTTTTACTGACAGCATTGCAGGGCTATTCAGAGTTTCGCTTGAGCAATTACCCAAAGTTAACGCCGCTCATCACCCAATACTCGCAGGGAGCCGACCCTGAGAAGAGTCTTGGGCCGCACTGGCAGCAGCCGGGTCGCAGCATCCTTGATAATCATTTCCTGGACGTACCCAAGGCGACGGACGTCCTCCCAGACAAGTTCACTGAATGGGAGCATGTCTTCTTCACAGGTAACTACCCCATACGGTTTCATTCACTGCATCGTGTGAACGCTTTCCCAGGCGAACACCATCCGAACCTCAAGGACGCGCGCCCGACGATCTTGCGCAAGAAGATGACTTGGGAGGACCTGCAAGCGTACCTTCACTCTTTCAGTTCTCTGCACACGTACCTCGAGAAGTACCCACAGGATAAGGAGAATCCCGAGGGCGACATCGCAACACGTTTCTTCAAGACGCTCAAGAAAGAGACAGGGGAACCGGAGTATATCGACGTTGAGTGGCCGATGGCGGTCATGTTAGTGAAGCGGGCATAAAGGCGAGACATGTATCCGGTACTGTCTATATATTAGTCTGATAGGCTCCACACCTACGCCAGCAGAGGAATATCGTTTGCCTGTAATTACCTGCACCTGTGAATACACAAGCGCCCATAAATCAATGTTGAGATGATCTTATCTTCACAAAATTGCCGATCCAAGATCTGCTTTCCGCCCTCCGTAACTCTTCCGTAACCGTCATGTCTGCTTCAGAGCCTCGTCGTATAGCCGTTCTCATCTCTGGCTCTGGTTCGGACACATCATCCTCTGCTTGAGCAAGCTAGTAATGCCCACACCTAGGCTCAAACCTACAGGCGCTGATCGACGCGCAGGGCACCGACAGGCTTCCGAATGCACAGATAGTGCTCGTGCTGTCAAACCGGAAAGCCGCATATGGCTTGACCCGCGCGCAATCAGCATCACCGCCCATACCAACCGACTATCTCGCGCTTCAACCGTTTTTGAAAGCTAATCTTGGGAAGACGCGTGAAGACTATGATGCTGAGATCGCGCGCCGAGTACTCGCATCAAGACCTGACCTGGTTGTGCTCGCCGGATGGATGCACATTCTCAGCGAGCGTTTCATCGAAGTACTGAGCGGCCATACAATACTCGAAGGTGTTCCCCCGCCCACTCATCCTATACCCGTCATCAACCTCCATCCCGCACTTCCTGGCGCGTTCGACGGCGCGCACGCCATAGAGCGCACATACGAGGCATTCCAGAAGGGCGAAGTTGCCAGTGGCGGCGCTATGGTCCATAGGGTCATCGCGGAGGTTGATCGTGGCGAGCCCATCATTGTCAGGGAGGTCGAGATCAAAAAGGACGAACCCATTGCGGACTTTGAGGAAAGGTTGCACAAGACAGAGTGGGAGATTATCGTTGAGGGAGCGCGGAAGGTGCTTCAAGAGCAGAGTGACAGTTAATCTGGCAGGGGGATATGGTGCAGGTATGTTGTGCCAACCCAAGCTCGGAGCGCCCTACTGAACGATGCTAGGTAGACTAAATATGTAAAAATATATTGAGATGCAGTTCCATCCACATTTGAGGCCTTTCTCTGAACCCGCCGGCTTACGTTCCTCCGTGGGGTGCACCAATTAGCTGGCACAAGTCGTGCAGTTGGGCTGCACGAAGTGTACGATGTCCGAGTTCTCCCAGCCGACGCTTCATGCCGAGCTGCTCGCAAGGAGTTGCATGCATGGGCAGCATGGCGTCAATGATACGCGCCCTGTTGTGACTCTGGTGGCTACCTGGTGGCAACCGGGGAGGCAGTATGCTGATCTACAGAAATCAAACTAAAGCGGTATCAATGCCTTCAGCGTCTCGCGTCAGCGATATTACGGACTCGGATCCGCTCCCACTTTCGCACGCTCAATGCCCTGCTGTATTTCCTCGGGTTCGCCGACGGCTCCCTGGTGCGGATGCGCGCGTCGACACGGGAAGCTAGCCACTCGTCATGTCAACTCTCTACGAGGTTGGCTGTCGTCCCGATGGGGGATGGGCGATATAAAGGCTCTCGACCTTCGCCGTCTGGACCCCTCAAACCTCACCTTCACAGCACTCTATCGACAGCATCGACAACCTGACTCAACAGCTACAACCTCCGATGATGCCCTCTCCACCCGACATCCTCATCGTGAGTCTTCTTGTCCCTCTCTTCCGAGTGCATGCTAACCAGCGGCATTCTAGGTTGGCGCTGGGCCTGTCGGCCTCGTCGCGGCGCTTATCCTCGCGCAGAACAAGGTCCCATTCCGCATCATCGACAAGCGCGCAGACTTCACTGGCATCGGTCAGCGCGGCTCTGGTCTGACTGTACGTCCCGCGTTCTCTTGTCTCTACCCTCGTCCATCTTGCTGATCATTCTCTACAGCCGCGTAGCCAGGAGGCCTACCGCTTCCTCGGCGTCCTGCCCGCTTTCCGCGCGAAGCAGGGCACCATGCACGACGATCTTCGCATTCAAGAGTACGATCCCGACGGCAAACCTACCCGGTCGTTTTATATCCTCGAGAAGATGAAGCCCACGCCCGCCATCCCCATTCCGAACCACTCGATGATCGGCCAGGACTCGAATGTCGAGATCATGCTCGACGCTGTGCGGAAGCTCGGCGCGGAGATCGAGACGCAGACGGAGCTCGTGGCGCTGCAACAGGACGAGGAATCCGTCATCGTTACGCTCAATAACGGGGAGACCGAGGAGAAGGCGAAGTTCGCGTACGTGGTTGGCACAGACGGCGCCAAGGGTGTATCACGCAAGCTTGCTGGTCTTCAGCTAATTGGCGAGACGACAGAGGGCAAGCGCGCACTTGTTGGAGATGTGTATCTGTCTGATCTTGACTTCATTGTAAGTTCTCTACCTGTTCCCTTGACTTTGAACTGATACTGACTTGCATCGCTAATAGCATTGGCATACCTTCAAGGATGCTCGTGGCAACGGTATCGTCGCGCGTCCCTGCAACGAGGAACCTGGCCTTTACGCATGCACCTTCTTCGGGCCCGACATCGACCTCGAAGCCACAGCGACCGACCGCGATCTCTTACAGAAGGCAATTACCAGCATCACGAAAGACGAGAACATTAAGCTCGGCGAGATACGCTCTATGTTCGTGTGGCGCCTTAACGAACGCATGGCGGACCAATTCCGCTCTGGGCGCGTCTTCATCGTCGGGGATGCTGCTCACGTTCACTCTCCAAGTGGTGGACAGGGCCTCAACAGCGGCCTGCTTGACGCGGTACGTACTCTCTTCTTTGATCAGCAGTGATATACTCATACTGACGACCATTACAGTACAACCTCTCCTGGAAGCTCGCACTCGTCGCCAAAGGCCTCTCACCAGCGTCACTCCTCGACACGTACGAAGAAGAGCGTGTCCCTGTTATTCGTGAGATGCTCCGCCTAACCTCAAACATCACCGCCGTCTCGTATCGGACCGAAGGCGCAGCAAGCAGCATATGGGCGAAGCGCCCACGGAGCATCACTCAGCTCGGCGTGCACTGCCGCTGGAGCAGTATCGTACTGGACGAGCTGCGCGAAGGCGAGCTTGTCGTCGAGAGCACGAACCTCGAGAACGTCGGAGCATATGGGGCAGACGATGGCGTAGTTGGCCGGCTGCATGCGGGCGATCGTGCGCCGGACGCGCCGGGGCTGCTTGATGGGCGTGGGAAGAGCGGTGCGACGAGCGTCTTCGACTTCATCCGCCCGACGCGGCACGTCGTGCTCGTGTTCGATACGGCGGTGGAGAAGGATGTTGCGGAGTATGTTCGCAAGCTCCCTCAGGATGCTGTCTGGGCCGTTGCGCTCGTCAAGCAAGGCGAGCGGGCGTTCTGGCCTGATTTGCCCCGCCTTTCGGACGTCGAAGGGCACGCGCGGCGGGCTTACGATGCCGAAGAGGGCGTCAAGGTTGCGGTCATCCGTCCAGACGGTGTGGTCGGGGCTTTGCTAAAGGACGCAAGCGGGTTGGCTCTGTACTTCTCGAAGATATTCACGTGTGCTTAAATAAAGGTTTTTATTCGAGTTGTACGTCTTTGGGGTGCTCAACCGTCGTGAAGACAAACGAGCACCTAATTTCACAGCCACTGTTCATACCAGCTTTGACATCAATATAAAGCGGCGGCTCCTATGCCTTTCTGATTCACGCTGGGCATCCACATTGCTGAATTGACGAACTGTTGTAAACTCCGCGCCATGATTATATGCTGATGGTACTGACCTATTGGCACTGCTGTCCTATCACTGTGACTGTGCGCCACTCATCAATTGAGCCAACTAGCGTAGCGTTACCACGAGTAACATCTAGCCATTGGATGTCACGCACTTGCTCGCTGAGGCTTTCCACAGCCTTGGTGATGGCCCGAGTCGTGGCCGTTTGGAGGTCTCCCAACTCGTCGGCCTCTCGCTGCAAGGCTCGCACACTCGTGTCGAGTTCCCTCATGGCCGCCAAACCTATACCCTGAGACTCGATGGTGTGTACCTCAACCTGCCGGTATGCAACCGTGGTCTCCGCAATCGCATGGCGAACGTGAGCAAGCCTCGGGTCGTTCTGCTCAAGAAGATCCCCGAGTCTCATGTCCAACATGTCTGCTTGAGCCTCAGTGAACTCCCTCTCCATCACGAGCAGGTTGATCTCGTCTTCAACCACTTCCAATTTGCGCAGGGAAAGCTGAAGCTGAGCTGTCACGCGTTGGTGCTTCTGCTGGTACTGAGCGACGCTGCTGAAAATATCAGACTTCGCCTCCGCGATGGGGCCTTCGCACAGCGCGTAAACGTCGTCTCCTCTGTTCTGGCGCACCACATCGCGTATCTGCACGAAGAACGAGTTCACGGGCGTAAGGATTTCTGTAAAGTGCGAGGGGGACGAGGCGTCTTCCACGAGCGCTGATAATGACATGGTGGTGGAGGGCAAGCCTGCGTGGGACCGCAAGAAGCGGCGACAGGCGTCTATCGATGTCGCGGTAGTTGCCGTATCAATTCGCATGCGCCATTGCAAGTTCTCTCCACCGAATCTGACAGTACCCGAGAGAGACCTGGGCCCACATGTTCTCTCAAACCCCTTAGACGCACCATCACGTTGACCAAGGTCCTAGGATATTGTGAGTGTGATCAGCGCGAATGGAAGATATGTAGAAAGACCCAAATATCCAGTGCTGCATACTGGCTTTTGTACCGAAGGCCAGTACCTGAGTCGTCATTGATGATAAGGCAGTGATGGAAGAGTGCCAGGTACTGGGAATACGCAAAATCAGTCAACTGGGACGTCTTCGCCCGTACATGGTGTGGATACCACTTGGGACACTTCAGAAGATCAAAACTCGTGACGCGTATAGAATTCGAAGTCGGCCTGGTCTGCAGATAGGATACATTTTCAGCGCGAGTCTTGGTGATACAGCGAGCTTGCACAGATCGGAGCAAGAATACAAACGATCAGTCCAACACCAGTGATCCGTAAACCACACTGCCTTTGGGAGTTGGGAGTACGAGCGTTCCTCCATCCCACCGGCCATGTAACCCTCCTCAACGGCGTACATCACTCGCTCGCCACTGTCACTCCGGCGAAGCGCGTACGGAGAAGCCTCCAGCCTATCCTTCGACGGCATACATATCCGCCTTTCTCTCCTCGCCCAACTGCTTCAGCTCCAGCTCCAGCTCGATCTCGTGCGCGTCCTTTTTAGGCGCTTATACGCCGCCTCCCACGTCCGCAGCGACACCTCGATCCTCTGCGTGTGGCGTTGCAGCCCGGATAGGCCCTCCGGCACGGCATTCGGGTCCAGAATTGCTGGGTCCCCACCGACAGCGGCGATCTCCGCCAGCGCGCCCTGACACATCTCCGCGCTCGCCTGCTCGAGCCTCGCCGCCTCGCGCTTGATCTGCGGCCATTGCTTGTCTAGCCTCGCCGGGTCTGAGTTCGGTCAATGATGCACTTCCCCGCGATCTCCAAGGTTGAGTTGACCATGTGCGTTGGAGCCAGCGGGGAGCATAAAAAGTAGCATGATGGGAAGCGGCAGGACGCGTTTAACGCCCGACTCTGCGACGAGTGGTCAAGATGACTCCGAGAAGCAGTCACTGCTGTTCGACCTCTGCCAATGAGCTCTGTAACTGATGTCACGTTAGATGACATACGCATAAACATCTGTCTTTCGACGTACCTCACTAAAAACTGCTTCGATAACATTTGACGCCTCCGACGCCTCCCCGAGTAGACCTGACATCTCAAGAATCTTCTGCATCGCCCGCTCCAACTCCTCATTAAGCTTCTGCAAACACGCATCAAAGTCCATTAGTTCTGCGGCAGCACGGTCGGAGAGTGCATTGCAGTCAGCGATACATTGCAGGACGGCGTAGTGGACATGCTCCAGCATCGGGCGACCATCGAGCTGATCTCTCGCTTGGATGAGTCTGGCGGCTTCGGCCGCTAGACAGGCTCGCCCGGCTACGGACACCTGCATCTCCTCGGCGAGGTTACTATATTTGCGGGTCACCTCAGCTTGCGCCATCAGGTGTGCATTGAGGTTCTGCCTGTACTGCGACGCCAATCCTCTGACTCGTTCGCGCTTGGCGGCTATATCTCGTTGCAGGGCGTCGAGCTCCTCCTTCTTCCCTTGTTCTACAAGGTCGCCAATCTGCGAAGAGATCGAGCGGGTGAAGGCCACAATCTCAGCGATGGTGTCGGACATGAGGATAGGCGCCTGATCTGGTACAGCGGTGGTGGGAGTTTACAAGTGCAGGAAGCAAAGAAGCGCGCGAGTGCATGGGAGTTCGGTTCGGGCCGGCGGAATCATCGGCGCAGAAGCCCAGCGTTAAAGCACATAGATAACAGGCTACGCATCGAGTTGCGCCCGTTCACTGCAGCAATAGACTGCAAACTCGAGGCTTGGGGAGAGCAACATGAGGGGACGAAGCAAGGTGCATCGGACGTTCGGTCTGGGTTTCGGATGACGGAATATGCCGCGAGACCGCGGTCCGCTAGTGCCCCTAACCGCCGAGACTACTCTCGCCTTGTACCACCATAACGTCGCTCACCGCCCAGCCAGACATACCCCACCTCGTACCATATCTCAGAATGGCGCATACTCTCAACGAAGAGGTCTGTCTGCGCTCTATACGCTCAACGAGCCCCAAGTCTGACCGTGTGACGCTCACACCACAGCTCCCCTCGTCCTTCGAGCTCTGCTCCTCCTGTGGTTGTATCACCGTCAAACGCGCCGAACTTGATAAGCTAGACGCTGAAATAAAGCTTACGATGGCGAACAACAAGCGCTTGACGGACGAAGCGCATAGATTGGACATTGCGCGGGCGCAGCTGCACGAGCAGGGCGTGCTGCTGTGCGACGAGACGACGTTCTTGCGGAGCGAAGTGCACCGTCTGGGCGCGTATTTCTCGCTCGACGATGACGCGAACGCCGAGCTATCCGATCTTGACGAGCGCGGACGGTGGGCGCGCGTAGAAGCTATGCGGGCGTACGCGGTGAGTCTGCCGGCGCAGGTGGGGAGGGTGATGGAGGAGCTGCAGGAGGTGCACGATCAGCAGGGCGCGCTGCAGAAGGATATTAGGAGGGTGTTTGAGGAGCTTGATAAGAGCAGTGAGCGGTTGGCGGAGCTGAGCGAGATTGTCTCTGGATGGAAGGATCGGATGGGGCATAGGCATCAGGCGAAGCAGGTGGAGGATAAGGCTGTGGGGGAGACATTGACTACGGAGAGGTATGTCCCCTCCAATCCGTTCATCATATGTCAGTGGCTAATAATCCCTCGTAGCGCATAACGCTGATGTCTGCGCCACTGATTTGCACGATGCACCTTCTTCGGACCCGATGTCGATCTTGAAGCCACAGCGTCCGACCGCAACCTCTTGCAGGAGGCAATCACCAACATCACGATGAACGCGAACATAAAGCTCGGCGAAAGACGCTGCATGTTCGTTTGGAGACTCAACGAGCGCATGGCGGACTGGGTCCGCTCTGGGCGCGTCTTCCTTGCTGGAGATGCTGCTCACGTTCACTCTCCAAGCTTTGGACAAGGTCTCAATAGCGGCCTGCTTGATGCTGTGAGTACTCCTCTTTTGATCAATAAGGAAGTGCTCATGCTAACGGCCGTTGCAGTACGATCTCTCCTAGAAGCTCGCACTCTCTCTCACCAGCCTCACTCCTCGACATATACGAGGAAGAGCGCGTCCCCGTCAGCCGCGAGATGCTCTGCCTAACGTCAAACATAACTGCCGTCCCATATCGCACTTCGGTGCGGCAAGCAGCATCTGGGGCTGCTTGGTGGGCGTGGGAAGGCGGTGCGACGAGCGTCTTCGACTTCATTCGCCCGACGCGGCATGTCGTGCTCGTCTTCGATACGGCGCTGGAGAAGGAGGTTGCGGAGTACATTCGCAAGCTCCCTCAGGATGCTGTCTGGGCTGTGGCGCTCGTCAAGCAGGGCGAGCGGACGTTTTGGCCCGATCTGCCTCGTCTTTCGGACGTCGAAGGACATGCGCGGCAGGCTTACGGTGCCGATGAGGGCGTCAAGGTTGCGGTCATCCGTCCGGACGGCGTGGTCGGGGCTCTGATGAAGAACGCAAGCGGGTTAGATCTGTACTTCTCAAAGTTTTTCGCGCCTGCTTGAACATATATTTTTGTCGTATTGTACATTTGCTAGAGTGCTCGAACGCTTTGATATCCCCATGACTGCTTAGACAAGCCTAATAATCAACATCTTGACAGCCGTGCCATCCTGTATCATCATCCCGGTGCTTCGTCCTGCTTGACTGACAAACTGTGAATTCCGCGACATAATCCTATGCCAGTGTCACTTGCCTTGTGACCCTACGTAATCGCATGTTATGGTACTAATATCACTGCACCGCCGCGACGCGGCGCATCAGTTCTTCAAACTAAATAGTGTTACCGCGAGTTGAAGGGAGCCGTGGGTTGTCACATACCCGTCGGGCAATGCTTTCGAAGGACGCTGCGACTGTCCTGGTCAAGGCCTTCTCGGAGTCTTCTAACTCCTCGACATCGCCATTGATCGATTGCATATGGTCGTTGAAGCTCTGTAAAGCGGCAGACCCCGAATCCTGTGACTCCTTTATGCGCTCGTCGAGCTCTCCATACTCCGCCGCACATTCCGCGATGGCATGGGTGACGTGTCGAAGCTTCGGGTCGTTCTGCTCGAGCAGATCTTCTAATCTCACCGTCAACGCGGCAACTTGATCCTCCGTGAAAGTCCTCTCCGCCTGAAGCAGATTCACCTCCCCCTCAACTTCATCCAGTTTGCGACGGAAAAGCTCAACCTGAGTCATCGCGCCGTGATGTTTCTGCTGGACCAGAGCGACTTTGGCGATGATGTTGGACTTCTCCTCCGCGATGAAGCCTTCGCACTCCGCGTAGAATGCGTCTCCTAGGTAATCGCGTATCATATCGCCCAGTAACGTGAAGAACAGATTCACGCGCGGGATGATGTCTGAGAAGTCATAGGGGGTCGATATGACTTTCCTGAGGGCTGATATCGACATGGTGGTGGAGGGCAAGTTTGCGTGGGACCCTGAGGAAGCGGTGACAGGCGTCTATCGATGCCACAGTAGTTGCCGTATGTATCGTTTGGCATGCATGTCCTTGTAAGTTCTCACCGTCAGCCATGATGCATGATGGACTATGCAAGTCTCGAAAGACTCGAATCCAAGTCCGCGTGCCTTCTCTCAAGCCAGTCGGGCGCACCTTTAGAATGTCCAGAGTCAGTTAGTAGGACCTCTTCACCCGCACACGGACATGCGGATTCCATCTGGCACATATTGAGATGTAAGGACGTTCGGATGCGTATGAAATTCGAAGTTGGCCTGGTCTGCAGATAGGATACATTTTCAGCGCGAGTCTTGGTGATACAGCGTGCATGCACAGATCGGAACAAGAATACAAACAATCGATTCGACATCAGATACTCGCGCGCCACTGTCCCTCGGCGAAGCGCGTACGTGGAAGCCTCCCTGGCCAGCCTAACCCTCTTCAACGGCATACATAACCGCCCTCCTCTCCTCATCCAACTGCTTCAACTCCAACTCAATCTCGTGCGCGTCCTTCTCCAGGCGCTTATACGCCGCCTCCCACGTCCGCAGCGACACCTCGATCCTCTGCGTATCGCGCTGCAGCCCGAGCAGGCCCTCCGGTACAGCGTTCGGGTCTAAGTTCGACGGGTCCCCGCCAACGGCGACGATCTTCGCCAGCGCGTCCTGGCACATCTTCGCGCCCGCCTGCTCGAGCCGCGCCGCCTCGCGCTCAATCTGCAGCCTTTGTTTATCCAGCCTCGCCGCCTCGGAGCTCAGCCTGTTCGACTCGGACTTGAGATGCTCAATCCGCGACTCGCGGCGGTCGAGGAACGACTCGAGCGACGCCATGGCCGTCTCGCCACCGCCGCTTCCGTTTGTGTTCGAATTGGAGTTTGAGCGCCGGGCGGGCTTCTTCTTCTTTTTCTTCTTTGGGCGCGGTTTGGGAGGCTCGGAGTCGAGCCGGATGGCCGAGGAGCTCGCGATGGGCTGCTGCGACTCGGGCGTGTGGGATGTGCGCGGCGGCGATTTTCGCGGGGTGGAGGGCCCGGCTTCGGCCATTGGAGGCGGGTAAGCGAGTAAGGGGGTGGGTGGGTGAGAGTGATGGTGGTGGAAGAAAGGCGAGGTGCGTCCCGCGCGGACCGACTTGTACTCGCGCGCCTCTTGCTCACATGCCCCTAGGACACTGGACGAAAACCGTATAGATTGCAGCGCTATCGACACAGCCTCAGTTCTCACAGATGCGGTCCGGAGCGCGTGTGGCGTGCGCGGAAAGCAGAGACATACATGATTGCATTAATACGGTACTGCTAAAAGTCCCAAGTACCCATGTGCACATGAGCGTATGAACAATTTGTCAACTTAACTCCTAAGATATTAGAGTATTGACAGGATGTGAGTGAGGATTGGTTCGAGATAGGGCGCTAGCAGAAGGTGTAAGAAGTAGACGGAATGAAGACGAGTATAACACTGATCTCCGCGGTTCGCGGCCGGAATTGGGATACATGAATGCGGGGAATACGGTGTAGCTCCGACTATGTATGGCTATACACTCTGTGCGCACTCTATATCCGGTACATAGCCCGAGCATCTCGGCTCGGAGAAGGATCGATAAAAATCGAGGGGACGAGGTTAAGCTATGTATGAAGGACCGGTCGTCCGTGAAAGCAAATATGGGGTGCTACTGGATATGAGTACGGCCGTACTGGGAGAGAGTGCGTCCCTCTCGAAGGTTACTACAGTCTGCGCTGGTGGTGGGTGCAGGACAAGCTGTGGCGCGCTCCGATCGCGAACGGTGAAGTCGGAGTCGACGCGTCCATAGTTGTCAACAACCCTCAACCGCTTGCTTTCAACCACCACGAGGCTCGCCGGTCCAACGTGTGGCGCGCTACTACCTACCACTGCCATTCTATTCGATTACGCGTCACCCCACCTCTCCTGTCCGTCTCCTGCAAAAATTAGACGACTATCATGGCGACGACGGCAGCACCAGCGCCTGCAGCAGCTGCAGTCAGCGCCGGTAAACAGAAAGCGGGCAAGAGCGCGGCCTCTGGTTTATACAAGCCCGAGACCGTGAAGGTACGCGTGTCGATAGCACCAGTACAGCAGTATGCCTCAACACGAATGCTCAGGATATTGCCGAATCTCTGGGGCTATCAAGTATACCCGAAACTGTAGCGGCCGCACTGGCAAGCGACGTCGAGTACAGGATACATCAAGTGGTCGAGGTACGCGAATCTGACGCGCGAGCTCTCATCGTATCCTGAGCTCCTTCAGGAAGCGGCGCGCTTTATGCGTCATGCCCGACGAACAACAATGACGACCGCGGACATCGACAACGCCCTCCGCGTCCTCAACATCGAGCCCTTATACGGCCACAGCGCACACAACAACCCCATCTTCCGGCGCGCGCTCCCTTTCTCGCAGATGCCATCAGCCGGAACAGTGTTCTTTGTAGAAGACGAGGAGATCGACTTTGACAGGGTGTTGAAGGAGGAGAAGTTGCCGTTGCCTTCGGGCGTGAGGTGGACGGCGCATTGGCTGGCGGTGGAGGGCGTGCAGCCGCTTATACCGGAGAACCCGCCTGCTGTGCCTAGGCAGGACGATACGGCGGGACCGTCGCGCTCGGCTATACCCGCGAAACAACAGCAGCAGAATGCGCTTGTCAAGCAGGTTCTGTCGCGCGAGTTGCAGCTGTACTACGGTCGTCTCACTGCCGCGTTACTGGATACCGGCTCAGAAGGCGGCTCAAAACGCTCTGCGGCACTCGCCAGTTTACGCGGTGACGCAGGTCTACAGGCACTACTACCCTACCTCGTACGCTGGGTCGGCGAGGGCGTAGTCAACTGTCTAAAAGAAGGCACACAAAGCGATTCGACAGGCCGAACGCTGGAGGTGTACATGAACGCCATCGCCGCGCTGCTCGACAACTCGTCGCTCTTCGTCGAGCCATACCTCCACCAGCTCCTCCCGCCTATCCTCTCCGTCCTCCTGCACTCCTCTCTGCCGCCCATGCACGCGTCTACACTCCGACGACACGCCTCGTCGACCCTCGCGCGCATCCTGACGCAGCACTCCGCGACGTATCCCTCATTATCGCCGCGCATAATGAAAACGCTGCTCCTCGCTCTCCTCTCGCCGGACAAAGCCCGCGGCACCCGCGCCGGCGCCGTCCTCGGCCTCGTCGGCGTCGGCAAAGAAGCTGTGCGCAAAGGCCTCATCGAAGCGGGGGGAGCTAGAGCAGTGGGCGAGACGCTCATGCCCGGCGAAGACGGCGGGCTGTCGGATGTGGTATTTGACGCGCTGAAAACGCTCGCGGCGCCCAGTGCGAATCCGACGCCGCTTGATAGGTCGGGGGAGGACTATGGAAGGTTGAGGGATGTTGTGGGGGAGCATTTTGCGGAGAGGTTGGCGGGGGATGCGGGTTGGGTTGGGGCGATACTTGGGGAGAAGTAGGGTTAGGAGGGAAGGAGGATGTAAGGTACTGCTTTGTATGTGCTTAGGGTTGACTGATTCTTGCTACGATATCACCATATCTTCGCGCTGTTGGCACCTGGGCTGCCGTGTCGCACGAGCGCTCAATATCCAGAACTCAGTTCGAGAGAGTCCAGAGGGAATGTTCAGTGGTATTCGTGGCAATAGTATACATGAATATAATGCTACAATTTGGGAAGCAGGCATTTGTCCGATAGTGATGTTCTCATGTTTTAGGGTTCAATGGTTTCAGTGTGCAGATCAGTAGCGCAGACAGCGGTGTTATGCGCTACGAGCGTATGTTAGCCCCATGCATAGGAAAGAGGTTCGACGGGACATACCTCTCCGCAGTCAATGTCTCCCCCACAGCCTTATCCTCCACCTGCTTCGCCTGATGCCTATGCCCCATCCGATCCTTCCACCCCGAGATAATCTCGCTCAGCTCCGCCAGCCGCTCGCTACTCTTATCGAGCTCCTCAAACACCCTCCTGATATCCTTCTGCAGCGCGCCCTGCTGATCGTGCACCTCCTGCAGCTCCTCCATCACCCGCCCGACCTGCGCCGGCAGACTCGCGGCATACGCCCTCATAGCTTCAACGCGCGCCCACCGTCCGCGCTCATCAAGATCAAATAATTCGGCGTTCAATGTGTCATCGTCGAGCGAGAAATACGCGCCCAGGCGGTGGACTTCGCTCCGCAAGAACGTCGTCTCGTCGCACAGCAGCACGCCCTGCTCGTGCAGCTGCGCCCGCGCAATGTCCAATCTGTGCGCTTCGTCCGTCAGGCGCTTGTTGTTCGCCATCGTGAGTTTGATCTCCGCGTCGAGTTTGTCGAGTTCGGCACGCTTGACGGTGGTGCAACCGCAGGAGGAGCAGAGCTCGAAGGACGAGGGGAGCTGTGGTGTGGGCGTCACACGGTCAACTGTGCGGCTCAGTAAGCGTATGTGATGCAGGCGCACCTCTTCGTTGGAGGCAGAGTCCATGTTGGGGTGTTGTATGAGGTGGGGGATGGCTGGGTAGGCGGTGGGGAAGGTTATGGTGGTACAAGGTGAGAGTGGTCTCGGTTAGGGGCACTAGCGGTCTCGCGGCATATTCCGTCATCCGACTCTCGGACCGAACGTCCGATGCACGTTGGATCATTCCGTCATGTTGCTCTCCCCAGGCCTCGAATTTATAGTCTACCGCTCAGTGAGCGGGGCGCAACTCGATGCATAGCGTGCTATCTATGTACTCTTGCGCCGGGCTTCTGCGCCTATAGTGCCGGCCCGAACGAAACTCCCATGCACTCGCGCGCTTCCTCAGTGCTTCCTGCACTTGGTAACTCCCATCACCGCTGTACCAGACCAAGCACCGATCCTCATGTCCAACATCATCGCTGAGATTGTGGCCTCGACCCGCTTAATTTCCTCGCAGATAGACGACCTTGTCGAACACGGGAAGAAGGAGGAGCTCGACGCTCTGCAACAAGACGTGGCTGCCAAGCGCGAACGAGTCAAAGGACTGGGATCGCAGTACCAGCAGGAGTCCACCACGGAAATGAAAAAGGCCGCTGAGACTGGACTACAAATCGCCAACGTTGTCAAGGAGCTAGAGGTGCTTTGGCAAGGGCGGGGCTTCGTAGAGGCTGAAACCATCAGACTCGCGCAAGAGCGAGACCGGCTCGAGGATCAGCCGATGTCGAGGCATGTTCACCATGCCGTCCTGCAATGTATTGCGGACTACAGCGAGCTATCTAGCCGTATCCTCGCAGACATGGTAGACTTGAGTGCATGCCTGCGGGAGCTCAGTGCGGGAGTATGGCAGTCGACGCATGAAATCAATGCCCTGCAACGACTGCTCAGGGAGGCGACGGAGGCGTTCAATGTTATCGAGGCAGTTAACCGTGAGGTACGTCGCAAAAAGCACGCACGTGTATATGTCGGTTGATGTGTCATCAGTTGCAAAACGCATTGGCAGAGGTTGAAGAGCAGCACTTGTCCGAGTGCTCCTCGGAGTCATCTTGACCACCCGTGTTACATATCACATCCTCGCATCGAATACATCCATACGTCGCTCACTATCACACGTTTCTTCTCAATTACGGGCTCAAAATCTATTCCTTTCATGACGCTAGAACTCCTGCTCGCCCTGTATCACATGACGACTATCGCAGACGGCTACATAGCATCGCGTCAAACCCCGAGCTGTCACAGCACCTGAGATGGCAACTAGCGCGACATCGAGATAGACGCCTGTCACCGCTTCTCTCGTTCGCACGCACGCTTGCCACTCTACCACCACAGCATCACTACTTATCCCACTGGCAGTCAACCCATGGATGGAATTATCGCAATCGTGGGTGCTGCCTGTGCGCAAATCGGCGATGCCGTTCGTCGAAGTCGGGGAGATGAACATTACGCCTTATGCGAAGGTATAATAATGAAGACGAGAGACGACATCGTCGATCAACTTAGGCGCTACCAGCGAGATTACGATCGCTCGGAAGCCCAACTTGATCTCCTTCATCGCCAGCAGGACGAAGCTCGAGCGACTTTGATGCTGCTTGCACAGGAGAGGTTCTTCATGATAGGTGAAGCGGCGAGGTTGTCAGAGGAGCTGGAGCGCCTACCCGAGCAGGATCAGAAACTTCGACACGTCCGCCACGCAGTCGTGGAAAGCGCCGTGGAATACGACCAGCTGTGCGTGGACATTGACGCTCAACTAAGTGCGGCAGGTGTTGCTATGGGAGAGATTTCTCAACGTGAGAGGGCTTTGGTAGGAGAGGTGGGGGCATTACGGGGTATGAGGGCGGACGTAACCAAAAACATTCTCGATTCCCTCGCAGCCCTTCAGCAGCAGGTATGCTATATCCACTCGTTCAGGGTATCATTGTGATTAAGGGCTCGCAGTTAGTGGAAGATGAGGGCAACGCCGCCGACACACCATAGCAGCACGATGCGAGCTTCCCTGTCGCTATACTGGCCAGCGACAACGGTGGCGGTAGACGTGGAGGGTTCGTCGTGTCTATCGTACTTGGTCTCAACAAAGAAGTGACAGGTTCGTGAAACACAGGGAGAAGGGAAAAGTGGGAGATGCCCATCTGGCTGAGTGAGGCTATGTTGGAGGGATATGTACAATTAGTCGCAGCGTCGGAATCAGAAGCGTGAAATATAATGTTCTCAGTACCGACCTGATTGCTATTTATGCGATAGCACTAAAGACCCCACTAGGGTGAACAAAGACTGAACAGATGGCTGGGACTTGCGGAGGGAAAAGTCACCCTCGCACGTCGAATTCGTATATTTGAGTACCTTCTGTAGTGGGCACGGGGGCGGCCCTGAACGTGCAAAAAGTCCGACGGTAGATTCTTTAGAGCGTATGCAGTGTATGATGTTGAATCCCACCCCAAAGACATGGTGGAAATACTCGACAAGGAGAAGACGCGTCGCGGAGACGCAGGTCTTCAACGCGTCTTGCCGCTTCCGACCATGGCGCCCTCTGTACTCGCCGCCGGCTCCAACGCACACGGTCAACTCGGCTCAGGCGATCGCGAAGATGCGCATCACTTTCACTCCTGCCTATTCTACTGGGACGGAGAAAGTCGAGCTCGACTACCGCATTATACAACCCGCGTAGCACGCATCGTGGGTGGCGCGAACCATACGCTGCTCCTCACTTCGACATCCGACGGCATCCGTGAGCTGTGGGGAAGTGGAGATAATACAAGGGGTCAGCTATGGGCCCCGGGGTCTCAGGAGGACACAACTACCTTTCGACTTCTACGTGTCGAACACTTGGCCTTGCCGGGTTGGCGGATCAAGAACGTCGCGGCAGCTTGGGAGTCAAGCTACTTCGTGCTGTCAGATGGGAGGAGGGACGCGATACTTGCTACGGGAAGCAACGAGCGGTGCCTGCTGGGCCACGATGGACCTGACGGTGCTCATTTGGTCGACCTATCGGGTCTGTTGGATGGTGTAGAGTTCGTTGTTCAGGATATTGTTGCCGGTCCAATGCATGTCGTTGCACTTCTCCATCTACCGTCCGAATCTCGAACACTTGCCATTGGATGGGGCACTGCAAGACACGGGCAGCTCGGTCAACCTATCCAAAAGTGGTGGACTCATCCACGCATACTCTCTGCTTTACCTGAGAACGCCTCCCTCGCATCCGTCGCTCTCGGAAATCAGCATACCATCCTCAGGCACACAGACGGAAGAGTGACGGCTTTGGGATCCTCCAGAGTTGGACAGCTCGACGGTGTCGCAGATCTACTTGATGTCGGCTCTGTACACTGCACCTGGAGCGGGACGTACATCAGGACCATCGGCGACTCGTCGCCGGCCCTGTCTACCGGGAAGAACGACAAGGGCCAGCTCGGTCGCCCAACTCATGATTCATCGTCCCCGTCGTTGAGTCCCGTCATCCTTCCCGCCACCATCGGCAACAACGCTATCAAGGACATGGCTTGTGGAAGCGAGCACGTCGTCGTGCTCACTCGTGACGGCAAGGTGTATGGGTGGGGATGGAATGAACACGGCAATCTCGGGACGGGTGGGGTTGAGGACGTTCCTTTGCCTACCCTCCTATGGGCACCGGAGGAAGGTGCGAGTGCGCGGAGCGTATGGGCGGGCTGCGGCACAACGTTCATAGTCATCGGTTGACCTTTGAGATGCACAACGTCGGGACGAACGCTTAGCTCGATGCCGCCTTCAGAGGGTGACTACGTGAGAGCCGGTTCAGCACACCATCGACGTAACGCGCCATACACGAGGAGGCAGCACGCGTGTGCATCCCGTGCAGGCTACCCGCCCTTTGTTCGCCGGCAACCGCCGATCGTCTGATCAAGTACAAAGCGCGAGCGTCACGCCGGGTGGCACCTGCAACCCACCATCACCTCTACTCTGGACAAAGGAACCTCAACATGTCCAGCGTCGCATCGGATACTCTGAAGTACGCGCGCGACGCTACGGAGCAAATCGATGATCTCGTTCGGCGAGGCGAGGGGGACGAGCTACGCGTCTTGCATGAAGAGTGGGCCAGTCGGGATGAACACATCGATGAGCTGATGGCACGGAACCGTCAGGCGTGCGCTGATAGTTTCAACGCACGCGTACGTCTGCTTCAAGATCTTGAGGAGATTCGCTCGGCCGCGCGGTTGCTGGCCGACGAGAAGGCTTGTCTAGACGGTGAAATTGACAGGCTGCTACTGGAGAACGCCCAGAGCCGAGAGGAGCCGATGTTGGAGCATGTTCGTCACGCCAAGGCGCAGACTGCGTTCGAGTATCATGAACTCGATGTGCGTCTCCGGGAAGAGTACGCGGCCACCAATGCATCCATCGGCAAGGTCATCGATGAACTGTCACGCTGGAATGAGGAGATGGGGCTGCTGCAGGGGAGCTTTGAAGATCTCAATGCTGCAGCAGATGCTATCGGGAACATTCTTGAGAGGGTGAGTAACCATTGTGTCATCCATGCAACATCATATGCTAACTTGTACATTGCCAGTTGGAGGCGGCAGAAGCAGAAGTCGCTGATGTGCGCAAGTCCGCGAGTGCATCAGTGGTCCCGGTTATTTGAACGTCCACAGTGCCACACGTACGTCCATACAGCTCTCAAGATCACGAGTTCGTCTGATACAGAAACATTTAGATGGACTTGTACCCGTCTTGTTGTTTCGTTTTGTAGCGTGAAGGCAGGTGAAGTCGGCGAGCCTGCCTTTGCTGAAGCGCGGCTTCGGGCCGGGAAATGCCGCTAGTTTGATCTCGGACTTTGGTCCCAATCTCGCGTTTGACGCCACTTGTTTAGTTCCACTATCATCCAGTATCGTGCCCGCGTACAAGGAGCCGCTTCAGCTCCACTTTTGCTGTTTACCTCTGTGCACTCTGCGATTGAGAATGTCGATGAGCTAGTCAGGCAAATGGCTCGGTTATCACCTCAGTCTGGGCGGCTATCGAATGCGAACGCATACACATTATTGACTTCCTCGTACGACTTGGGGTGAGTGGCATCCTTCGTATTAGAAGGGGCATGTACATGCCACGCATCGTTGACTCGAGTCGGAGAATGGCAGTCGAGTTACTACTTCGAGCGTGAGAAGAAGGTTCAGACAGATGGAGAGGCTCAGGGTCGTTCTAGGCGAGGCGGGCTGAGCACGGCGTCTACCGTGACTTATTTAAGAAGTTGCAACTGCTTCTTCCTGTCCCACACGTCTTTGCTACCCACCACCATCACCACCATCACCGCCTTTGAAACACTGTTCGCGCACACTGATCATGTCGGACTTCTTGGCTACGATGCTTGCATCCGCGAAGGCAGCACGTCGGCAAATCCGCGAGGGAGGGGTCGATGGTTTCGCTTTGTCCCGAACATGGATTTCAAGTGCACACCAAGGCTTCGATGGCGAACTCGAGCGACTGCGACAAGCTAGGTCTCGAATTGAAGAGCAACGCGCCCGTAACACACAGAGGATGGAGGCTCTTAACATGCACTTCGAGCTGCTCGTTGCTGAGAAGGACTTCACTATGGCCGAGGTAGAGCGGCTACGCGAGGAAGAGCATTCACTCGAGGACAACCCGAACCTATGTCACGTCCGAGATGCGCTGATACAGTGCGCTACGGAGTACAACCAGCTTGACGAGAAGATAGAGGAGGACATGCAAGTGGCTCTTGTCGATGTACAAGTACTATCGGGCGACGTGCGCAAGGTAACCAAGGATTTGCGCAAGCTGCAAAAGAGCATCGATGCAGTGGAGACTACCAGAAAAATCATTCTTTCCTCGTTCGAGCAGGTACGCAAACGACGAAGTGATCATGAGCTTCGCGATTGACGAAGTTATACAGTTCTTCGAGGAAGCCAACGCTATGATACGCGACTGGAAGGCGGAACAGTCCCTCCAATCCAGTGACACTCGAGCTACGAACAATTGATCTGCCATCAGTGGTCCCAGTTATTTGAACGTCCGACGTCCACAATGCCACATGTGCGTCCATACAGCATTCGACAGCACGGGTTCGTCTGAGATACAAATGCGTTTAGGTAGACTGGTACCCGTCTCGTCGTTCCGTTCTGTAGCGTGAAGTCTTGGTGAAGTCAGCGAGCTTGCCTTTGTAAATACTACAGGCGCGGCTTCGGGCCGGAACTTAATGCCGTTCAGTAGTCGCGCTTGATGTCACTTGTTCCCTTCCATCATCTCCACGTTTCTTATGACAAACACATAACCCTCACTCGATACATAAACAGTTCGGGAAGGTCGTTTATGGAACAAAAGCGCTCTGGAAAATGGCGGGGGACGACGCCGATGGTGACAACCAGCGTTGACGCATTGACGATCGGGAGGCCGCCAGTGCATGTGAACTAGGTGGATCCAAGCTGCACATTATCGGAAAAGCCTGGTATTCCTTTCTGTCAGACACTCTGCAAATGGAATGCACCGAGTCTCGCAGAATCTGACATTGAATGCCACGCCCATGCGTGTGACGTGCGGCGAGCGCTCGCCATAAGTAGTAGGACACGGCAACCTCCGCGCGTTCTGGCCAGAAGAAGCTGCAATCGCTTCCTCACGTCCCACGTCGCCTCTCACTTATCCACCACCATCATCGTCACCTCACAGTCAATCGTGCATGGATAACATACCGGATCACGTATCGGATTTCTTCGCCTCGATGCGTGCATCCACGCAAGTAATGCGGCAACAACCTCGTGAAGGAGGGCAGGGTGGTCTGGCGGCGTGCAATGAGTGGCTCTCAACGGCACATCAGAGCTTCGACGACGAACTCGAGCGACTTCGGCGACTCCAGAGTCAGGCTGAAGAGGAACGCGCGCATACCATACGAAGGGCGGAGGAACTTGCCGCGAACGTCGGCTTGCTCGTCACCGAGAAAGACTTCAACTTGGATGAGGTAGAGCGCCTCCTCGGAGAGCAGCATCTAGTCGAGAACGAGGCGAGACTACGTCATGTTCGAGATGCGCTCGCAGAGTGCGTTACGGAGTACGGCCAGCTTGATGAGAAGATCGACGAGGACTTGGCGGTGGCTGCCGTAGACGCAGAAAAGCTATCAGAAGACGCACACAGGGTAGACAGGGAGATTCATGCACTGCAGCTGACCATCGATGGCGTGGAGACTACTAAGAACAATCTTCTTTCCTCCGTTCGAATGGTACGCAGGTGACAGTATGATCATGCACGATTCAGATGACGACGTCAGCGCAGCTTTTGGAGGCAGCCGAGGTTATGATGGCCAACGCGCGTCTTGGCTTGCAGGCGACAGAGGCCTCCATCGAGTGACTTGGACCCAGTGATACTCCCGCGAACAACTGATCAGTGAGAACCACTTGCTAAAGCACCAACCTTACCGCTGACCTGACAATCAAGGGCAAGACGCATCAATGTCACCGCGTATGAGCGCATGTGTAGCATACGATATGGCTGATCCCACGTGACCTCATCATTAAAGCCGACGCTGTAATAGCTTTTACATAGAGGAGAAATTGCAGTTGTGACTGCAAGCAAACAATACACCCAGTCTTGGCAGACAGCTTTGTTCGGATCGACGCTTGAGCTCTCACCTCCACCACAACGCCATAGACAGGGGTCACCAACCTCTAACAATTATCGCGACGCGCCATGAGCGCCACTATCCTCTCAACAACCCCCGCCTCATTAGAAACGTCCTGCGAAACGCTCATCCAGGTGGTCCGAGCGCGACTAGACGCCGAACATGCGCGCACATGCGAAAACATGATCAATGAAGCGAAGAACAAGATCATAGACCAGATGTCGCGAATAACGAACGAGCACGCGCGCCTCACACGAGCACGCGATGATATCCTGCGCAAACACAAAGAAGTCCAAGCATGCGAGGACTTGCTCACCGCGGAAAGAACGTACACGTTCGAGGAGACGGAGAGGCTGGCCGAGCTGCTCGAGCCCGGGCCGCTCCCGCAGCCGGACTTCGAACGCGACTTTCACATTCGCGCGGCGTTGATGAAGTGCGCGGTGGAGTACCGCCAGCTCGACAGGCGCATACTGGCAGAACTGGAGATGACGAGATCTGCCACTTCGGAGGTGCTGGACGAGTTGCGGGCGTTGGACAAGGAGTGGGACGAGCCGTATGGAAATCTCATGCGCGATGTCATGGAGCGTAGTACGAGTGTTATAGTGGATCTCATCAATCGGGTACGAAAAATGAGATACGGCGGAGAGAATGCGACTGATATAGTTGCGTATATTTAGTTGCAAGAGCCCATGGGCCAAAGTACAGTCCAGACTGCTCGCACCGTGTCAGCAGTTCTTGACAGTGCTACGACGAGCTTCTTCGCCGACTCGACGAGTGTTGCATGATGAGAATAAACGTGGGCATACACACTGCCCGGAGAAATGAATGCAATGTATATAATGTACATGACTGCACGAAGAATATTCCGTATCATGCGATCTTGACCGACTGTGAACGGCGTCAACATTTGCTCTGCAAGCGATCATACAGGATCCTCTGACCTTAGCGTACAATGAATCGACGACCTTGCTGACCTCTTCCAGCGTCTTGATCGCCGCGTCGTACGTAGCGTCGCTACTGGGCTCATCAAACAACAACAAGCACCCCCTCCCCTGGTCCAAGACGCCATGCAACAGCTTATCCAGCACCATCTGGCTGAGCTTCGCCTCGACGCTCTGCCTCCCCTGCCCGACCTGCTCCGCGACGTACGCAATCTCCACCACACTGTACGGCTCGACAATACGCAGCAAGTTCTGCTCGAGCAACGTATCGTATAACGCCGCCAGATGCCCGCGAATCGTCGCGTCGGCCGAGAGCTCGCGGAAGTCCTTAAGCGCCTGCTCAAACGCGGCCAGATCCCTCGCCGCATGTGCCCTCGCCACCGCCCTCATCGCCTCAATCTCGCGCCGCTGCGCATACGGCGTCGCGTTCTTATGCGTGAGCAGCGCCGTCACATCGTCCGGCGCCGCGAGCATGATCTTGCAAAGCAGCATATACTTCAGCGCGTTCAACGCGCCCGCCTCGTCGTCCTGCGCCGCCATGCCCTCGAACGTCTCGAAGAAGTACGAGTACGCGGTGGTGTAGTCCTTGTCCTCGGCGTGCAGCACGCCGGACTGGAGGTCGAGCGCGGACTGCAGGTGCGGCGGGCAGTAGATGCTGTTCGCGGCCGTGCGGGCGGAGGTGAGGGCGGCTTTGGATTTGGAGAGGTTGCCGATGCCGCGGTAGACGCGCGATTCGAGGAGGTGGACTTCGGTGAGGACCATTTTGTCGTCGAGGCGCTTGAGCTCGGTGAGGAGGCCGTCGATCATTGCGAGCGCGGGTTTGTATTGGTTTGTGTCGAGGTAGCTGGGAGGGTTGTCAGGGGTGTGTACGGGGTCGGGGAGAGCGGGGGCGCGTACATTCCGACGAGCCGTGTCTCGAGGTTCTGTTTCTGGAATATACGCTTCTCGCGCTTCGCCCAGTCGATGTTCTCCTTCAAGACGTCTATTTGTGTCTGAGCACTATCGGGTATTGGGTTGAAGTAGTCCAGTAGTGTGCGGACTATGATGGTTCGTCAGTTCGGGCTATAAATATTCATAATAGTGCACGTACTGAGCTTGGCCGTCTTTGCCTTTGCTGTGGCGGACATGTACGATCGTGAGAGTGTGATGACTTCTGCCAGTCCCTTCGCATTCCTAACACACAATCAGTACCCATTACATCCATTGTGTCATAATGAGAGTACTTTTGATCGCGATACAACTCGCCGAGCTTGACGAGCGCAGTCTCCTGGTGCCTCAGCGCCTCCGCATTGTCCTGTGCCGGCTCTTTCAATATTTCTTTATAGACCGCTTCTGCGCGTTTGGGCTCTTTGGGAGCAAGAGACTGTGCCTGTTCGAGCTGTTGTTCGAGAGTAGGAGCCATGGTGGTAATAAGGTGAACGCGACGCGTAAGTCCGCGACGCGTGCACACGCGTCTACGCGTCTCCCAAACTCGCACGCGACGCGCGTCGCGTCCCGACCTCTAACCCGCACGACCATGGCCGAAGACAAAGTGCTGCCCTACCCCAACCTCGCCTTACCGCAGGAACACTTTATATTAACCCAACCGCACCTCTCGCACCTACACGACAATGCACGTGCGGCACTACTCCGCGGGATCGAGGCGGACGCGATGAGCGCCTATTACCGGCTCGTCGTCGAGTCGGGCGTCGTGCAGCTCGATCAGGCGTTGTTGGATAAGATGGAGAAGGAGAACAATGAGGAGCTGGAGAGGCTGGATAAGAAGCTGAAGGAGAGCGAGGAGATGGAGGGCGAGACGGATATCGCAGAGTGTTTGAGGGCAAAGGCATTCTATCTCACCCGAATCGGCGAGAAAGTAAAGAGCCTATAGACTCCGCTATATACGATAGCTAACAGACTCTACAGAAGAAAGCCCTGGACGCGCATGACGTCGCGCTAGAAAAGACGCCCGGCGTCGGCTCGCGAATAGACATCGCGCTCACGCGCACGCGCATCGGCTTCTTCTTCGGCGACAACGACCTGATCTCCACCGCCCTCACCCGCGCCGAAGAGCTCGTCGAAAAGGGCGGCGACTGGGACAGGCGCAACAGGCTCAAGGTCTACCAGGGCCTGCACGCCCTCTCGATCCGCCAGTTCGCGCGCGGCGCGGACCTGTTCATCGACGCGCTCTCCACCTTCACCGCCACAGAGCTCCTGCCGTATAACGACTTTGTCGCGCTCACGATTCTGAGCGGGACGTTGACGCTTGAGCGTGTCGAGTTGAAGAAGAAGATTATATCGGCGAGCGATGTGGTGCAGGTGTTGCCGGAACTACCGACATTGGCGGATTATATCAAGCACCTATATGACTGCCACTATGACAAGTTCTTCCGCGCACTCGGTGAGTCTCTGGAATCCCTCACAACCTGCCGACTCATATTTGATGCGTTACTCTCTACAGCTGAGATCGAGCAGACCCATCTACTCCCCTCCCGCCTCCTACACCAACACACGCGGTACTACGTCCGCGAGATGCGCATCCTCGCCTACGCCCAGCTCCTCCAATCATACCAATCGCTCACGCTCGAGAGCCTGAGCGCAGCATTCGGCGTCACCGTCGACTTTATGGACAAGTACGCCCTTCTTATCCCTCCATACTGTCCAAACAGAGCTAACGAAACGATGTGGCATAGTGAACTCTCGCGCTTCATCGCCTCTGGGAGGTTACACGCCACGATCGACAAGGTCCACGGGATCGTCGAGACGACGAGGCCGCCGACGAAGAGCGCGCAGACGGACGCTGTGCTGAGGAAGGGCGATGTCTTGCTTAATAGCGTGCAGCGATTGAGTAAGGTGTTGTATTGAGTGGAACGCTTTTTTTGTAATATATTGCACGGTGACCTTTCCCCTGCCATAGCCGAAGCCTGTCATGAGGCGTCACCCCGCGTGCCCTTAAAAGCCATCGTATGTGATTGAGCGAAACATATTATCCGCGAGCGATGCGCAACTGGCTGCTAAAGCGCTGAAGCGAGAGGGAAGTCGCCGCGGCGGTCTCGGGCCGCGCGACCAACGCGCCCACGTGCTTTACCGCACAGAACGCGTCGCGCTCGTCTTGATTCACGGTGGTGACATCGCACGCAGTTGCTGACCACTTTCGCTATTCCGTTTCGCGGCGTCAGAGGCATATGTAGAGTATGCATTGCTTATGGTGCGCGCGATTTAGGAGCAACTGATTCAAGTTAAGCGCGCGCTAACGTGATTCGGATTGAAGACTCGGATACACCCTGCCTGTAATCGGACGTGGATGTGGTTGCGGTTGTGGATGTGGTTGTGGTTATTCGTATCGACAAATATCTCCATTCAAGTCGAAGCATATATAAGCCATGCAGAGCGCGTGCTGGTTGAGTACTATTATCGCGCCCCCTCTCTTGTAAGGGTGAGTCCATTGTGTAGATACGTATGTCTATGGCCGCTCATGACATGATAGATGTCTGGTATTGACTTTGCGCCAATCCCTCTCAAACCCAACACCCTTCATATATCCACTCTCATGATCGAAGAGCCGGGTCTCTACCACTGGTCCCTGTACATGGTGGACGCCAAGGGCGAAGTCGCGCGATACCACTGGTCGCAGAACGACGCTCCAGCCTCGAAGAACAGGCCCGCCGAGCGCTTCACCGTCAGCGTCGTCAAAGGACCCGTCCGCAAAGTGACCCCAACTATGCACATGATATTCGGGATGGTCAAGATCGAGGCATATACCCCGAGGCCGAACACGACGCATGAAGTCATGAAAGAGCACCTGCGGACTATCTTCGAGAGAAGCTATCGGACGGTGGACGAGAATCGTGCGGCGGGTATTACTTGCCGTACGTGGGTGTTTGCCGCGCTTGAGAAGTTGCGCCAGGTAGGATTACTGCGTCTCACGAGGGAAGGCGCTGCGGGTTTGGAGGGGAAAGTGAAGGGCATCTCTCAGAACGCAGAGCGATTGACGATGACTGGGAGGCCGACCTCCACCGTGATATCCATTTAACAAGTATACAATGTACTTTACTGTCACAATGTACTAGTCCCGCCCTGCAAAATATACGTCAGCATCATTTCAAGATAGTGACACGCTCGTCTTACTATATCAGACTGGTAGCTTCTCTATGAATGATTTCGCCGCTAGATACGCGGCTTCAGCTTCATCCGAGAATCGATGCTCCACCCAGTGGTCACGCCAGCGGCCCCAACATCCCACCCGTGCACGACGCATCACCCACAGTTGCCAGCAAGATGGAACCCAGCCGGAGTCTTCCCAGTCAATGATACCAGAAAGGTGTCCATTGCGCACGATAATGTTGTGCATACGGAGGTCTGTGTGCATGAATCGGACAGGGTCCGCTGTTAGAGCCTCAAGCGTGGCAGGTTCTATAGACTTCCTTAGACTATCCTCGTCAGGATGACCCGCGTGATGAGCCCACAGAGCGATGGTAGAGGGGAACGGGCCTGAGCGTTTCTCGAAGAAGTAAGCCCCATCGGGCATACCATGCCCAGATGCGCTCATCATGACATTTCCGGCCTCATTGGGAGGCTGGCGCAAGTATTCAAGCTCGTTCATGACGACCTCGATCTCGCTCACGATGGTGTCAAAGTCGTCCGAGTTAATCTTCTCATCCCGCATGGCCTCATCCATCGAGATCCCAGACACACGAGTCATGACGGTGTATGTCATCTCCTCATGAGCGAAAGAGAAAACGAGGCGTGGTATGGGGAGATCAAGCCCAGTCGAATGAAGAAAACGGAGAGCCTCGGCTTCTGTGCTAGTGGTTCGTGGTGTGATCTTGACGACCCATGGGATGCAGAATCTGAAGACGCGTATATTTGTCCAGAAAGGCATGTCTTCCGAGAACATTGGCCGCGTCAACGACATGATAATCCAACGCTGCAGCAAGCTGATGACCCCCTAAAGTAGCATCAGAAGACAAGCCTGCGTGCATAACAGAGTAGTCACGCACCATAGTAATGTTCGAATGTAGGGAATAGCGGTGGTCAGTGGTTCGCTGTGGTGGTCGAGAGCGAAGCCGCGTTTCGCGCGGCGCGCGCCACTTACCCTAACCCGACTTGCAGTCTTGTACCTCAACCGCCGCGTCCGAGTTGGAATTTGCCTCTAACCACGACGACGTCGTACTCTTCGGTTCTGTATCAATCGCAAACTTTTCAAGAACCTGGATACGCTATCTGCACGTCTGATCTTGCATATACACCGCTGGAGTGTTCGCGCGGCCGCGCGCCTTTCGCCTTTCGGAACATCGACTCCTGAGCATCCGCTATAGGGTCCACCAAGGCTGCTCGCTCGTTATTCTACTTCTAGCGCGCAGATGGTCTCAACACGGTCGACCAGCAAGGCTGTTTCTGTCATTACGGCCGTCTCAACATCCAGTGGCCGTCCAGCAAAGCGCGCAAGAGCGTCCGTGTCTGCTGCGGAGGTTGAGCTTGATGAGATTGATGACCCTTCGCCCTCCGAACGCGATGCCCCTTCAATCACTGTCGCATCGAAGAAGGCGACCAAGAATCGAGTCTCGAAGACCCGTGAGGTTGTGAAAGTCAGCGGAGAGGACGAGGAGCCGAAAGAGGCCAGGAAGAAACCGCGCAAGAAGCTGCAACTCGAGACGGACCCTACGACCTACGCACCGCGTGCTCAGTCAGCTTGGAAGATTGGCGCCCACGTCTCTGCAGCAGGTGGCGTTGAAAATGCCGTGCTCAACGCGGCGTCGATAGGGTACTTCGTCCTGTCATCGTGCTCCCCCGTCTTGTCAGCTCAACCGTTCGTCCAAGCGCCAACGCGTTCGCGCTATTCCTCAAATCGCAACGCAAATGGGCTGGACCGCCTCTGTCAGAAGATTCGCGCGCAACCTTTACTGAACGGTTGAAGTCGTTCGGGTACGAGGCGAAGCATGTGCTCCCGCACGGGAACTACCTTGTGAACATGGGCAATCCGGACGCGGACGTTCGCGAGAAGAGCTATGCGTGCTTTGTGGACGAGCTGAAACGATGTGAGGCTCTTGAACTCACTCTGTTCAACTTTCAGTGCGTCCACTACACTCGCTCAAGGAAGAGAAGGGCGCTGACATGATATCAGCCCAGGGAGTACTGTTGGAGCATGTACGGTGGAAGAGTCGTTGAAATACATCGCGGAGTGTATCAATCGTGCCCACCAGGAGACCCAGACGGTTTGCATCGTGATAGAGAACATGGTATGCCTCCCCACCGAAAGCGTGAGGGCAGCCTTTCACTCATGGGATTGCAGGCAGGAGCCGGCAACGTCGTAGGAGGTGAGTTTGAGCACATTGCCAAGATCATTGAGCAAGTGCGGGACAAGACTCGCGTTGGCGTCTGCGTGGATACATGTACGTGTCTTCCTCTCTGACTGTGACTTCACACTGATACGCATCCAAGGTCATGCTTTCGCTGCCGTATGTTCAATTAACCAAGTATGTGTCACTCAAGCGTTTGAACGATACACTTCCATAGGGCTACGACATACGAACCGAGAAGGGCTGGAAGTGAGTAGCCCTCCACACTTTGCCTGTTCGCGTTCACTTACTGCTACGTCGGTCAGTGAAACAATGACCCAGTTTGATACGACCATCGGCATCCAATATCTGCGTGGCATGCACCTCAACGACTCAAAAGCCACGTTGGGAAGCAAGAAAGACCGGCACGACAATCTCGGATGGTATGTGCACTACCTAGGAACCCATGCGTGCATCACTGATTGCTGACGCACTCTGCCGTAGCGGCAAGATTGGCCTGGATGCTTTCTCTCATATCGTCTCAGACCCGCGGACGCGCGATATCCCGCTCATCCTGGAAACACCGTCGCACGAGAGCAAAGACGGTGCGGTCTGGCGGGCGGAGATAGCTGCATTGCATGCGTTCGTACCCGACAGCGCCAGTGACAGGCGGAAGACAGTTTCACAGGCGGCGAGCGAAGTGAGGGAAGTCGTCGAAGTCGCCGTCAAGGCAGAAAACGAAGCGAAGAAGGCAAAGGAAGTAAAGCGAGGGACAAAGCGCAAGAAAGCGGCGAGCAAGGATGGGAATGAGGAGGACGGCGACGAGGATGATGAAGACGTATAACCTCCTTTCAACTACATTCTTGTCACATATCGCGAGGTGAATCAATTTTGTGCACCTAGTGACCCATCCCGCGACCACGGAGAATAGAGGTCCGATGTTTACAGTCAGGGAAATCGTTATAGTAATACATGTCAGAAAGCTCCACGAATACATGATATAGATACAAGAAAAGATCTTAGAACGAATATCCGAACTGCGACGCTCTGTCACCGTTCTGACGGGCATCCTGGCTCTGGCCGAAAGCGCTCGTCTGTTGTTGTCCGCTGCCGTTCCCATTGCCCGCAAAACTTGCCATGCTTGACACGTAGCGGTCCCAGTCTTCCGTCCTGCAAACAGTCAGTTCGAGTTCCGACATACTCGACGTAAGTACACGCACTGGAAGGTTGCCGGTAATGAAGACCATATAGACGCCATCTGAGGCGCGTCCTGAGCCATTGCGGGCCCGAGCAAGCTCATGAATTGCGAATCATCCGCATTTGTCGATTGCCCAGGCATCGAGCCTGTATTGGCGCCGATGGTGGACAGGAAGCTAGAGTAATCGTCTTGCGGAAGGTAAGTTCCCGTCTGGGTGGGACGATAGGAACTGGACGGTTGGGAAGGCGCGTAGGACGCAGGTGGTAGAGTTGCTCCAGGATCCAGAGGTATGCTGGGGTACGACCCGGCAGCTGTGTATCCTGATTGCGTGGGAGGGTTGGACTGGTACTGGGGTCGGGCTGGCTGGGAGCTGCTGGACGTAGCCAACCCATACGTAGCAGCACTAGTAGTCATCCCAGTTGATGCGGGATCGAAGGCGTACAACCCATCCGCACGTCGAGCGAGAGGCGGTCCGAAAACGGACATCTCAGAGGAAGTGGTCGGGACAACTCTCTCGAGTACGTGTTTCGCTGATTCCTCCGTGCCATTGGTCGCATTGCCCGCGGAGTATTGAGCCGCCAGTTGCTGTTCCGACGTCTGCGGCATATGTAGTGTCGGCAATGATGTCTCTTCGTATCGGTCAACATCATCGAGGCGAGGGCGCTTCGTCGAAGGTAAAGCCGGCAGCGGAAGATCGCCTGCGTTGGCCAAGGCTCGCAGCAGATCCTTGAGCCGACCTGCGAGGGGCCATCTATAATAAACATTCATACAAGTCCCTCGAGTCGGAATGTATGCCATACCTGATCTCCGCATCGTTCAGGAAGTCCGTCACAGCGAAAACATCCTTCATGTCTGCCAGCGTATCGACTCGCATGCCTGCCCGCTTCGCGAGCCAGACGCGCAGCAGAAGCACCATGCCAGCCAGGAAGGAAGGGATCTGCATGTCGATGAGCAAGAGTGCTAGGAAAAACATGCATACAGGGAGTCACGCACAATAGGCACCATCAGGACTATGCTGGGAAGGAGGCGACGTTGGGCTTGCATGAGGTGTACTACAGCGCGCGCAGCACTCGTGCAAATAGTCAAGCTGGGTAATGAGAGGGGGGAATCGCCGTGTGGTGATGCGATGAATGGGCGGTGAATCGTGATCCGCGTGTATTGGTACATCAAGTGCAGGACAGAGCTCTGAAGAACCTTGTTCCTGTTCGATTCTACACCCGGTTCTAGGAGAACGTCGTCCCATCTCACTAAGGACGATAACAGTGAGTACGTAAGAAGACATCCTGATAAACAAATCCACATACGATAGTCAGGTACAGAGTCAGCCCAACGGTTTAACGCGGAGTCAAGCTCGATCACAACGCGGCGCTCCCATTCATCCTGTCCTAATCTTGCGATCAGGCGATCCTTGTCGGGGGAGTAGATGGTTCGCAGAGCATGGGCATGAATCAAGTTCAGCTTCAGGTTGCAGACGAAATACGCAGCGCCCGAGTATTCCCCAGGCGGCTGCACAAATGCCTTCTCAGGATCGTCGGCTGTCCAATATTTGTCGTCAACATCTGTGGGGAAGTCGACGTCAAAGCTGTCAAGGGCTATGGCCGTGGGACGTCCCAGGAAGGAGCTGTTCCACACGTCGAGGAATACAAGCACCCAGAAGGCACGTTTCCAGAGCTCCCCTTCAAGCGTGTTGCGCACAGCTTTGTGCTGCCTATGAATTCCCATATCCATAGCCATCCGGATACCAGTGCTCGTCAGTATCCAAGACGAACGGGCCGGTGACGCTCCGGTCGTGAAGACTGTCGACAGCTGCCGACTTTCAGAGAAGGGTCATATCACGGAGGTGAAGGAAGACTCACTGCGACGGCTTGCAAGTCATACAATGTAGGCGCAGCGAGGGCAGCGTTGCGTACGAGCTGCACTTGACTGTACCATGCCCAACCAGCGGAGTGTAGATGTCCCGGACGTTCCGGGTGGTCGAGCAGCACGCGAGGGTCGTCGCTTAGACGTGCGCCGGTTGCACATACGAGTAGTGCAACGGAACCGAAGGCTTCGTCAACGAGGTGCTTCCCCGCCGCTATATCGGCCTCGAATGAACCGCGATGCAAGATGGGGCAGATCAAGTGTGAGGTATTGAAGTAAGTGTCAACGACATGCGCAAAAAGGTCCGGCTTAGGGAACACGAAACACGTTTGTTGGGGTGGTTGAAATCGGTGCAGTTCCCACTGTTGACGTGATGGTATGAGCATACGTCCTGGAAGGCAAAATATGCTTTCTTACCGGATGCGGCTTCCAGAACTCAGGACGATGTTTGGTCGAAGCCGCGATGCGCTTCATGACATCCTGGTCGCTGCCCTCGAGCTCAGATCGCACCAACAATGCGGTATTGAACAATCGCGCGCCGCTACTTTGCCCGTAGTAATGGTCAATCGGGTTGGCAACATGGTTTTGCCTCATCGCATCCACGACATCTGCTGGCCAGCGCGTTGTGAAAGGCTCGTCGTCATCTACATCGGGGCTGGTAGCAGGTTTGAAGATAGCGCCTAGATGGTTTTCGGGACGCTTGCCCTTATTGTCGGTGATATAAGGTACAGGCTCGTAGTAGGCGGTAGCGCGATTGACACCAAGTTCATTGGCGACAGTCTGATTGGTACCAGTGCTGGTACCAGGGCCGGCCTGAGGCTGAGGAACGTGTTCGTCGCCATCCAATTCTTTGCTGAAATCTTCATCGGGATGCAACTATGTCAACTACTAGTCAGATCTCCTCAAGTAACGAGGACCTGCTTGGACCCACGCACGCGTGTAAGGAGGAGCTGCAGCCTTTCCAGTCGCGATTCTAGACCTTCGATGTACCTGTAGGGGCCGATAAGTTAGTGCGATAGATCGCATACATGTAGTCCGTAATTCACGCTTTGTCGCGCCGTCGCTGAATGATCACGGCGGGTCAATGCGCCACACCTCCTGCCGAAAGCGGAACGTCGCACCTTGGGCTTGTCGGAGAAGACACACTCAGCCTCTGCAGCAATACATTGCGAGCATGGACCTCCGCCGGGTACACCATCACCTTTAGATCGTTCATGTTAGTCTAGATGGTTCCAAGGCACGCCCTCCAGCCGTGGTGAAGCAGCAAGGCAAACACATACATCGTGCTGTTTACCGTTTTGTCAGAATAGCGGACTTGCATACTCCGGAGCTGACGGGACGAACTCTTCTTGGCTCGGCACCGCTCGCACGCACGCACGGTCTGCACGCGACGCTTCTTCGAGCGCGACTTCACTGCATGCGCGGCTTCGTCCGAGGACGAGGGCTGCTCTTCGGACGACATTGGCGTTGCGGAACACGCTGGCGATCGGCGTGCGCGCGACGGCTTTCGTGGCCGGTCGGCGTCGTGCGGGTTGAGTCAGGCAGCCGGGGCTGTGTGGGGGCCCGTACCCGAGAATTAGGCGCGCGTGCGGCGCACGTGCTGACGCGTGACGTCAGAATCTGTCTGTTTCAGTCGAGGTTCTCGACGCGTCCATGCAAGCTTGGGACACGCCTGTCGAGCTCTGCGTGCGGTTTCCTTCCTACCGTCATCTTCTCTGCTCTGCTGACCCTTTACGCGATGCTTTTAGTACGCTACCTGTCTGCCATCTTTCTGCCCTCTTTTCTCGAGCGACTACGCCCCCTCGATCGCGTTGAGATTTCCGCGGACAGCAGGCGCTGAAGTGTTGAACTCAAATGGCATGCAGCAGGTGTCCCCGACGGCTCGCACAAGATGCGGATATGATATTTGCTGTGGCAACGATACACGACGGATCATGGCTCATCTCTACTGTCTGTCAAGCCGACCGGCAATCGTCCTTTGGCAGTTCAGTGCAGTGTAGTGCACATACGCCTTCCCTTGGATCAAGAGTATACTCGTGTCCTTTCTCTCAGTCAGCACCTTCCCACCGAACAACTATTCTGAGATCACCTTCCTACTATCACCTGCTTTACACGCAAGGATCGAGGCCGTTCTGTCTTTTCACTGTGCGTCATCGGCACCGCCGGAACGAGAAGGCTGGATGTATGCGTCTCGAACGGCTCTCGAGCAGGCGGTCTGGCCATGTAGATGGATCGGGAAGGTGCCACTCGGCATTTTACGTGCGTTATGTCCGCGCTGCTGGATGCAGGCGCATATAGGTGCGGGTTACATGCAACTACGAGTACGTCGTTTCTCTAGATATGTGATGATGCACCGTCCCTGATGTTCAAAATATAGTGGAGTCTACAGCAAGACATCCTGTGCGCATGGCCATCCCAAGCCGCATCGGCATCCGGCGACAACGTCGACGCACAACCTTGCCGCCGGCTACGGGAGAATACGGAGCTGGATATACGCGCCGCGACCGGCTCTCGACCATGTTACATGCGTCGGGAAAGTGCCACTCGGCGTCTTATGTGCGACATCCTCGTTGATCACCGTACTTGGATTCCTACTTATGGGCGCATATACACCTCCTGGGCCCGAGCGCCGATCTCGCGATGCCGTCGCACTGTTGGACCACAATTGCGATGCACGGATCCCCGAAATCGCTTGTCTCCTAGGATGTATGTTTTCACCTCCATCCAGGCGATATGTCGCCCTGCGCACCACAATTCTGTTCTGCGAGTCGTGCCCGGGACGCCGTTCGAGCTCGTCGATGTCACGGAGACCTGCCTACGGACTTCACCGACGCCGAGGAGGCGTTCATGTTTACGCATGGGCGCATCTATCTCTTCAGCCGTGGCATCCTCTAGGCGTCTATGAGTCCCAACATTACCACTGGTGCGGTCCTGCGCATACACACGCGGCGGCCTCGAACCGCCTGGACCGCAATACCAGCGCTCGCTCGCGATGCTTCTGTTCGCATCTTTGTCGATGGGATGAGAGAAGGGGTTCGAAGCTGTGGGAGGTGTTGCTGTAGATGTCGGGCCGAGCTCGCTTCTCCTTTCAGGCAGAGACGTCAGGATCGCAGCGGCGGACACGCTGTATGACGCTCAGGAGGCTCTGCCGCGTTTGAGATTACAGGATCGCAAGCGCTGGTAGTCCAGTCTACCGAGCGATGTTCGCAAAGGAGGATATCTCGACGAATATCTTCACCGACCCGCAGCTTGAGAGCCTTTCCGGCCATTCACGGCGTTACTCACCGGGCTCTACTCACGAACACGGCTGCCGCGACTGCAAGCGCAGGGCGCGCTTTGATTGCCCGACCTTCTGTGCATATCGAGCCGCAAGATCCATCATCTACGAGGCGGCCTCCGGTCCAGCTCCAGCATGGGTACTCGGGGTCGTACGGTCAGGCTATCGCAGGACAATCGCGGCGGCCGATGTCCTCGCTTGTGCGCGATCCTCAGGCGTAAACCGCTCATCTGCTCGCTGAGCGTACAAGCTCTGGCATCCGGAGACTTGAACATATGTTTTCGGTGCAAAGCGCACTTCACCGCCTGCATGCCTCATGCTCGCACTGTGCCTGATCCCATGCCGGTCCGACGACCGCAACGCAGCGTACACGCCCACGGAGCCCTGCACATGTACCGGCCCAGACCAGCCTAGGCCCCCTCTTCGGTGAACGCAAAACGCTAAACGGGACATGCACTTTCCCAAGTCTCCTGATCTTGCGAGCCGCGCGCCGCCGCGCGCGAGATGGTGCGCCCGCCGCCCGCTGCGGCGGCCGCGAAGCACGAGTAGGAGCAACAATGCACAGTGCCGCAAACGGCCGCCTTTGGGAGGCTTTTGGGATGCGAGCGTGCGGCGGCCGCTTTCGTTGCTTTGTTTGCGCGGGCTATCGCCGCCCGCGCGATTTGTATACGGGACTACGGGACGGGATTTGCACAGGAAAGGCGCCGTGTGGGGAATTCAGAGGCGAACGCAGGCATTGTGGAGTTGAGGAACTTTTGTGGCGAGCGCGTTGAGCGACGCGTTGCGGCACACTCGCGGTGTCGTGCCCGGGAGGCTGGTCGACGGCGCTGGGACGGGTGTACGGCGTCGGTGGCGGGCGGCTCGGTGCGGGCTGGCCCCACGCGAGAGCTGATGGCGCGGCGGCCGACGTGCCGGGCGCCAGAACGGGAGAAAAGTTCTAGGCGTGCATAGATCGTACAGGATCGTACGGGGGCCGCACTGTTCTCCGAGGATGCCCGGTCGTTTGAACGAGCAAGAGAGTACAGAATATACGTTCAGAGGGGTGGGGGACAGTAGAGAGTACGGAGAAGTGGTGGGGTGCGGGATAGGGGCAGAAGGTTTGGCCAGGCACGAAAAATTTCCGAAAAAGGGAAGCGGCGGGAGGCGGGGAGGCGTGAGAAGGGATTAGATAAGCGAAGAACGGACGGGGCGAGGTCGGGACGTCTCGAGTTGATTAAAGACGCGATGGCAGGTCGGGGCTCTGGGTACTACACGACCCAGCCTCGCCCGGAAATGTTCCAATCTCAGTCCTCGCAACTCCCGCCACCCAGCCAGCTCCACCAGCTCGCCTCCAGCTCCTCCTTCCAGCGCGAGAATCAGCTGGCTCCCATCTCGTCCTCTAACCGCTTCCCGCCCGCGAGCTACCACCCGAGCCTATCTTCCCAGGGTCTCCCGCCCATCGCATCCTCCTCATCGGCCTCGTCCTCCGCCCAGCCTTGGCAGACACACCGGACATCCTCGTCTCGTGACGACCGCTATCCCTCGCCCTCCGATCGCGACATGCCTCTCGCGCCTTCCACTCCCGCGCCCCAGCCACCACAACCAGAACGGCGCGACAGCCAGACAGAAAAGGGTGGCAATGGCGAAGAGAACCTGCCCTCGACGTCGGATTTTGTCAAGAAACTCTACAAGTACGCGTCCCCCGCCCTCCGCCGCGGTTTCTCCGCGTCTGACCATTTTATTGCAGGATGCTCGAGGACCAGTCCTTCCAGCACGTCGTCTCATGGGGCCCTCACGGCGACTGCTTCGTCGTAAAGGTCAGTCGCGCGCTCTTTCGCACTCGCGTCCCTGAGCCTGACATGTCATGTGGCCCTTTTCAGGACATGAACGAGTTTACGAAGAGCATCCTCCCCCGGATGTTCAAGCACTCAAACTTCGCCTCCTTCGTTCGTCAACTAAATAAGTACGACTTCCACAAAGTTAAGAACACGGACGACAACGCTTTTGGTGAACATGTGCGTACGCTTTCCCCTTGTCTCCTGCTCCACTTCGACCGCCCACGACCGTTGCATTGTCTTTCCGGGCTGCCATCCGGCCGCCGGGTGCTGCGCCTATCTCGCTTTTGGTCCGCTGCTCTCGTACTCTGGCAACTACCGAGATTCGGAGCGCCTTTGCGGGGCGCAAGCTCAGCGTGTTCGGCTCGTGTTTGTCCATGATCAGCGGCTATCGGCCTGTGCCGCCCACCCCACAGCCAAAGCGGAAAGACCCTGCGATGCATCGGCCTACCCTCAATTCATTCCCATCTCATCTCCAAGATCTCGTGCTCACGCGTTTTTCATATTCTTCAGAGTTGGACGTTCCGCCATCCCGATTTCCACGCCGACCGCCGTGATGCGCTAGAAAACATCAAGCGCAAAGTCCCCGCCGCACGCAAGTCCGGTCGCGGCTCCACCGCAGCGGTCAACGCCCGCGGTTCGACGCCCCCACCATCGGGTAGCGGCGAGGGCCTGCAAGCGCAAGTTGAGCGCCTCCTGGCGATGCAGGACGAAATGGCGTCCCACATCCGCACGCTCGAGGCCAACTACCAGGGCGTGGTCAACCAGATGATCATCTTCCAGCAAGATATGGCCCGCCAAGACCACATCAGCAAGATGCTCATCACCTGCTACGTGAACCAGAATAACGGCGGAGGTCAGTGCTGAGCCTCTATGCGCCTCCCTGCCTCCCCGCTTTCTCTCCCACCCACCACTTCGTTGCTTCTACGCTACATAGTAAGACCCACTGTGAGAGAGCGGGCGCCTATTTCTCGATATTCCCGCTCGTTGAGGGGACGGTACGACTCGGATGGACATTATAAGCCGCCTCCTCGCTATGCTTTCGTGCTTTCCGCATTTTATTCCCCTGGGTTCACGCGCACCGCCACACGGTGTCGCCGTCGTCGTCGTTTTTTCGTCCCTCGTCGCATGCAAAAAGTTGAATGTTGTACCACCACCACCCATGTCAAAAGAAATGCTGCATGCCATTGATATCCGAACGCCGTCGTCCGTCCCCTCGCGCGCGCCTTTTCGCTCTGCAAACCTCTTGAAAGTGAACAAATGGCTGACTTGTCTGCCTTGCAGACAACGCCGCGAAGACGCCGGGTCAGGACGGCGCAGAGGCGCCGCCCCAGTTCGACGCCGCCGAAGCGCAGGCGGCGTTCCTCGCGCGCGGGGCTGGACAGCTGCCCATGGTTGCGCCCGACGCAGACGTAGCCCGCGCAAGCTTCTTACAGATGAACGAGATCTCACGACGGGCTGCTGCCGAGGGCCTAAGCTTCGCCCCCGACGCGCAGCCCGAAGCCAGTGGGAGCGGTCAAGCCCAGCAACAAGCTCAAGCGGCGCAAGCTCAAGCTCAGCAGCAGCAAGCGCAACAACAGCAACAGCAAGCGCAGCAGCAAGCTCAGCGCAGTCAACAGCAGCAGCAGCAGCAGCAGCAAAATCAAGAGTCTCGTCCGCCACCACCGCCTCGGCCACCGTCGAGTGCTAGAGACATCTACGCTACAGCCGCTTCTCTCCTTGCACCTCAGCCGAGTGACCTTCCCGAGCGCCCGCTTTCACGCCAGGAGACGCTTGAGCGCTTACAGGAGCTACACGCCAATGCGACGCGGGAGGGCGCTGCGAATGGGTCAGAGACGTTCGTGCTCCCCGGTCCTACCGCTGGTCTCGATCCCGGCGTATCCGGGCTCGATCTCGCGCACTACGGCGCGAACATGCACGAGGGGCTACAAGTCTACACGCTCGGCCAGCTACTTCCTCGCTCAGCTGACGACTCCGGCGCCGACTGGGCGTTCGACCCCACCACTCTCCCGCTCACGAACCTTGGCGCGGACCTCTTCGGTGGAGGATTCGAGAACGCGCCGATACAGGGGCAGTGGCAGAGCGCGGTGCCGCCTCCTAGACCGCAGAGCAGCCAGAGCCTGCGTGTGCGCAGGAGCACGTATGTGCCGGGATGGAGTGTGCCGCCGAGGGTGTTGCTCGTCGAGGACGACGTGGTCAGCAGGAGGATCAGCGGGAAGTTCTTGCAGGTGTTTGGAGTGTCGTTCGATATCGCGGTCGATGGGCTCGACGCGATTCAGAGGTTGAACCTGAACAAGTACGATTTGGTGCTCATGGTGCGTCTCTCCCTCTGCTGTTAGGCGTCGATGCTGATCAAGTCCAACAGGATATTGTGATGCCCAAATTGGACGGTGTGACGGCTACGAGCATCATCCGACAGAGCGACCGCGACACTCCCATCATCAGTATGACGTCCAACAGCAAACCCCACGACCTCCTCATGTACCACAACTCCGGCATGACCGCCCACTTGCCCAAACCGTTCACCAAGACCGGCCTACTCTCCGTCCTGGAGAAGTACATCATGAACTTCCAGGAGATGCGCCAGCTTGGCGCACCGGGGTTGCCGCCTGCACTCGGTCCCGCTGCTACGATTGAGGAGCAAGATGATGGAGAGACCGTTCCGGGGAGTGGGCAGTTGGCAGGGACGAGCGCGCAGGCGGGCTATGACGGCGCGAGCGGGATGAACGGCGAGGCCGTCGGATATATGAGCGGTGGAATGACGGGGGAGAAACGCGCGAGGGAAGATGACATCGAGCGGGACAGCAAACGCGGGAGGTTCGAGATCGTCGAATAAGGCCCTGCGTTTGTACGTGCTCGCGTCTGCGTCTCCTATCTTCGTTCTGCCTTCCGTCCCGCTTCGACCCTCGCATCATCATCTCGTTCATGAGCCCCCCTCTCTGCGTGCATACGGACACTGCCCAATACCGGTCTCAATGATAACATGTAGCTTGTACATATGCCCTCTGCCTACAACCCCTCCGCTGCTCTCGATGCCTACCACCTCTGCGCTCGACCACCCCTTGCCCGTTCACTCCTGCGCCGCTCCCGCGCGGTTAATCGACTTCGCACACCTACTACCTACTACTACTCCCCTTTACCCTTTACCTCTTCCACCCACATCAGCGCACAGCCGCCATCTCCATACTCTCGTTCTCTCGCTCACGCTTCCTTCGCATGCCTTGACGCAACTTGTACCATGCATTCTGCCATCGCCTCTCATTGCGCCCTTCATACTGTTCCTCCCTCCCCATCCCTCTACATACGGAACGATACGAATATGAACTACAGACAACACAAACGAAACCGCTGTATTTCTTCTGAACCCATTTTGTGTGATGGACCGGTGCCGCTTACATGAGTTCCTTTCCAGACCGTCACCATATATGGTATGTCCTTCCACCTTGGGACAACGCGAATGTCAAACTCATGTCGTTCTTCTTTCGTCCAGTGGATCAGTGTTTGGTCGTTCACGTACAGTACCGATTGGGACGCACTCGTCCTGTGCTTCAGTCGTGTCTTGGATAGGGATCCGGTTGCCCGCGAGTAGAGGGGCTACGTATGTGTCGGGTGTTCATTGCCGACCGACCCCTCTGTGCGATGATTTCGGACGCTCAAAGTGGGCTCACTCCACTGGCCTACCGTTACTGGTATTGTAACGCGAGTATGGTATGTCACCGCCTGATACAACTGCGCTTGGTACGCCTTACTCGGGTTAGAAACGCAGATCACTACTAACTCGGCACGCAGGCGCGAGTGGACTCCGACTCCTCGTCTATCCGCACGTCTACCCGTCTCACCGGTGCTAAGCGCTCTCGTGCCGAAACCTACCTCCCTAGGGCACCGCAGTTCGACATCCTGCTTATATACCCCGTGCAATATGGCGTCACAAGTTCATCTTCATCTCCAACGCAATGTCCGCAACTACTATCTTGAAGCTGAGCGAGGTGCCACTCCTATTCGGCGCCGGGATCGTGCTCGTGCTCGTTGTTGCCTCCATCCTCCATAGGCGTGCTAGTACTCTTATCAACGTCCGCGGGCCGAAGTCTACATCCTTCTGGCTGGGTGCGTGTGCCGTTACTCCGGGGTCATAGCTTAAGCTGACTGCTCAACAGGCCACGAGAAGGACGTGCGATATCAGAACGAAGTCGGTGATGTCGAGTTTGAGTGTTTGCGCAAGTACGGTGGTGCTTGGAAGACGTCGGGTGTTATGGGAGTACGCGTATCCGTTTCATTTGCACCTGCGTAGAGCTCACATCTGTTGTTCATAAGGAGGAGCAGCTGTACATCGCCGACCCGAAAGCCATGCAGTATGTCTTGATGACGGGCGGATACCGCTTTCCGAAACGCCCGGACATGTTGGCGCAAGTGCGGATGATACTGGGTGACGGTATCGTATGGCAGCATGGTGAGTGTATGCGCGAGTCAGACGGGTCTGAGATGTTGACGTTGGGTTGAAGGGGAACAGCACAGGCGGCATAGGCAGATCATGAACCCCGCTTTCACACAGGCTCAACTGAAGTCCTTCTTGCCGATCTTCCAAGCGCACGCACACACAGTAAGTGCTCAGATCCTAGACTACCCATATTGTGCTGATGATACCCTTAGCTGGCCGAGAAGTGGAGGCAAGAGGAGATCGCGCCAAGTGCGGATGGTAAGGCGTTCTTCAACGTACATGGTTGGCTATCGCGGACCACGCTCGACATTATCGGCGCAAGTGAGCATCGAGAGTGCTCCCCAGTTGCGAGCGTCGACTGATGATGATGATGTTTGATAGCGGGTTTTGGATTTCACGTCGGCGCACTCGATAACTGTAAGAACGCGCTGAGTAAGGTCTATGACAACCTGTTGTACGTTTACTGCTCCTATCATCCCTTAGCACCCGCTGATTCTCTTCAACAGTGTCGACTCGGTACTGTACCCTCACGCGTGGGATGTCGTCTTCCGATCCTTCTGGCAACACGTTCCACCTAGCATGCTGTACTACCTGCGCTACCTCCCCAGCCGCGAGTACGCCCGCTTCAGGGGCTTCCTTGACTTCACGCGCACCTTTGGCAAGGACCTCGTTACTCGCAGCGAGGAGAAGTCCGATAGTAAGGACATCATGAGTGTGCTCCTTCGTGCAAACGCGGCGGAGGATGAACGGTCTCGGCTCACCGACAGCGAAGTCATAGACCAGATCTCGTACGTCCATCCACCTTGCTCAGGTTCTTGCTCTCATATTGCGTTTGCAGCACTATCTTGCTAGCAGGTCATGTAAGCTATGCACGCCGTTTAGTATAATCGACTGCTGACTGGCCCGTGCATAGGACACAACCGCTTCATCGCTGACATGGTGGTTCTTGGAGCTCGCACGCAACCCGAGCTGGCAAACGCGCGTACGCGAAGAAGTGCGCGCGGCGCGACAGAAGCTCGCGGATGCCGGCGTCGACGAGTTCTCGCTTTCGGACCTCGAGGGCATGACAGTGATGCAGGCGACGTTGAAGGTATGCCGAATATCGCGATGCAGTGACGCGCCATATGCTGATGAACTCGCTGTAGGAGAGCATGCGATTGCATCCCATCGTACCAACGCTGTTCCGTGTAGCAGGTCAAGACGAGGTTCTGCCACTTCAGCATCCCATCGTTGGTGAGGACGGCCAGAAGATGTCTTCCATCCCCGTTCACAAAGGTCAAATCATCAACATCTCCGTTGCTGCGTACAACAGGCAAGTCTCTTCGCCCACCAGGTTGACGTCGGCTGACTGACATGTTCTACAGGAATCCTGAAGTTTGGGGAGTAGACGCTGCGTCATGGAACCCTGAGAGGTTCGTGCAGATGGACAAGCGGTCAATGGTATCGCTCGGTCCCTACGCCAACGTGGGAAACTTCGGTACGGCCCTGTCCTTCCGATCACGAGTTGAGCTCATGCGTTCTTGTAACAGCCGCTGGAGTACGAGGTTGTCTCGGTTGGCGCTTTGCGTACGTCTCCTTATACTTGACGTGAGACCTGTAGCTGACTCGAATGTACAGAATCATCGAGATGCAAGCCATTGCCGCGACGTTAATCGAGAAGTTCGACTTCGCTCTACCGCCTCAAACGAAGGAGAACAAAATCCGCCGGATGCCTGCCGTGCTCATGGCACCTATGGCGGAGGGGCACCAGGGCGTGTGGATGGGTTTGAAAGTGAAAAGTGTAGCGTAATACGCGCTAGCTCTATACAAGAAACTTCCTCGGGTTCAGGCATATCACATCAAGGGACGGTGTACATTGGCTCTGCGAAACCCACTTTTGCCCATTACAGTGGCAGTATGCACATCAGATTCAGAGCGGAATAGCATCTTCGTCATCCTCGGCATCCTCTTCGGCATCATCCTCGTCACCCTCGGCATCCTCGGCATCCTCGTCTTCCTCATCTTCCTCATCTTCGTCTTCCCCGGTTTCGTCTTCTTCCTCGCCGTCCTCGTCTTCCTCGTCTCTCCATCTACCGTGGTCCGATGCGAACTGATCGATGTAGACGCCCACACGGCGCTCGGCGACGATATGATCCAACCTATGGAAAAAGCTGTCCATATCGCTCGGACGAGTTTCGCGAGGGTTCAAGTCCTTTATAACAAGAGTCATCAAAGGAGATCCCTGCTGAGATCTATAAGTGAGCATGTCGAGGAACTCCTCCAGCCCCATCCCCGGAGCTCTTCTCCGCTCCTCCCGCGTGATCTGTGCGAAGTCGCGAAATTTGACTGTGTCGATGGTGAGACTAGTCAACTTCGGGAGCAAGATAACATTGTTTGAACCCATTCCCAAATTCTTAGCGAAGGCGCCACGGGCGAACGACTGGTCGGTCTTCACGATGGCGAGTGTTTCGAGCTGTGCGAAGCGAGAAAGGATGGCATACCATTGCTGGGCAGTGTATGGCGCGGCGACGCCGATCTCAAGGGTGCGAATGGAGTGCAATGCGAATGATGACCATGCTACATCCAAGGCCTCAACGAAGCCTCCGTAATTGGAGGTGACTGAAAATGGCCACGCGTCGAACGACATCGTAAAGCGGGGTCTGTGGTTCTGAGCGAAGAACTCAGGCCGGGTTGGTTGCTTTTGGAGATACGGTCCTATGAAGGTGGATGACGTCCAAAGCTCTATCACGAATATCTCCGCTCCGCAATATCCTTCGACGAAACAAGCAGCTGAGATGGGATCGCGTGTAAGGGTAGGGTCCAAGCGGAGATGCTTTCCCAGGACTTGCATGAAGTCCAGCCGCCTCGTGTCTATATAGCATTGCACTATCTCGTCACCTTGATCGAACACCTCCACGTCGGCTCTCACTGTGAACATATCACAGCCTATATTCACATATGCGGTTATAGAAAACTTGAGAGACGACCATAGCGCTAAGACCTTCGAGAGAGGTGCCCAGACCGCCAACCGTCTCAGGTTGGGAAGATGTATGGCGTTGGTAGTCTGCTCTTCGTCCCCATACATTGACGTTCTGCAGAGCGTGAATGCGGTTTCAGGCGAGTGTAAAAATTACGCGATTGAAAGGCGTCGTTCATGAGGTTGATAATTAAACCGCGTATTTCGTTTCTATGACGTCCCGAGGCCTCTCTTGCCAACCGGGGTACATACTCCGCTGTCGAGGTCTGGCGGACGTCGAGCCAGTCAACACTCTTATCCGTACTATAGTCGACGCAGGATATGCGCCGCGTAGCACGCGGTGGTGGTAGCACAGGCGCGAGTTGGGTAAAACTCCGTGACAAACAAATACAAATGCCGAAATAAGGGCACCTCCGTCGCCGCCCGAATTCCCACGTCTCCTTCTTCCCGAACACCGTCAGTGAGCACGCCTGCGCCGCCTGCTACTCAACTCTTCCTCTAACGTCGCCTCCCAGCACCCTTCGCAAATATTAGAATGGCTTTCCTTGGTTTGCGCAAGTGGCCCACGCCGGTGCGTGTACATATATCTACTCAAGCTGCCCAAACTGACGCGTAGCGCGCTCGTTCGTTCTGTTCGTTGCGGCGATTGTTTCCAGGTCATGAAGCCCTTGTGGCCGTTCATTGCCGCCAGCGGTGTCACTTTCTACCTCGTTAACCAGCTCCAGGATGCTGCCGTTCGCTGTATGTCTTTCATATATATTCGCTCCCCATCATCCCCATGCGCGCGCAAGGACACGATGCTTACGCCACGTCTACAGCGCCCGAGTATGCGAAGGACCCCAAGAACCCGTACGCTCAGCAGATTGCGAAGGAGTCGGCGCACCACTAGACGGGCACTATCTGTGTTAGATGCTCATTAAATATCATCCCCACCTTTGCGCGACCTCGATCGAGCACCTGCAATCACATCGGACACCTCAGATGGAAATTATTCTGTGCTCCATACCAGCATGCTGTTCATCCCCAGACTTCAGCGATTGTCGAACCATGTTGCCCGTGAAAGGGTATGGGCTCGTAGGATGCACAACATTCGGGTGTAGGCCCTAAATACTTCATGAGCTGTACTTTGCGCGGCCGTATTCCTGAGGCCCGCCAGGGCATCGGTGACCATGACCCGCAAGATCTAAGGACAGGGGCGCTCATGAGTATCCCGGTTCATACTTAGGCCGCTGCTCTACGCTTCAACGCCGTAGTCCACTGCGTCAGGTAAGGAATATGAGCTGTAGGCTGTAGGCGCAGTCTGCGCGATGGACCAGGGCCCACGTGGTCAACCCGTACACTTGAGAACCTGCTAGCAGCATACTGAAAGACCTAAGCAAACACGCATGATCTCGAGCGTCTGAAGACAGCTCTCCGTCGCGGGCAGTGCTCATTAACAGCGGGTTGCCTTATCGCCTTTCCCGCATTCATACATACGATGAGCTCCATCCGTGATTAAGATCACTGGTAAGATAGACGCGACCAAGTCGGTCAGAATGTGCGTTGTGGTGCCGTCGGTCAAAGCACCCTGAAGAGCAGACACCGTCAATTGCCGGCGGGTGCTGTGCTCGCCAGATTCTGTTCTTTACCTGCTCGATAGCCTATATTATGATGAGCCGACCGTCTCTACAGTCTTAAGATATACCGTACTTACTGTATGCCGAAAGACGCACAATTGGGAGCCGTAATGCCATCACGGGAAATCCCGCGACGTACGACTCTTCCCAGTTGCCGCTCCTTCGCTCATACCACGCAGACAACCTTGAACCCAGACATCTCAACAAGCTCATGCCGCGGGGAAGTGCGCCTATCATCTCGTGGGGTGTAGTATCTAGGGCTGGTCGCTGAAGCTGTCCTCGTTCCGATTGCTCTCGCTGATCATGATGCGGGGGAACAGGCAACACCTTGGCCTGCGTCAACGTTCTGGCCACCAGGCCCTCCCATTCGCTACCTGCCTGTCAATCACAGATGTGTTCGCGTCTTTGACTTACGCTATAGCACACTGTGAATAGAAGAGGGTGCGCGGGGCCCGGCGGCCGATGGAGCTGCAGGCTCGTACCAGCGACTAAATTGACCGTATCAGCCCTGGTAGGCACATATGGGCGGTGCACAGTCCTGTCAGTCGCCACACATCTGACCCTACATATACGCGGAGTTATGCATCCGAGCAAGGGTTGAGCTCGAGCCTCCACCATCCGCTCCCTTTCGTTTTGTTTCCTTCTGCCGGGGCTGGCTTCCCTACCTTTTCTTCTTTCTTCGTCACGAACCATCTTTCTTTCTTCTTACGACTTATCATGAGCGAGCAGTTTCAAACGTTACCGCATGGACATCAGCAGGTTGTGCGGTTTCAGTACTCGCCGGGAGAGGATCATGCAACCATCGTGCGTCTATTATACCTGTCGCGCTCAGCCGTATACTCATCTTTACGCGTAGGTTACGCTCGTCGTGTCTGTCTTCGAGCTGGTCGCATCCTTTGGTCTTCTTGTTGCCATACTTGTACGTGCCTCACCCACCCGCTTGCCGCTGTCGCTCATAGCAGTAGCTCTCCGCGTTCAACACCAGATCATCAGATGACCCCAGGCTGTTCGTGCGCACGCACTCAGCTGTATTCTTCGTTTCGCTAGTCGTTTGCGCGGTGTTGCAAGGTATGCTTCGCGTGTGTCTCTTCAAAGTCATTGCTCAACCACTCGTTCGCGTCTATAGCAATCGGTGGGATCATGTCAGCTGCATGGGTGACGCAGATGGCGGTCGTAGCAGGATCTCTATGTACGGCGCAGGGTATGCCGTCTTTCATGTGTGGCTGGCCAGTCCGACTGACGATATGTCTTCTTAGCTGCCATCAAGCACATATCAGACGTCGGAGTCGCTGTTTGGTCGTTCGTGAGTACTTGAGTGCTCTCTGGGCGTCTATCACGTAGGACGTCGCTGATCCATCATCCAGGTCATCGCAGCCCACTCGTTCCTGCTTCTCTGGCGCGCCGGCGGTCACTCGAAGAAGACGCGAGAGCCAGTATCAGTCCTTGGATATACGATCTCGTACGGTCGATTCTTGAAGTGGAGCATCGTTGCTGCAACATGGCTTTCCATCTTCATCATCGTCACGCTCGGCCCAGAGATCACTGCGAAGCACACAGATGGGGACTTCTGTACGTACTCTGTACCTTCTGCGTGCGCACAACCCGAGATTGCTCACCGCCGAGTAGATGGTGTCTCTGGTCAATGGTGCTGGATAACGGACAACTACCCTATCGAGAGGATCTTGTGAGTACCATCGCCATCTCTACATCCTTACATATCGACTGATCTATCTCTCGTCAGCTTGGCTTATCTCATAGTACGCGCTGAGCATGGGTTGGATCTCATACTTCACACTAATCAATGTCGTCTTTGCAGATGTTCGCATCGGCCTTCCTGTCGCTTGGGCTCTATGGAGCGGCGTTCTACCATACCCGCCGCAAACTTCACCACGACAAGCCGGCCCACGAGTACATTCTTTCGAAGGAGGACCAGGCGGATGAGTATGCGGTCAAGCTATCCAAATATATGGTCTGGTACCCTGTAAGTTGTACCGTCGATTAGATCTCGGACGGTGTGCTGACGTGCTTCTAGCTGGCGTACTTCTGCTGCCTCCTGCCGGTTGCTATCCAGCGCTTCGCCGTCTGGGGAGGCGCCGAGGTACACTTTGGCGCGGTGGTCTTCACGTTCGTATTGTCATCTTCTGCGCGTGGATAGCTTGACTGAACGGTGTCATGTAGTGACTCCGTATACCATCTACTCGGCATAGCACACCTCGTCCTCTTCATATGCACCCCGCGACTTCTACCACCACTCACGGTATTCCCCACGATTGCCTTCTTCGGTACCGGCATATACGAGAACGAACGTAGCGAGTCCTACGCGCACCCCGAGCACACGAAGCAGAAGCACTTCGTCAAGTCCCGCCGTCCTCCACCTCTAGCGATTGCACCCCTAATCGTTCCAACCTCGACTGAGGCAACGGAGAAGGCGGCGTCGTCCTCATTGTCGGAGGTGCCATCCGAGTTGGTGCCGCAGGGACGCGTGCATTACGGGTGCGGGTCGCACGTCGGTCCATCTGGTAGACCAGGTCTACCGTGTCGCCCAGGATCTGGAGCCTCGACTCAGAGTCGCAGCTTGTCCTTCAGCAACGTCAGTTCGGTATTGAACCTCCAATTTCCGCCGCCTGCGGCTTCACCGTCTCATGCATCGATCCACTCCTTCGCCTCCACATCTACGTCCAGCGCCGCCGAGTCTACGCCGAGAGTGCGGCAATCGCCCCTCAGACGTCCATCGCTTGACTCCTCGACTTCCCCGCAGGTGGTGATCAACGACAACGACAAAGGGAGCCCGTTTGCGGACCCGCCTCATCACAACAAACATCATCCACGGGTAGTACCGGCTGGTCTACCCGCTCACCCCGCTGCGGCGGTCCACTCCCGCGGCACAGACGCATCCAAACTTGTACGAATGGTGCTCGAGAAGTCGCACTGGTCAGCCTCGACCGGAACCGCGGCGAGTACAGCCACGGCAACTTTGTCTGCATATGTTTCGACCGGGGCTGGAACGGCGGGGACCTACCTTACCACAGCGAACTCTGGCGCATCTGCGCTACCTGGGACTGCCAACGCCAGCGCAGTATCGTTGAGCGGATTCCAGATGGTGACTCTCCCGGGTTCGCATGTCGCATCTGAGGCAAATTGGCGCATTGAAGAGAAGAACGAGAAAGCTGTAGATGACGAGGATGAGGATATGGATGCAAGAAGTCCGCACTAAGAGATTAAACTGTTCTCAATCTGCGATCTATGTTGTCTACGCCCAATTGTACAATTAAACCCAGCGCGAACGCTGTGGGGCCTATGATCGGCAACGGCCGCTCGTTCTCCCACGCATTGAACGGATGTTGGCTTCTACCGTCAAGTTCTCCGGTCCACCATCACGAGCAACGAACTGCTTCTTATATATCTAGTTCTCTACGCCTCATACTTATATGTGAGGGGAGGTCACACTTCGTGCACCTGTTCAATGCGCTCGCTTTGCAACGCGTGCAACCAACTGTTGGCCGCTGGCGTCAGCCAACATGTCAATACCGCGACCCGACGGGAGTGACTTCTCCCCTCGGTTCTCCTTCTGTATGCATGCCAACCATATTGGGCAATGGGTCCACCAAGTACTTAGACGCCTGCGCGGCAATCCCGTTCGCTACTGCTGGCTTCCCCGACGCACAAAGCCTCGTTCCGACGCCCATACCACTCACCGAATGCACGCGAGTATGTGACGGCTTCACGCTCTCATACATATAAACCTTCGTCAAGGACGCCTTTGTGCTCCACCCTCGTCGCCCTCCATCATGCCCTCGTTGGAAGACGACAAGGACCGGTCGCTCAAACTCTCGCCGGTCGATGAGGCAAAAAGTGGTAATCCCGCCCCCGCGGTCGGCGATGTTGCTCCTCCGCCATTCACGATATTCACCATGCGTGAGAAGTGGTACATCATCAACTTGGCGGCGTGGGGGTCTCTATTCAGGTATGGCGCGCAGGCATTGGATGAAGACCACTTCACTGACCTTCATGACAGCCCACTCACAGCGAATGTGTACTTCCCGGCGATTCCTGGTCAGTGAGATCGACAATACGTGACTATGCTTCACTCATACTGCTCTAGTAATGGCTGAGCAGTTCCACAAGTCGACCGAGCAGATCAATCTGACCGTCACGGTATACATGGTCTTTCAGGGAGGTGAGTCTCACGCAGCGGTTCAAGTTGCATATCACGGTATTTTACTGATGTAGTAACCCCCTCACAGTAACACCCATGTTGTTCGGTAACCTTGCTGACAGGTCTGGGCGGCGACCTATCTTCATCATCTGTTTGGTGATACTTGCACTATCCTGCGTCGGTTTAGCCCTGTGCCCTACCGACGCCTACTGGCTGCTCATGCTCCTTCGTTGCATTCAAGCCGCTGGCTCTGCGAGTACAGTCGCGTTAGGTGTGGCTCAAAACTCGTTCTGTGTCAACATTACGAAGGTGCTGACGAAAGTACAGCGTCTGGTGTCATGGGCGACATCATCACCAGGCAGGAGAGAGGTGTTTTCACCGGAGTGCTCATGTTTGCACCCTCTGTGGGACCTACACTTGGGCCCATCATCGGCGGAGGCTTGACGCAGGGACTAGGTTGGAGGTACAGACGCGCCTTGCATCCTCCGTCCTGCTCGCTAACGGGCGTCTAGGTCGATCTTCTGGTTTCTCTGCATCGCGTCCTCAGTATGCGCTATCATCATCGCTTTGTTCGTGATATACCTAGCCATCTGAGCCCGAGATGCTGATTATGCGGCAGGTTCATGCCGGAGACTTTGCGCAACCTGGTCGGTAATGGGAGCATCCGACCTTCGGTCTGGTATCGGCCGCTTATACCGCTCATGCCTCGGAACCGAGACGACAGCTCTCAAGATGCAAGCACCATACCTCCAAAGCGTCAACTGATCAATCCTCTGCGCATCCTGGTGTCTCCAGACGTTTTCATCCTGCTGTTCTTCATGGCGTGAGTTGTGCCTAACCGTAGGCAAAGGCATGCACTAACGACCCGTATAGCGTCCAGTACGCCATCTTCTACGGAGTTTTAGCTTCGTTATCTTCCCTCTTCTCCGAGGTCTACCCGTATCTCAACCAGACCGAGATTGGCCTCTGTTTCATCGCACTTGGTGGAGGGAATACCATCGGCACTCTCGGCATGGGCAAGCTGCTGGACAGGGAATACTCTCGCTTTCGGGCTAAGTGGCTCTCTCAACGTATGCAAGAGGCTGGGACCGAAGCCGGCGACGTAGACGAGAACGACTTCCCAATCGAGCGTGCACGCCTTAGGTTGATGCCGTGGTGTCTGACGCCGTTCTTGCTGTGCACTATCGGGTACGGCTGGTGTCTTCAATTTCGTGTGCACATCGCAGTTCCCCTTGTACTGCAGTTCATAAGTATGCCGCTGTTAGTATCTGCAGGCGATGTTACTAATCGTCTTGTAGTGGGTGGCTGCGTGAGCGGCTTCTTCAACATCATCACGGCCCTTACTATCGACGTATTCCCCAACCAGGGCGGAGCTATAACTGCTTGCGTATGTCTGCCCACCATCCTCATCGCCTCTGCCGCTCAACATTCCCAGAATAATCTCTTCAGGTGCCTTCTGGGTGCATTCATGGTCGGAGTTTTTGATATTATCCTCAATGCGCTCGGGATGGGATGGACATATGTGCTGCTAGGCTTGATAGGGTTTGCGATGTATCCGCTGACCTACGTTGTGATGCGGTGGGGTCCCATGTGGCGTGAGAGGCGACGCCAGGCAGCAGAGAAATGAGTTTTCTCGTATGCATGTCTAGTGCGCCGGAGAAAGGCGTACGCTTATACGTTTGAACTCCCTTCATGCTGCATACGATAACGTCACAATACAGATGAAGCATCCAATTGTTCAATATACAGTGATACAAAAGCGATATTGTACACATATAGACCTTGTACACGTTGTTACGACGAGATCAACGGGCTGAGCTGTGCGACAAATCTCAAGTGAATTCATTCGCGCCCGAGACTTCGGTGGGGTTCTACCGATCGTAGATCAGTTATCAGACATGATCGGCGAGTAGCGCTGAGTGTCGACATTGGTTTGAGCACGTAGCACAAGACCTGCAAACGGGAGACTAATTTTATTGGAGATTCGACTCATAAAGTAAATTGAAAGAGACAAACCGATGTTGCAATAGATGTGTAGCTTGACATCGGCGTTACTAGACCAGATAATAGCGTTTGCAGCGTTCAAGCTGTTTTCACGAAGGACACGATGGCGATGCCTAAGTTCTAGCTCGAACGAGCGAATAAGCATACGAGAACCAGAAACGAGAGACTAGCTGGGAAGGCGGCCATTGCAGGATACAAAGGATATGTTGGGTTGGCGGACATGACTTCGAGATACCGCTAGAGGAAATGACTCATGATGGAACATCTTATACGCTTCTGAGGCCCCCCAAGCTGGTAAGAACGCCGACATCAGAAGATGGTGGGAGAAGCAGCGAGGCAATGAGACTAGCTCATAGCCGATGGGGCGGGCTCGCCAGCGGCATCATTAGGTGTCAGATTCAGTATGCGCGGATACATATTGGTGCGCGGGGTCCGACTAACCCAGTCATGGTTCACCTTCCTTCTTTTGGAGCACCGGCGTGGTGAACCGTGATACGGCCGCGATGAATGATGAAGCCATCTACGGCAGGCAGTTTTCCATTCACCAAGAGCGCGGGAGCTGGAGCCTTGATGGAAGGGACGATTGGTCACGGCTGGTCACGGCAATGACCTCGGGGTAGTGGACCAAGATAAATTTGTATATGCGATGAAGGCAGTGCACAGGGGATGCTGTCTAAAAAGGAAGTGCGGGTGACGGGAACGCACTGTCCACCGATGAGGCCTTCAAGCTGCGCGCCTTCCTTTACTGACAACTGTCGTCAGCAAGAACACAGGATGTGAAGAGCTTATGCGACTAAGTATTCACCCTTGCAGAAGATCCTGTGAACACAATTCAGAGGTAGACGGTGCCCGTGCCGATGCCGCAAAGGGCGCATCGGCAAGAGCCCAGGGAGCGCAATGGGCATCGGCAACAGCCACAAGGGGGCAATCTCGAAGTGTTCATCAATGGCAAGCGTCGGCTGTGCGGACTAACGGTTAAGTGCGGTCGTGTAGCCAGGCCGGTATTCGAAGAGTGAGGTGCAAGTCGCTAACGGTGCCCACTGTGCTGTCAATGAGACCGGGCGATATTGTGATCTAGCATGATTAATCAACTTTTGCGTACAGACCCATCCCGTCCGAAAAAGTACCTTGGTCGTCTCAGCATAGCAGACTGTGCATGACCGCTCTTACGCGGATACTTAAGTCCTAGGCATCGCGGCGGTCCAAGTTTCCGAGTTTGTCTTGATGTGACCATATCCCGCCATTAGAGTTAAAAACGCGTACGCAAGGCTGAATCAGGTCAGAGGACAGGTGCCATATATGCCTGCATCGCATGTCGCACGATCATCGTAGTCGAGTCTAAGTGGGACGCGTCCAACAGGCAGCAAGTTGCGTTACTTGCTTACGCGGGAAAGTCAGCAGTGACTTGCTTCCCGCCGCCATCACCAACGACGATACCTCATGACGAGAATGACATGAAGTTCTACGTCTGCCCATAGTTATGACACGCGCGATTGTCTTTCTTCAGGCGCCCTCAATCATTGATGAACCGGCGAATGCGAGGCACTTCTGGACCGTGCATAGTCGAGCTGCGGCTCGCGCAACAAGTCTTTTATATCCGCCTGCAACCCTAGCAGAGGCCGGCAGGCGGATATCGGCGTTATATGAGAACGTGATATTTCAAGACCGCGCGAATCTCGAGGATGGGCCTGATATTAGTGGAGACGATGGACGGCGTGCGGGTGCGTTACCAGCAGTTGTACTTGGCCTTTGCTCACTTAGTTATGCTTTCCAGGTCGGACCACCATATTCTCTTGGGACCCTTCTCTTTCAACGAGGCTTGATGCGGACACCTTTCTTCGTGCCTCGCCCTCGCGTGTACAGGCTTACGGCGAGACGCAGTTCGATTCGCAGGGCACCTCCTTCGCTTCCGACACTTCATCTCTCCTACGCATCCCCGACTTCCGTCTGAACCTTAATGCGGTCTCGTCTCTCTCGTCACTCCGTGGAGCAACCATACCGAAAAAGGTCAACGTACTTGTCGCCGTCTTCGAAGTGGATGGCCCGAGCAGCATCAAGGTCAAGAAGGGCGTGGATGCGGGAAAGGAAGTCTCCGTACTGAACCTCACGTTGGGAGACGATGAAGGTGTTGTTTGTCGGCTCACTGCGTGGCGAGAGGTTGCGGAGACCTGGGGTGGTCTTTCGAGCGCGACTGGCGTGAAGCGCGGAGACATAGTCTCTCTCGAAAGTCAGTGGGCTCTCCCAGCCGTTTCGGACGACATCTGAGATCTGATGTCCCTCCATCTAGATGTGCATGCCGTCTGGGAGCCTAAGAGTGCCCTCGCGCTGACAGCTTCACCCAACCTCAAGTCAAGGGCCGAGATATGTTATAGAACGATGCCCCGCTTGTCATTCCCGGAGGACGCCCGACTTCGTCCCGATCTCGAACTCGGTCAGAGCGAAGCCGCCGTTAGGCGGGTGATGACCCTGGTGGATTGGTTTGAGGCCATGGCTGGTTTACCATCTCACTGATGTGTACCCGCCTTCGATCTTTTTCTACACAATGTCATTATGTACTTCCGGCACTATTTCCGCGTCGGAAATAGTCCTGCCGGGTGACACAGGCGCACTTTGATCGTGGATCGCGGTCCTCCTTGCTTACAGCCTTATGGGCGTCCGCTTTACCGCTCGCAACATCGTGGTCCGCGGACCTTTGTCAACGAGCGTGTGACGCGGAGGGGTACTCTCCGACGCTGACTCGGACGCATGATGAATAGCGCGTACAGTCCCGCGATCCGCAGACGTGGGTTGATGTAGTGCTGTTGTGACAGTGCGCCCCTCCTGATCACTCAGTGAGCCATTCAATAGACGCTCCTTCTATGCGCAGCCAGACACTTTCTCTATAAGAGCAAACAAGGCGTCGGTACCGTATGCCCAGTGCTACACGAACCCTTTTCGGCTTCCATGATCAATGCGTCCACTGAACACACTCGTTTACACCTTTGCCCTTCTCGCTACCCGCGGGTACGCACAATCCTGCGCCACGGACTTCGACTGGTCTAGCGTACGTTCATCTTACAGTCTAGCTTTGCTACTCGGTGCTAACGACTATGCATAGCTCACTCCCGCATCTGACCTGGATTGGGTCTCTTGTTATACCTCCCCGTTGGAATGCGCCCGGCTTGAGGTGTGGATCTGTTCACCGACCAGCGAGTGTAGGCTCTGACAGACGGGCGATACAGGTACCTCTCGATTACAATGACACCAATGGCGCGAAAGCTGCCATCGCGGTCATACGCATCCCTTCGGGGGTGCCGGCGAACTCGACGGAATACCGCGGCCCGCTCCTCTTCAACCCGGGTGGGCCAGGTAATGGGTGCGCATCGACTTCTATACTTATGGCTCAGTAGACTGATGCGCCAACCAGCGGTATAGATACGGTCCTGCAAGAATCGGCCTTGATACAAACCTGGATCGGCGCAGTGGCCAGCGCTTATGATTTCGTGACATTCGACCCTCGCGGTAAGCCTCGTTTGCATCCTCTCCCGCGGTGACAAAGTCTGACTACAGCTGGCTACTGCTCAGGCGTCGGTCGCTCAACCCCTCAGATCCAACGCTTTCCTGACGCGCTTTCTAGTGCGTTGTGGGGAGAGACCTCGATAGCTTCGATTCTCCCGGCGCTTAGTCTTCCCGGGAACATCGGCCTGACCATTGCGAAGGGAGAAGTGACCAACGCTATTACCGGGCAAGCCGCTTCGTCGTACCTCCGGTACATGAACACGCCGAACACAGCCACGGATATGCTTCAAATTCTGGAGGCTTACGGCCAGGATAAGCTGACGTATTATGGTCTGTCGTGAGTCTGAACTTCCTCCGTACAAGGCACGTTCTTGACAATCGTTGCTTCTAGATATGGCACGACCCTCGGTATGACTTTCGCTCAGCAGTACCCGGACAAAGTCGACCGGATGATCCTCGATGGTGTCATTGATCTTGAGGCGTACTATACCGGTATGCGTCTGCTCTCGGGGATCATCGCTTTCACGCTCACGCTCAACATCTGCAGGCAACTTCACGGCGAGCATGCTCGATACCGACAAGGCACTCGATGTATTCTTCCAAGCGTGCTACGAGGCAGGACCGGACACCTGTGCCTTCTACGACAGCTCGTCCGCTCAGATTTCTACGAACTTCGATGCGCTCTTTGATCAGCTGAAGAACGCACCATTGCCGGTCTTCGTGAACGAGACAACCTACGGCATCGTCGACTACTCGACCGCACGCCAGTTCGCGCGTGCATCTCTGTACAACCTCTTCGGCCAAACGTTCTCCGCGCTTTCTGAAGGACTTGCAGCCGCACAGCAGGGCAATGGTTCCGTGCTTTATGCGCTCGGAGGCTCGCCAAATACGTTCACATGCGACTGCGCGAACGCGACAAGGACCAACAACGCCGTTGATGGCCTCGTGGCGATCGAGTGCAACGACGCAGTCATCCCGCAGAGGACGTACGATCAGTGGCAGGAGTACTACGAGGACGCTGCGAACGTGTCGAAGCTTTCGGAGGTCTGGGTTGGACTGGGGATGCGCTGCTCGTACGTCGCTGTTTGATCATCCTGTGATCGGTCTTAACATCGGTGATAGGGAATGGCCGGTATTAAATGAAGATAAGATCTCCCCGACGTCTTTCGGCGCTACGAATACGAGCTCCCCAATCCTCTTCGTGAGCAACACTATCGGTATGTTGGGTGCTACCAGCTTGTATAGTGCTGACTTATTTCCCTTGTAGACCCCGTTGCACCGCGCTCTGGCGCCGAGAAGATGTCCGCCCTCTTCCCCGGTTCCGGCCTCTTGGTGCAGAACGCGACTGGGGTGAGTGATTGACGTAGACGGGGGGCCTTAGATGCTAACCTATATTTGCAGCACACATCGTTCTCAGCCACTTCTATTTGTACTCTCGGGACCGTCGCCCAATACATTGCTAACGGTACTCTCCCGGCGGCGGGAACCGTTTGCCAGGTGGACAGCACTCCCTTTCCTTAGAGCGCGCGCTTCTGTCTCGCCAGGTTGAGAGAGTCCCAACTTGACTGGTTGTCAGATCCCTCCACAGCGCACTCGGGTAGTATGCCTTGAATCGCATTACTATTGCTATATCCGCAAGGAGAACGTAGTACTAATACAAGGATAATACAATATAGAGTCCAGCAAGGAAAGGACACTCGCGTTTGGCGCTGGCCGGAGTAGAGCTTTTGGTACAGTTGTACAAGTGCAGAGTAGCGAGTGATGAAGTTCAGAAAGGAAAGCGCAATAGCTCGTCCGTGCAACTGGAGGTCGTGAATCAGTACTTTTTCTCGGCCTTAACGGCAAGGTCGAGACACACTGATGATAGTCATTTGACGCGTCCTCGTTCCACGACGCGTCCTCCGGGTCACCGGACTCGGCGGCATGTTTGCGAGCTCGAGAGTGAAAAGGCGGTGGCGAGAGTGAATGGAGGCCGGTGAGCGGATCAAGAGCTGGCCCTGCATGTGGGCCATCCGACGAGTCGTCCAGAATCGGTGGTGGATCCATTATACGGCGACATACGGGGACCTGGAGCAGTTGAGCCTCTGAGCTGTATTCCAGGGAAGATGACTTACGGTGGCAGTGATGGCGGTGTCCTCAGCGTGTATATGAGCGAACTTGACCGTAGGCTCAGGATTGACCGTCAGGCTTGACGAACTCGACGAGGCAGAGCTTGACTCCGACGAAGACTTGGAGGTGTGGTTTGAGTCGAGATCAACTTTGACCAGTTGACTCGATTCGTCGACGAAGGTGTACTCGCTGACAGAGCCCGCTTTCGTTGCATAGACGTCGCCTTGCCAATGTGGGCGGAGTGCCGCATAAGAGCGGCGAGCGACAATGCGGATTTGGCGGCCGAAAGAGCGCATTTGACGCGACGGTGGCGCGCTGTGAAGGGGTTATAGATGAGAGTAGCAAAGGGCTTCGTGGAAGTTGAAAGAGCGGAAGAAAAGGAAGCTCTTTAAGTATCCAAGGACCCGTGGTCGCGCATGGTGTGGATTGTAGAGCATGGACGATCTCTAGGACAATGGGTCAAAGGGAATGGGCAAGAGCTCGCGAATAGCCGGAACAAAGGATGGCACTGCGTGTCTTCCAAATTAAAGCTCGAAGCGGAGCTTCATTGCAATAGACGGTAACCATGTTAGGGGATACGTGTCGAAGCAATTGACAGTGAGCGACCAGCTCACGGAGCGAAAGGATGGCTGTAGAGACGGGAATGTCGCTGCCATATGCGCTCCAGTCCCAGTTCGTCCAGCCAAATCGGGGCATCTCAATGACCTCGTGGACCACAGAAGACATGTGGAGCAAGAATGAGCTGGTCATAACAATCACAATGCCAGCCGAAGGGCCCACATATTATCTGGGTACTTGCCCGCAGGGTGGCAGTCGCGTCAACGACGTGCGCAGTGGTCGCGCTAGCGATATATGCACTCAGAATCGGTAATCACAATTCATGGTCATGAATCTTGAATGTGTTTCTTCACGCAGAATTGTGTCCAGCAAGCGCGTAGGACGGTACATGTAGCATGCGAAGTGAGAGTTTGGGAGGAGCGTGAATAGGCGGGAAACAATTGGCTGATGGGCGCTTCGGCGACTGCCGCGCCGACGCAGACATCGGCGATGGCGCGGAGCAAAGCTCTCCCGGCTTCGGCAGCTTCAACACTGAAGCCCCTGAACGTGAGCAGCTAGGACCAAATGGCGGCAGTGGGTGGCGGGCATCCTCGTCGCTCCGTGCAACCACGACGAAATGGTGGCGCTGGCTCGGAAGGCCGCGGGTTGAATGCTATTCCTCTCTCAGCCGTGTCTCTGGGCGTATCGCGCAAGCAGCACGGCGGAATCACAATCGGATACCGCGTTCTCTCCCCGCAGGACGGTCTCCCGTACCTCTCCATATCCCTTTCGCAGCAAGCCTGTCGCGCTTGCGGGGTCAGGCGGTGCATGTTATCCCGATCACCCTCACCCCGCATAGGCGGCCGCCCATGTCATCACCAAACTCTAGATGTCTTAGCTTGGCTCGCCCGCTGACACGGCCCAGCTTGCCTTAAATTACCCCGCATTCGCCCTGACCCCGCACCTGCTACAACCCACCTCACGCTTGTACTATGACCGCCACTGCACCTGTAACGACGTTTGAGAGCGATCCACCCGAGGCGCGGACATGGGCACAGCAGAATACACTTCCAAAGCTACCTATACCACCGTTGGAGGACACCTGTAAGCGCTATCTGAAAGCGCTCGAAGGCCTACAGGATCCAAAGGATCACGCGCGTACCAAGGCGGCAGTCGATGCGTTCTTGCATGGAGAAGGCCCGAAGATACAGGAGAAGTTGTTGAAGTGGGCGGAGACGAAGGATAGGTATGGAATCTCATCCTTGACATTTCGATGACTGACGCGGTTTACAGCTACATCGAGGACTTCTGGTGAGCCGGCACTGTTATTGCACTGGATCGCGAGCTGAACTGGTACACAGGTACGAATCCTACCTATCACACTCGGACCCGGTAGTCCTGGCTCTGAACCCATTCTTTGTGCTTGAGTGAGACTTCCAAACTCGGCCCGTGAGTCCCTACATATTGACTATACATCTAGGGATGACCCCACGCCGGATCGCGGCTCTCAACTACCTCGAGCTGCTTCTCTCGTCGTATCTTCTCTTGGGTTCATCCACGATCTCCGCAAAGGTATCCTGGATCCCGATACTATTCGCGGCAAGGCATTGGATATGAGTCAGTACAAGCGACTATTTGGTACCGCCCGCATTCCCACCGAGGTACGCCGCAAAGCGTTTCAGTCCTTTCCAGATGTTGATCTGTCATAAAGCGCGGCTGTAGGATGGAGTCGGCGGACGCACGGCACATTGTCGTCTTGCGGCGAGGACAGTTCTGTAGGTAGTCATACACTAACACTCTTCTTTGACTAATCCACCGCCCAGATTGGTTCGAGGTGCTCGATGAGGATGATCTCCCCGTTCTCACCGAGCGGGAGGTACTTCAGAACTTCCAAGCTATTGTAAACGACGCGGATCAACTGCCAAAGCATGAGGTATGACTGTACATGCACGCTTTCTTGTTCAGTATTCATGGTTCTTCAGGTGTCATACAACTCCATCGGTGTTCTTTCAACCGAGAACAGGAAGGTCTGGGCTGGCTTGCGGAGGATTCTCTCACAGGACCGTACAAACGCTTCTTGTCTTAAAATCGTCGATTCGGCCTTGTTCGTTGTCTGTCTCGACGATGCTGCTCCTAGCGGCCTCGCGGAGTTGTGCAACAACTATCTATGCGGGACGTATGAGATGAGCGATGGCGTTCAGGTCGGCACCTGCACCAATCGTTGGTACGACAAGGTTGGTCGACATATTACACAATCCGTTCGCATACTCACACGTATCGGCGCTTGCAGTTACAGATCATTGTGACAGCCGATGGCGCTGCGGGCATCAACTTCGAGCATACCGGCGTTGACGGGCACACTGTACTCAGGTGCGCAAGGCTGCTACCGTTAGTGTTTGACTGACTTTGACCGGGAGCCACAGGTTTGCCGCTGATATTTTCACGGAAGGCTTAATGCTGCTAGCCCGCTCAATCAACCCTTCCGCTCCAACCCTCTTTCACGCCCCACTCTCCCCGCACGCAAAGTCATACAAGCGCAAACCTGGGACAGCATCGCCCAAAGACCGCATCGACACCTCTCCGCGCAAACTGGAGTGGAAGCTACTTCCCGAGCTGCGCGGCGGTATCCGGTTTGCGGAAACCCGCATAAGCGACCTCATATGCCAGAATGATTGTCAGGCGCTCGAGTTCCGGGGCTATGGCAAGAACTTCATCACAACCCACGGATTCAGCCCGGACGCCTTCGTACAGATGGCCTTCCAAGCCGCGTACTTTGGCTTGTATGGTCGCACGGAATGCACGTACGAGCCTGCAATGACGAAATCATTCCTTCACGGACGTACGGAGGCCATCCGTACCGTGCAACCGGAGAGCGTGACCTTTGTCAAGACGTTCTTCTCTGAGGCTTCGCCCGAGCAGAAGGTCAACGCCCTTCGCAAGGCGTGCGAGCGCCATGTCAAGCTCACGAAGGAGTGTAGCCAGGGGCTTGGCCAGGACCGGTACGCACCGGGACTCCTATGCATGTTTCTCACTGCTCACCTGGCCTTCGTCGTAGTCACCTGTACGCGCTCTATTGCCTTCTCCAGCGCGAGGCGCGTGAAGGAACACTCGAGCCGTCTCCCGACGATCCTCCGCCGTCGCCCACCTCCACGACCTCCAGCGACACTGCCCCGCGCTTCGTCCTTCCCGCGATCTTCCGCGATCCAGGCTGGGCACAGCTCAACACCAGCATCCTCTCGACGTCCAACTGTGGGAATCCCGCCCTGCGACTCTTCGGCTTCGGCCCGGTTGCCGCTGATGGCTATGGCATCGGGTACATCATCAAGGAGAACGGCCTGTCGGTGTGCGCGTCTAGCAAGCACCTGCAGACGCGCCGCTTCCTCGATACCCTGGCGGGCTATCTTCACGATGTACAGCGCATCTTGGTGTCGCTCATGCGCGCGGCCAATGAGCGCGCGGCGCCATTCGTTGATCATGCGGGCATCCTCCGCGATTCGAAGACAGGTCGACCGATCAATGGCGTCGTAGACCATGATCATGACGACGATGTTGAGCTCGAAGAGACTATCTGTATGTGACGCTGTACTCTCATCCATTATGTATCCGCTCATCGTGTCGTCTAGCCGGGTATTCCTTCTTCGATAGTCACGATGTCGACCTTGTTGGCCGATCGCGCGGGCGCGCTAGGCACTTCAGCGTCGGTGAGCATACCTGTCAGTTCATCTTCGGAACTTCATCTCATCGTCCCCTCAGGCAAGGCTATACCGATGGCCGAGTATTGAGCTTGCCTGTATTTTTTTGGGCTTTGATCGCGTGTAAGTTATCCTATGTTGTACAATACCCAGACTACTCCCAGTGTGAAATGTAACAGTATGCTTTGTGCTTTCATGAATGCTCGCGAAACAACGTGAGAACGTCACTCGCCAGATGATCTTGAGGTGAAGCCTCTCTTCGCAGTCGATCTACATGTGTGAGCTTGGCTCTACGGCGTTATCTCACCTGCAGATCATTACCACACCGCTCAGTTCGCCAAATGGCAGGCACGCTCAATCGTCAATGGCTCGCGTCGCAGCACGGCATGGATTCGCCGCGTCCCCTTCCCCGTATGTGCAAGGCTGTGTACTCGTGTCTGTCGAAGCCAAGAACGCCGTATAAGAGGCTCATGACCAGCCTGCTACAAATGGCGTTCCCTTCTCCCCTTTACCCCTCAGTACCCCCACCCTTTGAACCCACTTCTAACTTCCTGTGACCCTCCAAATGGGATCCTACAAGCGTTCTCGCGCTTTCTTCTATGTCGTTCTTGTGCGTGGACGCCTCGTTTCCAGATCCAAACAGGGCATTGGCTGACTCAAACTCCGAAATCGTACAGTTCGCCTTCTCCACGGTCGCGCTTTCTCTCAGCGCTGGGCGCCTTGTGAGGATCGGAGAGAACGCGATGTCCATCCTCAACTATACGCCTTGGGACCGCCAGTCCGGCAAGCCCTACGACTTGCCAGGCTTGATCGGCCTACCCCTTGGCCAGATCGTGCGCTACGAGAAGATCTTGACTGAGGTCCTGGTTGGCTCTTTGTTCTGTGCCCTGTGGGCGCTATATGCGTACGTTTTCGGTGCAGCATTGGTTAGGTCGACGGGTGTGCTGATATATCCCCGCAGTTTGTTCACTATGGTGGCGCGTCGCAAGTGGAACGTCTACACCCCTACCATCGCCCTCGAAGTCGGCGCTCTTTCTGTTCTCTGGCTTCTCATGCTCTTCGGCGCGGCGCTCGCCAATGTGAGCAATCATGTTCTTATTACAGTCAGAACCGTATGACTGACGCATTTCCAAGGTTGAGCACGACCTCTGGTACCAATACAGCTCGTACATGACCATCATCCAACGCCTCTACTACCCCTACGCCTTCGAATGCTGGTTCTCCGGCTCCTGCGACGACCTCCGCGCCATGATCGCCTTCTCCTGGTTGACGTGGATCGTCCTCAGCCTCCTTATCATATTCTCCATCGCTGGTCCAGCGTCCAACGGCGCACTTGTGCCTTTCATGGCGTCGATGAATGCCGGTGCGGAGCCCGTTGGAAAGACGGTCGTGTTTGATGAGGAGGCGTTCGAGTACCATACGGCACCGCTCATTGGGCGCGAGTCCAGCTCATCAGAGTATGTGTCGGCGCCTGAAAACCAGTCAGGCGCCGAGGAGTCGACTGAGAAGAGCCGGTTGGTGGAGGATGTGGATTAAGAGTCGCTGCCGATAACATTGCTGAAGAAGACCACCCATATTCCGTATCGCCAGTCGTATGATGACAAGTGCTGCACAATATGTCAATATACTCGTTGTTGTGTGGCGTGAGATGTCCGTAGTGTAGTCGATCTAAGCCATGAGACATCGTGCGCTCTGAGGGAGCACCCATACTCGCCAGTGAAGTGAGACAGTCGAACTCGTGCGCGCGTCAGGCTCCATAGAGATAAATAAAAGAAAGCAGGGGTTGCACCGTACGTGTAGTGAGACGAGGGTATACAGTTTATGCCATGAAAGGGAGTAAGTTGCCACGAAAGACCATGACGGTCGGGAGCAGGTCGTGCGACTGCGACGTGCCACACCGACGCGCCGAGTCACCACTCAGGTGATCGCGTTCCGCTCGGCCGCCCCGGAAATTTCGGACACTCCGTCTCTTAGCTCGGACCAGCCAGCACCTCCGCCAGCTTTTCCATTAGCTCGTGCCCTTCTCCTCTCGTTGTTCATTCGCTTCTTACTTCTGCTATAATGTCGCCAACGCTCAACGTCAAGGGCAAGGAGTCTGGCACGGCTCGTGTCTTGGGTTCGGGTACTTCTGGTATGCATGTGCTGTAGCTCGCTAAACTAGAGGAAGTCTGACATTGTATATGACTAGGTATCGCTGAGCTGCTCATCTTCCACCCCGTGGACACTATTGCGAAGCGCTTGATGAGCAACAAGGCAAAGGTGCGCTATTTACGCCTGTGACGTGGTAATACTTCATACTGAGTATGTTATGTCGAACGTTTACAGGTTGGCGACGTCGGACTGTCCACCGTCATCTTCCGCGAGCACGCAGGCGCACCGCTTGGCCGCAGGCTGCTCTCGCTCTTCCCCGGACTCGGATATGCCGCCGGCTACAAAGTCACGCAGCGAATCTACAAGTTCGGCGGCCAGCCTTACTTCAACGACGTCATCTCGCGCAACTACAAGACGAGCTTTACGAACACGTTTGGAGAGCGCAAGGGCAAGCTCATGATGCAGGCGACGGCCGGCAGTTTGACGGGCATCGGCGAGGTCGCGCTGTTGCCGCTTGATGTGCTTAAGATTAAGCGTCAAGTGAACCCGGAGGCGTTCCGCGGTCGCGGTGTGCTCCGAATCTTCATGGAGGAGGGCACTGGTCTGTACCGTGGCTGGGGATGGACGATGGCTCGTAATGCACCGGGTAGCTTTGCTGTAAGTCTGTTCATGTCCACACTAAAGTCCGCACTGCTGACGTTCTTTTGATTACTAGCTCTTCGGTGCATCCGCATTTACCAAGGACTACGTCCTCGGCATCCAGGACTACTCCAAGGCGACCTGGACACAAAACTTCATCGCATCCATTGCCGGTGCTGTCGCCTCTATCACAGTCGCGGCTCCCTTGGATGTCGTCAAGACGCGTATCCAGAACGCGAACTTCGAGACGAAGACTTCTGGTGTTACGGTCATCAAGGACCTCTTGCGCGACGAGGGTCCCGTTGCTCTGTTCAAGGGTCTGACGCCGAAGATCTTGGTCGTCGGCCCCAAGCTCGTGTTTAGCTACACCATCGCACAGTCGCTCATCCCCGCATTCGCAAAATACGTTTAAGGATCTGGATCATCCTTCGCGTACCACATAGGCTACCATGCTTCGCACTTATATCTCCTTTGCTAATGTTCATGCTTTGTGTTAGATTATTGCACACACCCCGCTCACTTCCGTCTATAGAGTATTCATGCATTACTATTGGGTCTTTCCGGACGACGTTCAGTGTGAACCCCTTAAAGAGCGAAGCAACGTGATTCGACGTAGACTAATGGCCTATAGAGTGGTCACCAGGTACAGTGGTCAATGTCAAGGCCCTGATACGTGTACAGGACTGCTCTACGCAGCTAGATACGCGAATCTAGGTGTGGCTCTGCTCGCGTGCGATCCACGTGGCCGGAGCCGCCCACTTGGCCCGCGCGCCTCAGACGCGCACAGTCACTAGCGCAAGTTGACTCTGACCATCATGGCCGCCTCCAAAGTCTCCTTCACCGTTCGCCGCCCAGAGCCCGTCTCGCGCTCAGAGTCCTCTGGCGGCGAAGACTCGGATGGTTTCCGCCGTCCCCCGGTCCCTCGGCACCTTCGCCCTGAAATGGCCGACTCCAAACCCGGTTCTCCTCTGAGGCAAGAGGATGTAGGCCGTTATGTCGACTCGAGCGACGAGGAGGACCAAGAGCGAGATGAGCTCGTTACTGAGTTTGATAAATTTGGCGCGAAGCGGTGCGTGTATATATTACCCCCGCTTACAGGCGCGGATATTCAGCTCACAGCAGCCTCGCACTCTGGCAATTATATTCATAGGTTGCACGAGGACAAGAAGCCGAAAGGACCTCTCATTATTCCCGCGCTGCAAAATCGCGATTGGCGCGCTATGGCGAAGGCGCGCCAGCAAGGCAGCCAGCGTTATGTCCCGCAGAGCGCGTCTGCCGGTACGGGTGCCGACGGCAGTGTCGGTGGACTTGGGACGCGCGATACCATCAATGCCGGGCCGGAGAAGATCGGGTTGGAGGTCAAGACGCGTGTAAAGAAGGAGGACGAGGAAGGGGACGAGGTGATGGCCCCGCCAGCGGAGGATGTGAAGGTGGAGGAGGAAACGGAGGACCAACGCGCTCTCCGTGCACTACTCTCGGGAGACACCGGCGCACAGGACATCATGGCTATTCCTCTACGTGCCAGTGAAGAAGACGCCTACAAACAAGACGTCGACGAACTCCCAGAAGAGGCGACGCTGGCAGACTACGAGCGTGTGCCCGTCGAACAGTTTGGCGCGGCGTTGTTGCGGGGTATGGGATGGCAAGAGGGTCAAGCGGCGAGCAGGAAGAGCCGCAAAGGACCCACAGAGCCATACTTGCCTACTGCGCGACCTGCGTTACTCGGACTGGGCGCGAAAGAGCAAGAGGTGTTGGACGATGGGAGCAAGAAGAGCAAGCGTCCCATGCGACCAGAGCGTCGTTATGTGCCGGTGGTACAGAAGGAGCGGGAGGCGGGAACCAGTAGTCGCGACGAGTCTCGTTCACGGCAGCGCTCGCCTGAACCAGATCGCAGGAAGGAGAGGCGTGACAAGGACGACGGCCGCAGCGGCGACCACAACCGTGATCGCGATCGTCGAGAGCGCGATGACCGGTACTCAGACAGGCGTGACTCTGAGCGACGAGACCGCGACCGCGAACACGACAGCCGGAGGGACTATGATCGTGACCGGCGGCGCGACTACGACTACGATGATAGACGGGACCGTGATCGTCGACGAGACGACCGCGAGAGGGAACGCTCACCTCGGCGAGACTACTCTCGTCGTTCGGACAAGCACCGTTAGATGTTCAATTCCAGATAGTGTTACAAATATTCACAACGCTGTACTGATCATAACATGGACTTTGTTGGTACATACAATGAATAATGGCGTGACTATCAAGTATCAACGTTCAACGCTCGCCCTCTAGGACGTCAGCGTACCACGTAATCGGGGGGCCCACTTGCGGCATAGTTGGATGGTACGCCGTGAAAGGAATGACTATGCCGTCTAGCTGCAGAATAGGCCTCCACTTCGCCTTGCCGAGATGAATGAAGCCCACAATGAATATGGTATCCCTATTGATCGTATCTCCGCGAATGTTCTGGCCGATCTGCCAACGGGTTGTGTTATCCGTCCGTTGGGCATACTCCTGAGAGACGGCATTGTCAGTACTGGACACGTCTCAATCAGGGAGGGTAGTGACTAACTTGGACGGCGCGATCGAGAACGGCTGCTGCTGCCTTCATAAAGCTCCAGTTGGTGTTTTGGCCGTCCGCATTACTGATGTCGATACGCGCGGTCTGAATCGTGCCCGGGGCGTCGTAATAGGGCCACTGAATGGAGTTCGTTCAGTCAACACGCCGCCCCAGTAGGTCAGTCAATAAAGCTACGCACGTTCCATTCGAGGTCACAGTACTTCTCTTTCACCTGAGACAGACCCACCGCAGGAACTGCATTGCTCGAGATTACTTCCGCGATGGAAAACCCGCGTCGGCCCTTCTTCTCGCGAGCGCAAAAGAAGATGGGCTTATGGATCTTCGTGCACCTGCACCTCTCGATCATATCGAATGTGCCCTTAAATGTGCAGGCCGGCCACGAGCTCGTCGCAGCGGGGATAACAGAACCAGTCCTGACGTCGACGGGGCAGTCGTAACGCTTGTCGATGTTGCCGATGTTGACTTCGGGGCCGGGCTTTCCGGTGTGAGCACACAGGTATGGCCAGTACGTTTGAGCGGCCTTGAGGCCGAGGGTATGGGCGACGTATCCTTCCTCCATGTTGTTGATCGTCATCGTACAAGGAGTGATTAGGAGTGTAGCTGGAGAGGAAGGCGTAGAGGAGGTGTGGGGAGTGGGTCGATTGGTGACTGCTGATGTGAATTCCGGCGCATCGCCTATATACTCTGAAGTGTGGTTTTTAGATCAGCGTCAAATTAGGTTAGACAAATGGTTTGGTATTAAGTCTGAACCACCAGTGGTTTCCATGAAGGAGTGAATCTGGCTGGTCCAAGAGCTTATGTCACGGACGGTCCAAGCCGCGGCCCAAACACTGCGAAAAAGGCCCCTCAAGGCGCGACAAGGAGCATAACCTCCGCTTCACCAAATGGATGGTTAGAATGTACAGGATCCATGACGAGTCCATTACAGCAACAGCAAGACCTGGCTGTTGGGAGCATGTCAGGTTCGTTGCATATTCTCGAGCAGAGGTCATGAGCGGGGTAGATGTGTGATATAGCAGTCAGCAAATACAGAGAAAAAGGGTAAGTAGATCTAGATGTTTGCTTCCCAGCTGACACCACAGCCGCATCCTGCGCCTTTGGCTTGAGGGTTGTCCAATATCCGGAAGGAACTGCCGATTAGCTCCGTCGCGAAGTCCACAGTCGCCCCTTTGAGTAGCCTCAAAGACACTGCATCAACAACCACACGGGCTGGTTTAATTTCCGGATGTGAAAAGATGCTATTTACGTAGTTAGTATGGACGTATGAAACGATGGGCATGAGACTGACTAATCATCTGGCGCGAACGCCTTCGCGAGCTCCATCTTGTATTGGTATCCGTGACAGCCTCCCGACTCAACAGCTATTCTCAGGGCTGCTTCATCATTCTTTTCGCGTTCAGATATCCTGTGTAATTGCTACAAAGCCTTGTGAATACAAATTCAATGTGTGGAGAGCGCCATTCGCATACCTCCGCCGCGCGATCCGTCAATTCCAACTTGGCCTCTTCCGGCACAATAACTTCGGCATCAATCTCTTCCGAGTCCAAGTCTTCTTGCGTTGGGTGCCGGACTAGCAGTGTAGGATGTGAGGGCGGGCGGTCTGAAGCATGCGTCGCGAGTGTTCGCCGAGATGCCGAGGCGACGGGCGAGCGTGACAATCTAACGACATTACGCGCTGGTGTAAGGTAAGAGACCGTACACAATGTTGAGCGAGCTGGTATATTTCGGGTGAGGCGTAAAGCTGGGCGAAGTACTGAGGTCATGGTAGCTTGAGCTCAGGCCGAGTTGCGCGCCCCCGCGGCCCTTCGGCATGCGCGGTCCGAAGCCCGGCCTGGAATAGGGGCTCTCCCCCGTCATTCCCTTCCCATCCACCATCTCCGGCATGAAGAGGATGAATTGCACATACTCTCTACTTCTGTCACTAGAACGCGAAGCAAGAGCACCAAAATGGCTTCGTCTGAATAAGTCGTACGCGCCTTCTCTGCCCATACTAGAAGGAGTATGTTCGCACAGAACTGTTCGGTAATATTGGTCAGGCCAACCGAATGGGTTTATATCCCAGGCACCGCGCCGTTATCGGCAGAACAGGCTCGGACGTCCGCGATCGCTCAGCGCTCAGCTGGCGCTATAAGCACGTCGTCCAGATCATAGCCCTCGCAAGAGTCTCCCTGAACCATGTCTGTCAATCCAACGAACGGCAAGCGCACTTTCATCGCCTGGTGTCCCGATTACACGGATGAGGGCGCGTTCGCTCGGCGTATGTCTGTGCGGCCCTTGCACCTCGAGGGCATCCATAAGCACGTAGCCGCCGGCTACTTCAGTGCGTGCCACCTCACTGAGCACGATCTGAGACCTCATTGTCCATACAGAGTTTGGTGCCTACACGCTTACCGCTGATTCCATCGGCAAGCCCGTCGAGGATCAGGTTATCAATGGATCGAACATGGTCTTCCTGGCGGAGAGTATTGAAGAGGTGTGGGGGTACGTCAAGGCAGATCCTTACTGGGAGAACAACGTCGTGCGTAGTACAACATGGCTTCGTGAGGATGATGACTTAATCAGCTATCGCAGTGGGACAAGGAGAAGGTTGTCGTTTTGCCTGTCGTGATACCTGTTCAGTCGTCGTGAACAGAGCCCAATGTATTTGAAATCGTCAATTGAACTTGGTGGGCAGTGTTCCCTTGGTTCTGCGGCGCACTTCGACGTCCTGGAACTGGAGCCTATCCTGTACCTTGGTAGAATCCTGTCGTCAACGTTATGCGCTGCTTACTACCGGTTTCTCGACGAGCCTGCGGACCATACCATTGGTCAATGGCAACGCGTATCTGTACGCGGCTCGACCGCCGAGGAGGATATCCGCGGTCTAGAGGTCGCGGGTGTGGCACGGGAGCAACGCCACAACTCACACACTGATACCATACTCTCACAAGGTTCGGACAGTGAGCGGCCCGCTGTTGTGTGGTAGCAATGGATACCAGATATCAATGTAAGGAAGTACAGCTGATCACAACACATGCGCCCAATACAGAACCGTTAAGCAATAATGAAAGGTATTCGCACAGTCCGTCAGATTGCACGCGGCTCAGGCCTTGATGAAGGATCCCTCGGTTTCTGGCAACGAACCGCTCAAGCCCTTCATCTCCAGCTCGGCGTTGAAGGATACATTTGAGGGATCGACGCGCGACTTGCTATCCGAGGCTTGCGTGAACGTTGTACTGCTCATAGCCACCAGCACGGGACGTGCCACACGGCGCGTGCCATTGCTGCCCATGGAAGACTCCGGGTCACGCGAGGTTGAGAGGAAGGCGGTTGTCTCGGTAGACCATCCGCGGCCGATGGCGACGCGGTATACAATGAGCAGGGTCGCAATAGCCTGTGGGCGACCGTTGTCAGTAGTCGTACAGACACATACAGAACTGGTACTGACCTGAATTTCGCCAAGAGGTTGCAAGAAGAGGTTGGCGACCGCGCTTCCCCTGACAAGCGGGACAAGGCAAAGGAGTGTGAAAGTCGAGGTAATGAGCGACGATTCGACGATGATGGCAGCGATGCCCGTATACTGGTCGCCGTGGTTGTGGCCGGGCATAGCAGACAAGATCGACCAACGATAGTAGTACAGCCTTCCGCAAATGGCGACAGTGACGACTGCGCCAAAGGCGAGGGAGGTGGCAAAGAACGGAATGATCCAGTTAACGTTTGAGGCGGAGCCCCAAGGCGAACTTGAAGAGAGTTGAATGAGAAGCAAGACGCCCATGGCTATCATATGACGCAGGTCATTTGTCAGCCATATACAGGAGTCACCGGAGCTGGGCAGCTCACCAATAGTGCCCAAATAGAGAAGGACAGGAAGTGCCATGATAAGCCATCCGGGTCGCCTGGACCCTCGGAAGATGACCCAGAATCGCCAGAGCTACGGAAGAGTCAGCTAGATGTACGTGCCATACCACGAAGAAGACTTGCCATGAGCCCATCGGCGAGCCAATTGCCAAGCATGTACGAGATGTTGCACATCGTATTGAGAGTGACGAAGTAGAAGTCATTCTCGTATTGAGCCGGGCCGCCAGGGTAATTGCGATTGTCGATGAAGGCGAGTTGCGCGAAGGAGGTCGCGCCCGCCAGATTCAACGTGTTGAGGATGATGATGACAGTGGTATACACAAGGAAGAGGTCGCTTCCGCGAATGCCGCGACGCTTGCGGGCCCAGAGGAGATGGATACAGATGCAGTAGAGCATGAACAGCGCGCCATAGGCCACGCCGGTCAGAACAGTACCCTGGAGGTACGTCTTCTCGGCGAAAATGACCTCGCTCGGCTCGTCCGGCGCGTAAGACATCTGGTGGTGCTATGTACAGTGAGCGGTGTCGCTGGGTTGCGGGGCTGAGTGAGAGCAACGGCCCGGACGACCCCCGAGCTTTACGGATAGACTTATAGTCAACCTTGTGCGCGCTCTAAGCGCCTTCTCAGGCCGTCCAGGGCTGTCCGCGTCACAAGCATCAAAAAGTACCTTGTGGGAGCGCTTCTCAGAAGACGGCGCTTCGAGAACAACTTGCTAAGTCAACAATGACCATAGTCGCAGGCATGAGGTCCCGGTTGACAAGATGATAGTGCGGGCGAGAGGGCCTTCGCCAGTGCTTGCGGGGGTGATTGCGATGCGACACAAAGCTGATCTCGATGATCTTCATAGGATGGTATCCGTCAGCGTCCACACAGGAGCCTAGAGTGTTCATGTCAGGTTCTGGAGTCGCTCTCTATCGAGAACGTCGATTTCTCACCTTGGGCTTCAAAGAAGCAACACGAATGATGCGAGTCCGGTCAGTTGCTCGAACCGGTTTGCACGGCCGGCGATATCCTCCTGATAGGCATCTATTCAGGAAACAGGAAACGCTGATTGGACTCAATATGGCACCGGATTTTCCCCATTCAAGGGGCGCAGAAGGGTGTCCTTCCGGAGCGATGTGTTCCCGTCATCGCCGTGCGCCGACGGACGGTGGGTGGTGCTAAGCTCGCGCTAAATCCGGTGGATAACGTATTATCAGCATCTGGTGCAGGCGACAGGTGGCACTGTGGCAGATCCATAAGGACGGCGAGCGCAATACAAGGACTTGGGGGTCCACATCTGACGTCGGGCTGCGGATACATCTTGCTACCCGTCGGCGTTGGCGACGTCCTGAAGACTGGACGCAGTGACACCGAAGAAGATCAAGGCATACAAACGACGATGCGCCTGCATCTTTGGGATGTCGCATGAGTGATGCAACCGTGCGATGTCGCACAGGTAGCTATACTATTCCGACCCCTGAAATGGGACCGGGACAGGAAGTGGGACGGCGCTTTGGCAGCTATGTAGTATCCCATCCGTTCTGCCCACGGCTTTGAGATTTTTGGGGGATGTGCACTCACGTTCTATCTACCCGCCTTCCAGGTTTTGTAGTCGTACGCTCACTTGCAGGGCCATAGTATGCCAAAAAGTCGAAATCCAGCTGCATCAAAGTCCCATCAAAGGGAAATAATCGTCAGGGCCGGGAGATTCAGACGTAGGAAGGTAGGGAAAAAGAGCTGTGCTTACTTGTATGTAGATCGTAGGGCTACCTGCAAAATATCTGGGCGATACAACGAAAGGGTGGACGGGAATAGCTATAAAGTGGTCAGTGTGGCTCGCGGCGAAGACGTAAGTTCCCACCCGCGAAACGACGCGTTTCACATTCTCTACGCCTATAGCTCTTTCACCGCACTGATAAAAAATAATCTGTTCTCGTAGATCGTGTTGTATACCTAAATCCCAGTACTCGCATTTTTTTCCGAATTCTCGAGCGGGTAGATCTCTCCTGTCCCACTTCGCGCGCACACCGTCCCACTTCTGGGGTCGGAATAGTACGACGAGACAACGAAGGAAAAAGCATGATGGCCTGAGGGTGAAGAATATTCAGTAGTACGAGGGGATCAGAACGGTGCCTTGTACCAAGAATTGTGCGCGCAGTCAACGCGCGTTTGTAGTAAAACAATTTCTCAGAAGGTCGACAGCCTTCACCCGTCACTACCGCACTTGCGATGATGAGCGCAGTGGCGGTCTCGAGCTCGTCGCTGGCTGTGGCGGGTACGACGACAGCGTGCGAAGCGCCCTGATTCCAGCCGCGTGTCGTGGTTTCTTCCGACGACGACTTGGTGGCTGCGCGTCTTTCCCGTCATCTCCTTGGACTGTCTAGGGACGCTCGAATATACAGTTGTTGGCTTTCTTGAACGTTCCATACGAATGACCCCCGACGCGCAGTGCAGAAGCCGCAGCGGACAACGGACTAGAGCGGAGGCATCATCGCGGCTGGTGAACAGGGCGACCCGAGAACTGGCCGGCCACTCAAGGGACGGTACTGCAGACATTTCCGTATATTGACAGAGCTCTTTCCATGGAGATGGTCTCACTTCTGGTCCGAGGAGAGCGCACTCAGCAAAGACAGGTCGCAGGAGCACGAGAGGTATGATGATGGAGGAAGCTGAGAAGTTGATTCAGCGCGCGGGTCATCGCCCGTTGAGGCTCTCAACCTACCGTACTCTCCTCATGCGAGCAGCTCAAACGCCACAATGCAAATAACGATTACAGCTGTTCCCGAAAACCTTGGGAATGAGCAACTTTTTTTTCGCGAGTGAGGCGCGTCGCGCAGTTTACGGCCATATCGGCCCGTGAGCTACTTGTAGGCGCAAATTCGTCTTGCGTCTCTTCCCTCTCCTCGCTTTCAATCCTTGCTTCGCTTACTGCTTCCAATGGTCGCTAGGGGGCGATCTATGTCGACGCCGAGTTATCTCTCAATGGTCAGGTCATCAGGCGAGCCACAGGCTACGAGCCGCGCGACGCGGCTTGTAGACTGCGGGTCATTTGATCGTTGATCTTCATGGGCGAGTATGGCCATAAAGCGTAACTTTGTCTTCGGTGCCTTGCGGTACCTGGACTCAACTCGTGAAAAAAAAAGTTGCTCATTCCCAAGGTTTTCGGGAACAGCTGTAAGATTCCCCGCTCTATCTCAACGTGCTCGTCGGAACCGTCTGGTCGTCTTCACCATCCCAATATCACTCGTCCTTCCTGGCAACTTGATTGAGTTGATACCACATCCCGCGGACGCTGCGAATTGCCGGCCACCCATCGGAACCACGTCTATCTACACAGCTGTAGGGAAAGTTCCGCCATTCGGAGAGCGGGCGCTCGCTGGACCAAGGGGCCCCACTCAAACAGCGGTGTGTATCGTCGATACCATGTCTGTGGGAGTGCGGCGAGCGAGTGACGCACCCCAGTACTGAAGATGGCCCAACATGACTTTTCAAGGTCTTTGAGGCATCTATGAGGATCTGTACTGTGAGCATGCTATCTAGCACTCCCGATGCACACTCTTGGTCCAACCTCAATTTCCCACATTGTATAAGGAGTCTCTCATAGAAAGTATATGCATCGAATGAAAAACGTATTACATGACTACATCGTCTGGAGCATTAGCTATGTTATGCCCGTACAGCACTCTTCGCAGACTAAGAAACTCATGCGGTGGAATGCTGAATCATGTATATGGCTAAGAGGCCGGTCAGCGCACTTGACTTGGGTGACTGATGAATGGCTACTGACCGGGATTGGGTTCTTCAATGCCTTGCCACCATTCAACGGAGCAACCGCTGCCATCGTCTTCGTTGATCGAGCAAGCGACTTCGAACGTCAGCAACTGCTCCATCGAGCAAGCGAAGTTGCGATGCCACACGACCTCCTCGCCGTGGCGAAGGTCGATATTCGCCACCTTTGACACCCGTTGTGGACGTGTGGCGTACGTGAGCACGGACGGATCGAGCTGTTGCGTCGTGTTGAGTCGATAGAGCGATAGAGTAGCCACATGCCCAGGATCGACAAGGGCATCGGAAGCGACGGCGGGAAGGGATAGACGTAGTTCGCACTTCTCCATTCCCCAGTCAAGCGCCCGGAACTGGACAATGGTCGAGATCTGCAATGTTGCTTTAGACGCACAGCTTGAAGCGGTACCAAGAGCTACTCACCGTGTCCTTCACCAGAACATGATGTTGTCGAGGGGATATGGTCCCAACCTTGGGCATGTAGTTCTTGGAATCCACCGGGAAGACTTTGCGGACGTTCGCGCTGTCGACGGGCGCCGTCAAGATAGGGTAGTTGGTAAAGTTATACTGAGCAGGGGCTGGACGGTCGATCTTGTCGAAGTTGATGAACTGAGACGGACGCCTCAAGTTACCGATATCGCTCGTGCGCATGTTGGCGAGGTCGCTGAGCCGCTGAGACCGAGACTGAGATGACACGCGCGGGTACAATGACGGCAAAAGCGAGAGCGCGCCGTTCGCCAGCGTGCAGAGGATGCAGAGTGCTACCGCGATATAGACATCGCGGGTCCAAGGCGAAGCCATGCGCACATCGGAAGTGGTTCGTATCTCGTCGCCGAATGAGTCGTCCACCTCGACGTCTTCTTTGCTCGACGAGGGCGACGTTGAGAGTGGCTGGTACATGACCGTTCGCAGCACGTTGCTCATTGCAAGGCGGTAAAGGAAGTTGTCACGCCCACGATCTCGTTAAGAGGGTCCAAGCATGCGTGTGGTAGGCCGAACTTGCTGTATCTGTTCATCAGGAACCGTGGACCGAAAGTTGACTCCTCGGTCGTGCAATCGGTTCGAACGCCCCAGGCGAGGTGCTACACGGATCTTCTGGCCCCATGCTGGCTTCCACGCGATGGTTTGCCGGCCGCATCATCAGCACCAGATTCGTCTTTGACTTCGTGGGCAGTTGATCGCGTTGGAAATTCATTCCGACAAGACTGCAGAACGGTGATCAGAAGGTGCCACGAAGCCTGTGAAGTCTGCAATCCGCAGACTCTTCTCGGTCGACAGTCCATCGCAACCTTGTACGCGTAGAGACAGAGACCTAGGGTATCTGACCCCATCCGCTTTGCCACCATGCTGTAAGATGAGTGTAGTGGCCATTCGGGGTACGTTGATGATTCACGATAAGGTGCGACCGTCATTGTTCACTCGGAGACCAGAAAGATACGAGCTTTGGTACCGGCCAGTCGCTCTCCACGGGTCTTGTAGGACATTGAGAGCCTGAAGATATCGTGTATCTCGGACAGCGATCGTCGCACAGCAGGGTCTTAAGGGTGTCGCAGCCGGAGTTTTCAGAAGAGAATGTGCCACAAGAGTCGTGAGCCAGAATTCAGCCGCCCGCCCTTGTGAGGCACCGGTCAGATTACCTTCCATAACCGCACGGTACGCGCACTGCATCTGGGATGGGTTTTGCAATTGCTGCGACAGACGCAAGTCGGGACGCCGAAGGAGACTCGGACTCGGCCGAGCGCTGTGAATGGTGTAGACTTGTGCGGCAGAACAAGAGCTAATCCGGTACTATAGGCAGGATAGAGCAGAATAGGAGCCGGCGCAACATCAATGAGAAAGGAAGTCAACAATGTTGGTAGATGGACGGTAGGTTTGATCGAGCTCGCTCAACGCAGCCATCAACCCGACGCACGTAGCACCGGCTATCGCCGACTAGGTCCGCTCGAGCCTCGTTCCCGCGGCGACGCCGCGGTTCTCTTCAACTTCTTCCCTTCGATTCCAATTCACCCTGCGCACAGACGCCTGATTTGCGCGCACATTCGCTCTTGAATCTTAGGCCATGCTGCCCTTGTGAACCCGATGCACATGTGCTCGAAGCCTTTGAACTCGAAGCGGCTGTTAAGCATGACTCGCTGGTGCGATGTACGACGTAGCGAGCAGTCGTAAGGACACGGCGTACATCATAATATACTCCTTTCAAGCGCACGAATACAACCCTACTTCAGTTCCACTGCCCACTCCATGCAGTCCATTCCTCATAGTTGTGACCCATATCCGCATACAGCCTCTCCCAATCCTCGCAAACCAGTGTGTCACCGATCCTGTCAACCTCGAAATCGCGCGCCATGAAGTCTCCTCTCTCTAGGGTATCGTCAGCAGCGCACAGAAAGGTCCGCCGAAGATAGTCTAGGCAATGATTGAAGTGCTCGGGACTGCCATCGCTCTCGCCCAACACCGCAGGAGTGCCAAGGAGAGCATGCTGGAAGACGCGTAGACAGTGCGTCTGGTGCAGGTGTGCTACGACGAAAATATGATGGTCCGGTCCGAGGCGCACGCGTCCGTGCCCGATGTCTGTCATCACCGTGCTTTGCTGCCACTCCTCCTCTGCTACTGTACTCGACACGTTCAATGCGAGCCGTACGCTTTCGTGGAGGGTCATAGCAACATCCTCGAGGCGTTCACTAAGGAAGAGGTGCGGGTAGTCAAGACCCTCCCATGTATAATCCGCCTTCTGAGTGAACCCTGTAAGATGAAAGTCGGCGTGCGTTGCGACAATCGCCAGTGTCTGGTATGCGTACTCGAGTCTACGATGTGCTGACCGACGGTCATCGCAATGCGAACGATGACTATGATAGCATTGGCGAGGGCGAGAGCCCAAAGGGAGACGCGGAGAGGGGACGAGATTGACCGGGGCTTGTGGGGTGACATCTGTGCGCAAGATGCAACGCGAGCAGGATAGGAGGGCGTGATAACTGGTGCAGGTGTCCACGCCTAACGTTTGTTTTACAGCAGAATGCAAAAAAACGTTCCGACTCGCGCCGAAATATGCGCTCCAAAAGTTGTTTACGAG